TCCTCAAATACCCCCTATACTTCTCCAACTTCATCGCGTCCCACTCTCCCTGCTCACACCTCACCCCATACTTCCCATCCCAATCCCTATCCGCCTCATCCATCTGCTTCAGCTCCTCTCTACACTTCTTCAACTCAGCCTCAAGTCTCGGGATCTCTTTCCTGAGACGAGCACGCTCAGCTTCGCGAAGAGATTTGTGGGCTTGGCCTGTGGTGTACCAGGATCGAGAGACTTTCGTTTTGGTGTCGAAGTCGTCCTACACGAACAATCAGAAGTGACCGGAGCTTTCAGGGGGAAAACTTACGACAAGAAACCCATACTCAATCCACCTCCGACTAGCCTCTTTCTCCAGAGCTTCAGCATTTCCGAAACGGCGCACGTTTCTTACGTCTATTGGCGCCCGCCCACCCGTTAGCTCAGAAACGAACGAAGAGGAGCAGAAAGAGAAAGCTCACCGGGATTGTTCTTTGCGCGAGAGCTTCTTTTACCCTTGCCACTGCTGGCTCTCGTAGTGGTATTGCTATCTTGGACTTGCACCAGGTTGCCGTCACCGTCGGTGACATATTGAGTCTGCTGTTCGGTCGGAGAAGGGCGTGCGTTGGCCATGCTTGGATTGTTGGAGTGAAGTGCTGTGAATGTCGGGACTTGACTGGAGGAGTGGTACGAGTGGCGGTAGTATGTGAAGTCCGTTGTCCAGAGGGTAAGACGGCGAGATTACTTGTATGCAAATGGAGTTTAATATTTGGCTAGATCTCTTGTACTCACTATTCGAACTGTTGAGAGATTGCACTCACAATTCTGCGTCCTGTTCAGCCAAACCAATCGTAATCTGCCACAACACCTCACTTTCCTCACCTGCGCGCATGTCTACATGTATTGTCAAACTTTTGCTCTTGATGTCATCGCTACTGTTTCTACAGGTTTGTAATCTGGTCTGTCTGTTACAACTAAATGGACAACATACTTCTTCGCTTCGTTCGCTAATGCCATACAATGAGCTCCAAGGACTGTTCCACCAACACAATGCTTCTTCCGATTGCGCCCGCTCGCTCGTGATGCATCGTGGTCAAAAAGAAAATTTGGGCGTTCGTTGCCGCCACAGGGTATCGAGTTGTTTGTAAGCATCGTCCTCGCGTGCATGCTTTTGTGGGTGAGGTCGGAACCTTCAGGGAATTGTAAGGTTACACGGGTAATGTGAGTCGGGTCAGTCGGCGAAATCAGCGCAGTCCTATCACGCTCTGTTCACAGTCAGTGCCATTACGCAGCAATTGGGTCTCGAGAGATACTTGCCATCTCCAACGTCCACACTCGCCTAATCCAAACCTTGAGCTTGCCTTCAACACCTTCAACGTTGTCAAGCTCAACACCCTCCCACCAACATCTTCTCGCTGGCTTTCGCCAGAACAGTAGAAGCTTCTGTGCCATGCCAACAGCGTTCGCAGCACCGGCAGAGTCGCCTTTGATGTCTGTGCGGAGACGTGCAAGTGCGATCGAACAGATCACAGCTTTTTGTGGCTCGGCTGCCCGATGGCCCCATGTATCGTCGTGATTGAAGCCGCTGCGGTACAATTAGCAAAAATTGATTCAGACGTGTGTCAGCGCTTGTTCGACTCACCCAGCTGTCAGCATTTCGATGAGATGTTGCTCTGTTGTGCCTGGCTCTTCGCTCTTCCTCAGGCCAGAGAAAATGCCGTCTTGCTTGAGAAGAGCCCTGCTTGCCGCACGCTTGATGCTGATCATCTCCATTTGTTCGATATCCTTGCGAGGCGGAATGGCATAGAAGTCAAGATCTTCTCGTAGAACAATGATACCAGCGCGGTCTTGTAGCATGTCGCGAGCATTGCCGGCCATTGGCTCAATTGGCATAGTGTTAGGTGCAAGTGGGTCGCTTGATTGCCCTTGTGATTCCTCGGATGTGTTGGGAATGGTTTGTGCAACATTTCGGAAGAACTCGAGCATATATTGCAGGGAGAGTGGGTCGTACTGTGAAAGATAAACAATGTCAGATAAGTATACATCAGTGTTCAAGACGTTTGTGATTTCGTCAAGTGAATGTGCCTTGGCCTGGGTGAGCGGCTTCGAGCGGGTGTTTCTTACGTCGACTGGGTAGACGTCGCCGTCATGGTAGCTGTTCATATGTCCATCAGGCAGCAAACCATTTGGGAACAGAGAGAGCAGAACGAATTCTGGCAGGGTCAAGAGTTCATCTCTGGAGAGCGTGAAACGAGTGCCGCTGTCATGTGTTAGAAGTGGTTACATTTGAGGCAGGCTGCTGGAAACAAACCGGAGCTCGAGAGTAATGTTCTCATCTGAACCTGTTTCATGTGATCAGCTTTCACATGCGCAGTATGGCGATCTGTTGATGCTGACCTCCGCCCAGCGCTGTATTGATCGGCGCCGGCCCTCCCTGCTGGACCTGTGTGATGATACTCGCTGCTCCTCCTGCTGCGGCCATGACGTATGTGAAGCCCTCGAGCGGACTTGAGCCTTCGGTGTATGGCGGTGGCGGTTCTCCGTCGTCGAGATCTTTGCTGGATCTACCGTCTTTGGTGTCACGAGGAAGCGCAGCCTTGGTATCTGCAACGACAGTGGATGCTGCGGCGTGTCCCTCGGTCTCTTCGAATGGGAACGGCGGAGCTGGACCGGCTGGCGCTGTGGCAGTGAGCCCGGCTGCCGCGCACGCAGTGGTGAGCGGGTATGGCTCTTCGGGCGACGGCTCTGGGAAGTATTGCGCTGGGAAGCCGTGCGAGGAGAAGGGCGGCGGGCTCTCAGCGGCTTGGGCTGAGGAAGGCTCAAGGCTGCGCTCCTGCTCGTGGTGGTCGTGCGCGGAGTCGAGGTGCAGGTGCGAGTCAACGTCGAGCTTGAAGAGAGGCACGAGGCCGCGGAGGGAAGGGGTGGTGTGGATTGAGTCGTCGTCTGAAGCCACGGCGCTGAGTAGCGGTGGGCGCGGGGGGGCTGGGGGCTACGGCGAGAGGCGGCAGACGCGGTCCAAGCACAACAAGTTCGGCCGGACGGGGCGGAGGCTCACACGCAAATGTCCAATGCGATGCAGCGGAATGTTTACGACGGAGGCAGAGCAGATCACAACTTCATCGCGCGTGGGCTAGTTCGATCGCGGTTGCGGTGCTGGGAGAGTGCATTGACCGCCAAGGGATCCTGTAGCCGCGCTGTCCAGTCAGCGGAGCGAGGTCGCCAACGCGTGAAATGGCCGCTCAATATTTGGAGACATATTGACTGAGGTGGGAGCGGTCCGCTGCCACCCCGGCCGAGAAGGAAACTACGCGGTCTTGGTCTTGCTGTTTACTGATCAGAAAACGCGTACATCATACTACAAATATGACAACAACCCGGACACAACGCCGGTCTGTGACTACTTCTTGTTGAAGTCAATGACAATGCGGCCGGCCACCTCGCCGCGTCGCAGCGCTTGCACACTTTCATCAAACCGAGACACGCCTCGAACCTCCGCAATTCCCTTCAGCAGTCCACGGCGGGCGTACTCCAGCGCTGCGGCTGTGTCCTGCATCGTACCCACGAGTGTTCCGATGACCGACACGTTCTTGAAGACAAGGAAGTTGGGATCCGTCCCCATGTTGACAGTACCAGCAGGTGGTAACGCAATGCACATGATCTTGCCTCCGATGCGATCTCCCAGGTATGAGAAGGAATCCTTGTATGCTTGGTATGCTGTCACCAGGACGCCGTGAGCACCGACTCCGCCAGCGACTTCCTTCACTCTGGCTGCAACATCCGCATGCTCTTTGAAATCAACAAACTCCTCCGCTCCAAGCTCTTTCGACAACTTTGATTTGGCTTCTCCACTGTCAATGACGATCGGACGCATACCCATGGCCTTTGCAAGCTGGACGCCCTGAATACCAACACCGCCACCTCCTCCAGGGAAGACAACGAAGTCGCCTGCTTTCAACCCGGAATCGACGAGCGCTCGGTGCATCGTACTGGCCGAGCACATAATCGGACCAGCAACTTCGTCTGGAACACCTTCCGGGATCCTGCTCGTGTAAATCGCTGGAGAGACGAGGTATTGGCGGTAGGTTCCTTCGGCGACCAGTCCTGTGTAGACTCCTTTCTGGCAGTAGTTTTCTCGGCCATTCCAGCAATGCTCGCAGTTATGGCAGACGTCCCACAGAGGCTTAATACCAGCACGGTCACCTACTTCCCAGCCTTGGACGTTCGGACCTAGCTTGACAACAACTCCGGCTCCCTGCAGCTGTCAGTCTTCACTTCCATGTTCACTGCCGGGATCGACCTCGAACCTCATGTCCTGCACACTTTGTTCCAAGCTGTGACATCGGTGGAACCGCCCAGTCATTCTGCAAGAAATATTAGCGCACGGGCCATCATGTGGTCTGTGCGTAAATTTGCGATACCATCATGAAGTGGACATCGCTCATGCAGAGCCCTGTGCAATTGAGACGAATCAGAAGCTCGCCGCTCTCTGGATTCATGTGTTAGCAACAAGCATAGCAATTGTCGGCCAGCAACAATGGCATTCAACTCACTTGGCTCTGGAATGTCCACCTCTTGCACTTCGACCTTGAACTCTGGACCCTCATTCACACACACGCCAGCCAGGCCCTTTTCAGGAATCTGTTCAGTAGCCATTTTGCAAAGAGTCAATTCGATTTCAGGGCAAGATCGGGATAGAGAAAGCTGTCGGGAAACAGCTCACAGCTGGATCTACCTTTCTTATAACAACGGCCGTCGGCCCACAACAAGACCGCTGTTCTTATGCCGCTCTTGTCAAGACATCCAGCGCTCGGCCTGCCATTCGTGTGCACTGCTCACTCCACAGGCCATGTTTGGCAAATTGGGGCGGGGCTTGATCCATAGCGGGGTAACAACTGCATCCTGTGGATCATGAGATGTGGAGGATCTGGTCTTGAATCGACGCGCGCAGCAGCTCCGGGGACGCATGCTTCCCGTGCGGTCTCTGTCCGAAGGCAAACAGCTCACGCCTTATATACTAACCATTTGCGACCATCAAGGTCGCATTTCAAACAGCGCCAGTGCAGTCTTCATGCAAGAACTGGGGCTGGACGTATCTCTCTTCCCTTCGACAACGTCTCCACGATGTCATCTCGTGGCAGAACTCAATCTCAAGATTGTTACAGGCTCACGTGCAGCGGGTATAATCTTCGGCATGTATTTCCATCCATCCTGCCGGGGCCAGCCTGCAATGCAGCTATGCTACCCCATGTGTGGGTTCTCCTCCAACGATTCAGGCTCTGCGACTCGACGACAAGTCGCTCGTTGCCTCTTTGCTGCTGCTCCGCCGTGGCACGCGTGGATCGCGTACGTTGTCGGCGCGGGTCTCGGTCGCGGCAAATGGCAATTTCCGTCTTACGATAGAATTACTCCTTTGAGCATTTGCTGACTTCGTGTGCCAATCGTATGCTCTGACTTTGTGTACAGAAACAACCAACACGCTGGTTCGCGATGATGCGCGGGGTAAGATGCCTGTCGATTGGGGTTGCAGGCCGCGAGACGAGACGACACACCGCGAGCTTTAACATCACGAAGCAACATCGTGTCTAGACTGGCAATCCAGAGAGACGAAGTACAGTATGATCAGGCAGTCAAAAACTGGAAGCTCTAGGTGCGGTAGTATTTACGCGTCTGCACTACCCGAGTTGTAGTCAGCTAAATTTTACTAGTTTTATACTACTATCAGCGCTAGCGACTCTCGAAGATGACTGCAACAACAGCGCGTGCAGGAAAGACTCCACGCACATCTGTGTCGCATTCCAAATCGGTGGGTTTGGCTCATTCGTGCATATGGCGAACCTGACGCTCGGAGCTGAGCAAAGTGTTACAGCACGTTGGCTATGCTCTGGTTAACTACTGGAGACTAAAAACAATGGTGGCCACGATCGCCCATCCCGGAAGAGCCTTAGGCACGAGCCCGCCTCCAGACCTATAACCACCACCAGAAGAAGACGACCCGGATCCTGTACCGAAACCAGAACCGGAACCACTATCGCTTTCAGTGGGAAAGGGTGCTGGACTGCTCTCGGTTGCCGAAGCGATTGCACTCTCCAGATCCCGAAGCATACTTTGCAATCCGTTGAAGTTCCTGGTCAGATTTCTCAATTCTTCCCCCTGTCCGTTCACTTCTGTGTTCAGCTGGCTAACTTGTCCGGTGATGTTCTGGACTTGAGACGTGTATTGCAGAGCCTATTCTCAGTCAGTACATTCCTTCGAACGTGAAAGAGAAGACTCACTTCATTCGCGTTGCCATCTGCCTCGGCCGCTGTTCCATTGGCAGTATTGGCAATCGAGAAAGCTCTTTGCGCAAGCCCTCGACTCTGGACTGCGAGCACGAGCTCTGCAATCACCATGGCGAGAGCAGCCACGATGAGAAAGCTTTGTATCCCATTCCACCATTGCTGTCTGTGATACCTCCTCTTCTCTACGTCCTCTTGCTCGGGGTCATTCATTGCAAAGTCCGTGTCGTCGGAGATGCTTGGGCATCATGCGTTGCGACATTGTGGGGATCGCAAGTCTCTATGAGCAGCGGAGCGCTGAAGGACAAATGTCAAAACGAGGCTGACGCGCCGCCACCAAGGCATCTTAATGGCGAAGTATAAGATGTCTCTGCACCGCCTCATTGGCAGGCCGCTCTATATTGCTTTTGCGGAAGGCAAGGCTGAGGCTAGACGACGAGGCTGAAGCGGCCTCTGCCTTTACCTCTAGCTTCGCCACGCCAGCGTGCCCTACGGCCTCCGCCTTCACGCTCGGCACAATTGTCGCTTGCCGGTCTCAGCAAGCCGTACCAGATATCAACTTGCTGCTCATGCCCTGTACTACACATGGCTGATCGGTGGCCGATCACGTTTGCCAATCATGCTTCGCCAGCAAGAATACCGCCGTGTGTTCCAGTACGAAGAACTGCAATCACCTAACACATTCCGCTTACTGAGGTTATGTGCTGGCAGCGGTGAGAGGATACAATGTTCTCTTGACCATTTCATGCTGGATATAGACCCAAATCCGCTCTATACAGCGATTTCCCACACCTGGGGAACCGGCGCTGCTAGCCATCAGATATACTTACGAGACGGCTCAGTCATCAAAGTACGCGAGAATCTGTATAAAGCGCTTCAATCCATCCGAGATCCCGAATCAGATAACCTGTACTGGGTCGATGCAATATGTATCAACCAAAAGTCGGACCAGGAGCGTAATCATCAAGTCAAATTGATGGCGGACATCTACGGCAAAGCGAACAAAGTCCTGGTCTGGTTGCAAAGCTCTGGCGAGAAAGCTGATGTGTCCCGAGCTTTTGCTTACATGCATGCTGCTGCGACATACCACAACAGTGACGACTCAGTCTATCAATACTTGCGAGGCCATCAGCAGAGAACTGATGACGACTGGCGTTCCATACAAAGGCTTTGCAAGCTGAAGTACTGGACGAGAAAATGGATTATACAGGAATTGGTCATGGCCCGTACGGTCGTGCTCAGAGCCGGCAATGCCGAATTTCCGATGACTGATTTCGAGACATTTTGCTACCAACTAAGGCGAGCCAACATGAATGAACAATTCCGAAGACTTAATACTCCTGCAAAAAAGATCTGGCAAACAGTTAACGCGAGTCCTGCATCACGTCTTGCACTTCAGAGACTGGAAGCTCAACTATCAAACCAACCTCGAACACTCTACGAGCTGGTTGAGAACAATCGCGACAATCAGTGCCAAGTACACTGCGATCATGTGTACGCACTTTACAGTTTGGCAGGGGAGCACAGAAGTTATCTCAACATTGATTACGGAGCTTCGCCTGTGCAGAGGCTCGTGGACATCCTAGACTTCGTCACCAACCATGAAGACATGCCTCCAGCAAAGGTCATGGCATTCACAAATCTCCTCATCAACCTTCTCAAAATTAACAACGACGATTTCACACAAGGCTATCCTCTCCTCCAAACTCTCTGGCTCACGATCCCAGCAATCATCCTAGGCACAGCAGAACTTCGTCAGGAATCTCACGAAATTCTCAAAGCCCGCAAAACAATCAAGCCCTTCGAGCAAATGCCCATCTATACCTTCTCCACCGATCAAGCAACCTGGACCTCTATCGACAACAATCAAAATCACCGACATATGTCCGTAGCCGTCGGCCGTCGAGACATGGCACACTTCAGCATCGCAGGCACAAATTTTCAAGGCCTCGCAGCTTGCACAGTAAATCACGGAGATATAATCTGGAACTTCTCCGGCACGAAGCACGTCTTCATCGTCCGAACATTTCAAGGTTCCCAAGCATCGATCGTCGGAAGAGCTTACCTTTTCCAAGCTTCGAATAACAATGGTACTCTTCATTCATGGATCTCGCGGAATGCGAATCAAGGGGATGTAAGTCAGGGGACGCAGCTTCTTTTCGGTTACGCTGGCGACGCTGTTGGAGATTACGAGTTTGGCGAGTACGACGAGTCAGCAGGGGAAGAAGAGGAAGGAGGTTGATGAGAAGGGGAATGTGGTTTTGGAGGATTTCGGGGCTTTTTGCAGGAGGCGTTGGGCGAGGATTATTTCTGTAGTGGCTTGTGGTAAGCAATTTCCCTGGAAGAAGTTTGTAGTTGTGGCTGAGCGCACTTGATGCTGACGGGTTTTGAAACAGGCATGATTATCGTGTTGATGGCTGTGGTGGTGGGGATACATGTGAGGAATTAGTCGTTGATGCTCTACGAACTGTATATGGCTTCGAAAAGTAAAGGAGGATGCAAGCTCGATCGTAGAAATACTTCCATTTTGAGACAACGAATCCTCCTCGAATCGAATAGCCTAGCAGCTGCGCAGCATAGGATCACTTGGACAGGCCCAAGTAAGCTATGTGAGCGATGCTCTCTTCTAATCGACCTAACCACACAAATCCGTCTTCATTTCCCGAAAATCAGTTACACAACTCACAAAAGTATAAAACACAAGCTGTATTTACTCACGCATTTCGGGCAATGGTTACAGCAAAGCTACACACAACAGTCAGCAAATTAAGCGAACAATGAGAAGAGTTGGGTGCTTTACATCTTCAAAGCCGTAGCCATCGCAGAAGTTGACGTAGCAGCCTGCGTAGCAAGCGATGGTTTTCCCGCTCCCGTCTTTGAAAGTCACACCATTGTCTGAAGGTGGCGTGGCTCGAAGGCTCAGGACATTTGGGGAGGTGCCCTGGGAGCCTGGGAGAGCGGCTGCTGTGGCGGCGAGGAGGAGGGTGAGGTAGGTGAAGTGCATGGTTGCGTGGTTTGAGCGGGCAGATGATGGTGGTGGGTGCGACGTCGAACTTGTGAACGCAAGCGTTGGTTTATGTACTTGCTAAGAGCAGCGCGATGGGTATCTGCACTTCTTGATCGATCGTGGTGTTTGTGTTCTAGACAGACTTTCGATAGTGCAGTGTAGCGTGCTGCGTGAGTGCATGTTACATTTAGCGTGTGGTCTCAATCATGGCATGGCACATCCGGATACATGGCCATGTTCAGGTTCATGGCGCTGCCTTGTCTCCCGCGGTCACTCAACTGGGGCAATCTCGACTTCCTTTCTCCGGCGAAATGCTCGTACCTTTCCTGATGGGTCGAAGGGGGACCGCTTTTGCTGTCCTGCTCCGTAGGCGCGTGATTGAAGGAAGGGTCTGTTCCAGACCGTCAGCGACAACCCCCAGTCGACTGAGCTGTGATTTCAATGGCGCGACTGCTTTTTGCGCAGCGTCTGGACGCTATAATCATGCTGTACGCTTTGTGAAGCTCGAGATGGCAAATCCTCCGGCGTTTGGTCTTGTGATTTGCTTGCTCGATCGAGCTCTCCAGACTGCACTTCTTCATGGTATGTCTCACATGATAGCCGAGCCGGAAAATGATATCTTGGGCCGATGTTGATGTGAATGCAGGGTTCGACCGATGAACGCCTGCGGCCGTTGAGTCTAGATCGAGTTCCATCCTGCTGATCGGCTCTCTGTTCCGGCTCACTTTGCAGCATCAAAGAAAGAATGCGTGAATGAGCGACAATGCCGCCTCTTATGCCTGTTGGACTCATCCGTTGGCGGCAAGAATAGTGCTTGCTTCTTCATGTGCCAATGCCTTGCACAGTGGGCCGTGGCACGGCATCGGTATGCTCGGGCCTTGCTGGCCCATGTCCTCCATCCGCTCGCAAACTCATCTCAATGGTCCAGGTAACATCTGAAGTGCCGCCTTGGTCGCGTTCGGTAGTATCCGGATTGACGCTCCAAAGGCCCCATGGAGGACACATCCTGGTACCTGGGCCGATGGACTTCTCTAACCATAGACTAGCAGCATAGCTTGCTTGGCTTCACTCAGCCCTCTACTGCTAAGAAAGACTAAGCACAAAAATTACTTGGCGTTATTGAGCCCTCCGCACGGTTTTGTACTAATCAACATTGCCTGAGATAAGAAATTGTACCGTTGGGACGGTCGTCGAATCGGAGTAAGTCCGGATCCCGGAACTTCAACTCGAGCCTTTTGCTATATTCCCCTGGTTGATCCGGTCTATGGCGGTGACGCCGAAGCAACTTACCGGCTGACATGTCTTACAGACTTCTTTGGCCTTGCAGCGAGTGTGTAGGCAAACTGTGTTTGGTAAGGCGGATCGAGATGCCGACAGGCAACATATGTGCTCTTGTAATGTCCCGGATAGGTTCCGATGATGCATTCTCGGATGCAGGACTTCGGAGCGAGGCCACCAGTATGGAATAAGGTCCTGGGAGTCGTGATCATCGCCTGCCTCCGGTTAACTCCTTCTCATCTGATTGATACCGACATGCATCAAGCGACAAGGCCGTTCCTCACTCGTGAAATTAAAACGCAGGTTGTGCACGCCACAGTATTTAGATGAGATCTCATCTCTTTTTGCACGAGCAGCCAGTGGGCGAAGCGCGAAGAAAGGATGGAATTGCGTTCTTGTGGCCGGCTAAGGGGGCGGTCAATCACTTTGGACACTATGTGTCGTGAGCAGGATTGCATCTAGCACCTCGGAGTGCCCAAGTGTACTGTTCTGCACAGATCCCAAGTTCAAGCAAGATGTAGGTGGATGTGCATGACTGCAATGTGCATGTGATCGATGTCGTTTCTGCCAAGCCGGGAGCGACCAGCATCCCGCGCTTTCGGTCTTCGTGAGTCGAGAACGTGCGACTGCACTTTCCCCTCGCAAGGCGTGTTCATGTATCTCATCTTGATGCAGCGATGTATCTCAAGAGGGAAGACCGCGCTGCTCCAGTTCAGATCAGCATCTTCGCCATGCATTCCTGCAGTCCCACACGGTATGTAAAAACGAGGCTGAGCACGACACCACGATGTCGGTCGTGGCGCGAGGCACATGTACGCAGTACATGCAGCCTTCAGCCTTGTTACACCTAGAAGTGGTCTAGGCAGATCTCCTCTCCTCCCGATTCTCGCAATCCTCTTAGCCTCGCAGCTTCCGTTCGGTACTCAATGCTTTGATGGTGCGACACCAGAAGACCAAACCTTAGCGTCTCGACTTCAACATGCAAGCATGCGGCTCCTCAACATCGAGACCTTCCAATTCACCTCCTTTCGCGAGAACAACCGCCCCAAATACGTGATTCTATCGCATCGGTGGGTTGAGGACCATGAAGTGACACTCCAAGATGTACAAGAAGGCAAGAACACGCATTTCAGTGGATACGAGAAGATCGTGCAGTTCAGCGGCTTTGTCAAAGAGCACATGCCTGGGATAGAGTGGCTGTGGGTGGATACTTGCTGTATCAACAAGGACAACAGCGCAGAGCTTTCAGAATCTCTGAACCTGATGTTCGACTGGTATCACAATGCTGAGATGTGCATTGCGTACTTGGCAGATGTCTCCAACGACATCGAAAGCCAGAAGCCTGACGCACACCAGGTAGATGGCAAGAATAGCAATGTCGAGGAGCATTTCGCGCAGAGTGAGTGGTTCCGTCGGGGCTGGACCTTACAAGAATTGCTAGCACCGCCTACGGTGATATTTGTCGACAGAACATGGAAAATCATTGGCAATAAAGGGGCATCCACGAATGGAAGTAGCGCAAAATTTGCAGGGGAAGGACTCGAAAGTATTACCACTGAGATTACAGGAATTCCCGAACATGTCTTGCGCGACTACGATACATGCAACAAATTTAGTCCGAATGTAAAGATGGACTGGATGATTGGTCGTGCAACTACCCGTGCAGAAGACAAGGCGTATGCGCTTTTTGGAATACTCGGAATCGCACCCGGAGCAAACTATGGAGAGAAGTATGAAGGCGCGAAGCATCGTCTCGACATGGCTTTAGAGCACAAAGAAGGAGCGAAAAGATTCCAGAGTATCGTAGACTGGCTCTCGCCGCCGGATCCATGGACAAATCACAACTCGGCACGTCAGCTGCAGGACCCCGGCTCAGGTGATTGGTTACTGAATTCAGATCCATATGAAAACTGGAAAACTGCCTCTGACCGTATCCTATGGCTGCACGGTAAAGCCGGCTGTGGTAAAACTGTACTCTGCTCCACAGCTATTGAGGAAGTGAAGACCTATTGCGGGGGACGGCCACATGCTGGTTATGCTGTCTTCTACTTCACTTTCTCTGACAGTCGAAAGCAGCAATTGGTCGATCTGCTTCGCTCGCTTGTTGCACAATTGGGCTGGAAAGGTCCCGCTTTGTCCCTACTCCAACAAGCGCACGACAGACCCAATCGAAGCCCGCTAGGCCTTCGTGAACTTGAGGGAATAGTGGCGTCTTGTTTCATTGCGTATGACGAGCTATTCTTGCTTCTGGATGCGCTAGACGAGTGTCCAGAAGACAACGATACTCGGCACGATGTATTCAAGTGGCTGGGAAGCGTCTCGCGCGGAAACAGGACCGTCAAGGTGTTAGCAACCAGCCGAGAAGTACCGGACATAGAGAAGGGAATGACTAAGCTGCACGCGACATCGATGCCAATAGCTTCAGATCCGGTCAACGAGGACATCCGTCGTTACACAGTGTCTCAGCTCGAAGAGGACCATCGCTTGTCTCGACTAGATAGGAAAACGAAGCAATTGATCGAGGATACTATTACCAACAAAGCTGATGGGATGTAAGTAGAGTTGACCCTTGTAGTTGGCGATTTCAGATACTGATCTCGGGCCTTGTAACAGGTTTCGTTGGGCATACTGCCAACTTCAGGAGCTGAAGAAGCTCAAGTCCACTAAGCCCAGTTCGGTTAGGAAGGCCTTGTATGACTTACCTCAGACCCTAGACGAGACTTACGAACGAATTCTGGTGAGTATATCGGACGATTATCATCGCGACGCTGTCGCTATGCTCCGGTTACTGGCATTTTGCAAGTCGCCACCCACGCTTGACGAACTTGCGGAGATCACGATCATTGATTGGAGTGGGGACGGGCACGTAGATACAGAGGACCGCCCAGGGCTCGAGGATCCGCTAGAGATCTTGCCGGGACTTGTTACAGTTTACCAGGCGAAGGAGTGGAATTCTGACCAGCGTGAGCACACCGTGAAAGCAAGAGTCAGGCTAGCCCATTTCTCGGTTCAGGAATATCTTGAGTCAACCCGAATCTCACAAAGCAGAGCAAATGCCTTCCATCTCGAGAAGGGGCGGGATCACAGAATACTGAACCACAGCTGTCTGGCCTACCTCGACTATTATAGCGGTTGTGATGAACGGCTTTCTGAGAAGCGGGATCTGGAGACTTTTCCTTTACTCGAGTACACGGCAAAGTCGTGGTACTATCATTCCCCATTGCAGCAGCCGCCAGATGTCGCACGTGAGCTGCGATTTCTTTCTGACCAGCGTATCGTGGAGCACTGGCTCATGGTGGAAAATATGGAATGGGGCACTGGTAAATTCATACCTCTAGAGAACCATGTGGCCTCAGGTTTATACTGTGCGAGTTTTCTAGGACTCGAGGTAGTTGTCCACGAACTTCTCAAATGTAAAGCAGATCCTAATGTTAAGGGAGGCTTTTACGGCAATGCACTACAGGCGGCATGTTTAATAGGCTACGAGCGAATAGTGCAGATACTTCTCGATGCCGGCGCCGACGTTAACGCTTAGGGAGGCTATAACGGTAATATACTATAGGCGGCATATAGAGATAGCAGGAACGACCGGATGGTATAGATACTTCTCGACGCCGGCGCCGATATATACGCTTAAGGAGGCGAATACGATAATATACTATAGGCGGTATACTTATTTAGTAATAACGAGCGGATAGTGCAGATACTTCTCGATACCGGCGCCGACGTTAACGCTTAGGGAGGCGATTACGACAATACACTATAGGCGGCGTGCTCTATTTACGGTAACGAGCGGATAGTGCAGGTAATTCTCGATGCCGGCGCCGATGTTAACGCTCGGGGAGGCCTTGACGGCAATGCACTACAGGCGGCATATAATAGACGCAACGAGCAGGTAGTGCAGATACTTATTAATGCCGGCGCCGAAGTAAATGCTCAGGGAGGCCGTGAAGGCAGTGCACTACAGGCGGCATGTAAATCATTGTACGGCAACGAGCGATTAGTGCAGATGCTTATCGCTGCAGGAGCCGATGTCAATGCGTCGGCAATAGCTTGCGGTGCAGTTGCTTATACGCTTGAAAGTGCTATAAAGGTGCATCAGGGATGTCAGGACAGCCTTGTAAAAGGGCAGGGCGGAGACTGAGACCAGAAATGGAGGCCGCATAAGCAACGAGGAAATGGTAGCGGAAGAGCAAAAGTGGCGAAACATCGTGCAGATGCTAAGAGATGCTGGTGCGGTTCTCCCCTACAGAGATGAGAGCGATAGAGAGCGATTTGGCACCTTGGCGGCACTATTTTCTTGGAAGAAATCAACTTCTTGGCAGAAGCAGACAAGAGTCAGGCGTATTGCTCGTCGAGCACATCCATCAGGCCATCGCAAACATGCAATGGTTTGTGAAACAGGACATCATCTGTCGTAGAAAGGCGGGAATCCCAATGGAAGGGATGGCAGACAATAATCACAGAGAGAAGGAGGTCATCTCAAAATTGAGGAGAAACATCTCACGGGCATCGCTTCGACTCTAGCTCCGCTACCTATTCAGGCTACCAGCTCGATCCCGATATCTGGTAGCAGTCTGTCTCTTCCGTACGGTCTGCGTACCTCGTACAGATTTAGTCCCCATTGTCTGATCGCGCTGGCGTAGGATCCAGCTGATAGTCAGCAGATGCAACAGAGCCGTGCATATACTTCCAAGTCACGTGCATGGCGTGCAAATGTTGTGAAGCTGAAAGTTGGAAGATGTTGCTGTCAAGCGTGACAGGATGGTCATTGCTTGCATCACAATGTAGCCGTGCAATGCCGCTTTTGTTGCTGGGCGCAGAGCTCGCTCGTCTTGAATTCGAACAGGGTGGCCACTCCCCGGGCTTCTTGAAGCGAAATAGCGGTTGCAAAGACGAAAGTTATTGATTCTTGCGACGCTGTTCCAACAGAATTGGCGCATGGCCTGCCGCAGCACACCCTTTTGACAGACGAGACTTAGTCTTCGTTGCCACGATTACGTCCACTTTCCGTAGCGTGGCATTTTACATTCCGCCCTGCCAGATTCGTCCAATCTTGAAATATCGTGGCGTACAATATCGAGGTCGTCTTCCGAACGAGCATCGTTCTCCTATGAGTACCCTCCAGACAACCCCCCCACAATCTTCAGTCCACCTGGATCTCCAGAATACGCCACCGCATGCCTCAAAGGATGCCACGCGACCCACGTCACCGCATTCGTCGTCTCCAGCTTGACCACCTCTTCTCCCGTCTCAACATGCCAAATACTGAGTCCTCTCTCGTTATCCTTCATCGGATCCGGTCCACCTCCAGCAGTCAAATATGCACCATCGTAGCTGAAGCTCAGATCTCGTACTGCACCAGCAGCCTCCTTTAGGGTGTGGTCGACGAGCCAGGTGTCTGTGTTCCAGAGTGTGATGAGACCGTCGGTGCCGCCTACTGCAATGTGGTTGCCTGTTGGCGATTGTTGTACGCTATACGTTGATCCGCTGTGAGCTACTAGATTATGCACAGGCTGCATGGAGGGGTATGAGAGGACTTTGACAGGTCCTTCGGTTGTCGCGGCGAGGATGTGGTTGCCAGAATTTGTGAAGGCCATCTGATAGAAAGCACCCTTGTCCTTAGTAGGAGATCGATCTGTCGCAGTGGCATCATATTTGGGTAGATTGCTTGCTGGAGGCGCGTTGGGTTCGAGCACCATGGGTGTATCTGCTTTGCGAACGTCCAAGGCTGTAATGACATCGTTTCGCGTTCCTACAAGAAGCTCGGTTCCATTTGGGTGCCATGTCAAGAACAGTGTCTGCTCGCCTGTCTTGTACTCCCCGCTCTTTCCTTGTGTATGCCCTTTTGCGCCATACCCGCTCCCTCCTACCAGACCTGTTCCTCCACCAGGCACTCTTACATCCCAGAACTTCACCAAGCCATCTTGTCCTGTACTCGCCAGCAGGCTCTCCATTCGCGGGCTAAAGGCAAGCTTCTCAACAGTATTGCCGTGCGCACCTGGCTTCGGCCCATCCTGCAGCGCTGTTGTGGCCTTCACATCCGCTCGTTCAGGGTTCCACACTCGGATGTTGTTGTGTATGTTGTGCGCAACCATTGCTCCTGTCGGTGACCAAGATATTGAGCGGATATTCGGGGCCATTGTGCTGTTCGTAGGAATGGGTCGTCCGGTCTCATTGAGCACTATCGGCTTCGCTTTTTTGTAGTCGAAATGCGATGCGACCACATCTTTGCGCAGGTTGCGCCTTGGTGGTGGAGGCGCCATGTTCGCTTGCCTATTTTGAGATATCGGTTTCCATACATGCGGTGGGCAGTCCTGCTAAATATGGCTGCGTTGGCAGAAGTGAAATGTGCAAGCTCGGACGCTGTCGCACGTGTCAAAGTCGCGTGTGGGAAGCTGGCTTGGATCGATGCGGACAAGGATGGCAAACCTGGAAACGGTGGAAGAAGCAAGTCTCCTCCCGCTGTCCTCATCTCCGCCCTCCTGTGCATCGCTTGCTTACACCGACTCTCCTTCGAAGAGTACAAATCTACGCCGTCCTGCTATTGTGTGTTGCGTCGCACAGTTCTCGCGTTGTCCGCCGCCACCAATCTGCACGCGTCACGCTCGATGACGAAGCCAAATCCAGCGGCATCTTGATCGGAAAGCCGCCTGCTTGCTAGGAAGCTTCGGTGCGGATCGCGACAGAACCGACGACGGCACGACTGCCGAAGCAGGACCGGCCACCTACTAGTCTGGGTTAATACTGTCCGCAGTCGCCATCATGCCTACCTCGACCGGCGGGCGCTCAAGTCCTGCTTCCCTGCGTTCGCACCACGTTCGCTACTCCAGCGATTCCAACATCGCCCTGCGGAGCACTATCATGGAGCAGCCCGAGGGTCGTCCCGAGCTCGAAACCTACGATTCTTCCGGCACCAATTCTAGTGGCAACGATGGAGATGAGTATGCGGGCAATCAGGAAAGTCACAGCGACAGCGATGGAATTTCCAGCAGGCATTTCGTGGCAGGCAGTGGGCAGGCATATGCACAGGATGAGGTAACGCCTCTCACCAACGTGTCGACATATGGGTGGAGCCAACCAGGGTCGAGTAATGTGTCCCGGACGACCACGCGAGGTTCCGTTGGCTCTGCGATGCCCGGTACGCCAGCCTACGAGGGGACGGGAACGGCAATGACCAATGGGACGAGACGACCTGCGAATACGAGAAAGGAAAGCAGTAATATCTATGCACCGAACAGAGGGCCTGGGAGCTCGATGCGATATGCATTGAACACGGCTACGCGACCACGAAACGGTTCGACGCATCGACGAAGGAGGAATCCGAACGATGAGTATAGAGCGCAAGAGAAGGCATACGTGCAACGAATACGGCAGGACGCGCCTGACAACGATTTCTATACGGAACCTAGAACACCGAGTCTGGACTACAGTTCTGGAAGTGAGGACGATGAGGAGAGCCCGACCAATGCCAACTACGCAGATCACGACCCGGCCGAAGTTGACACATTGCTCTATTACGGGCAAGAAGACTTGGAGCCATCTGTAGAAGAGTTGAATATACCTGCGAATAGAGAGCGGCTGGAGTGGCATGCAATGTTGGCAAATGTGTTGACGGGAGACGTCGTCAAGCAAGAGAAGAAACGTTTGATCGGTGGCCCAGAGCAACAAGGCGAGAACACACTCAAAACCGAAGTCTGGATAGGAGTACGGGCGAAGACATGTGGTCGATCGATCGCTGCTCAGAAACGTTTGATTGAGGATGGCAGGTCAAAGGTCAAGCAAACGATAGAATCGATAGTCGCTTTCGAGATCAAAGGAGAGGCTGAAGTTGGACAATCGCCTATGCAACAAGTCCAGGATGTGGTGAAGAAGATTGAGAAGATCGAAGGCCTGTACCCTACCCGCCAGGCATTCGAGGCTGCTCATCCTCGAGCTGCATCTTCCGCATACCGGGACACATGCGATGCTGTCATTGCATGGAACAATACAACGGAGCTCATCAGCACTGAGCTTGGAATCCTCCAAAGCTGGGTTGGAAACATGGAATTGGACTTCACGACTGCCCGTGTCCGGCCCGAAGGCGAACAGCATAACGAACTATTCGACGACAGCTCATTCATTGATCGTATTCTCAAGGAAGATGGGCTGAAGTCTCTGCAAGGAGACAAGAACCTTCTCAACGGCGTCAACACTGTCATCCACAAGGCCAAGGCCACCTTGATTGCCAACGCTGAAGCCTTCTCCGATCGTCACCTTCCACCATACATTGAGGAGCTGCTCACTCTCATCAACTTCCCGAGTCGACTGATACAAGAGATCATCCGCATGCGGCTTTCATATGCTAAGAAGATGAAAGACGCAGCGCAGCAAGGTGTTATGACCGCCGAGCAAATGATTCTGCAATTTCAGATCCTGCTGCAGTTAGCTGTGAAGATCAAGGAGCAATACTTGCTCATCGCTCAGCCTGAGCCAGGTTGGGATTTGCCGCCTTGCATCGACGACAATTTCGATTCTGTCGTGCTCGATGCTTTGAAGTTTTACTTCAAGATGCTGAACTGGAAGCTTATGGCTAACAAGAACACATTCAAGGAAGCTGAAATTTTGGAGCAAGAGTGGGACTTCTCAAACGAGCTTGGTCGACATCTTGACGGAGGTGATGTGGAAGTTGCCGAGCAGTTCTCCAGCCTGACATCCAAGTCCATGGGTCGTCTAGCAGCGCATTTCGAGAAGGAACTTCAACGGCCTGCAGACGAGGTCGCTGGTACCGCTGAGATGGACAAACGATATAAATCGATCCTGGACTCCGTTCGTGTTCGACAACGAAAGATCTTCCGATTCGGCAGAATTCTGAGCCAGCGCTTCGAGAACGCAACCGAGTACAACATCAACATCGACAACGAGCTGTATGAGGACTTCCTTCTTGCCCTTAGACTATCAGGCCATTTCCTGGTTGAGACGAACGCCGAAAGTTCTGTGCCCACTCCAGGCGATAACGAGAAGGCTGGTGGCAAGGTCTACATACTGGCTAGTCCCGTCCTCAGAGAGAGGCCGAAGGATATCCAAAGCATGCTCGGAACCTGCTACCACGCCGAAGACAGTCCCGAGGATCCTAGCAATCCCTATGTTCTCATACTGCGACCGGAATTACCTCTTGCCTGGGAAGGTGATCGAATGGACGCTTCGCACTCTGGCAAGGAGATCTTGAAAGTACCGCAGACGCTGGACCTCAAGACTGGTCGGCTACGGCTCGTCGCAGATGGCAGTCTGCAGCGACTTCAGAATGCAAACATGGCGTTCACCACTGCCACAGGTAACTTTGACCTGACAATACTTGTCGAGCAACGAGCAAACCTGCCGCGAGTCAACCAAGAACTGGCAAAGATCCGCAAGACTGCGCACAAGCTCTCCAACACGATCATGGACTCCGTCGCCATTGTGCGCTCGCAGGTCGAAGCCGCAGGGAGAAAAGGCGAGAGCCAAGAACTCATCCAAAACTGCTTTGCATTCGCGACAGAGTTCGGTCAGCGTTCCGCCATCCACATGGACGCACAACGACGAGCGGTCAATCAGCACAAGCTTACAAAGCTTGCCTTGGATTGGGTTTCCTTTATCTGCGATGATTGCGTTGCCTCCGACCGCAAGACCTTCCGATGGGCAGTCGTTGCACTAGAGTTCGCCATGGTCATGACAAGAGGGCAAAACATTCTCTCGATCTCAGACGAAGAGTATGCTCATCTGCGATCTAAGGTCGCAGGCTGCATGAGTTTACTCATCTCTCACTTCGACATCATGGGTGCTCGAGGCACTGTTGCCGCTCAAGCAGAAAAGCAAAGGATGGATGCCATGGTAGGCAAGCTGCGTCTCGACATCGGAAAGCTCAAAGATGACGATGAGTCATCTCGCATAGTACGTGCTCAATGGCTTGACGAACTCGAGAAGCTTGATCAGGCCCGCAAAGACCGCGAGGCAGAACGACAGGCTCTCGGACGAGTTCTGGAAGACTCAAATGACGCTGATCGCGCTTTGACACATCTTTCTGCTTCCGCTGGCAACGTGCATTTGCGATGGCAGCAAGGCCAATTCGTTGGTGGCGGTACTTTCGGCAGTGTTTATGCTGCCATCAATCTTGACAGTGGTCACCTGATGGCCGTCAAGGAGATCCGATTGCAGGACCCGAAGATGATTCCAACAATCGTCTCACAGATCCGAGATGAAATGGGTGTCCTGCAAGTCTTGGATCACCCGAACGTTGTGCAATACTACGGTATTGAGCCTCATCGTGACAAGGTCTACATCTTCATGGAATACTGCTCAGGAGGCTCGCTGGCAGGACTTCTCGAGCATGGCCGCATTGAGGATGAGACTGTTGTTCAAGTTTATGCTCTGCAGCTGTTGGAAGGTCTGGGATATCTGCACGAAGCCAACGTCGTGCATCGAGACATCAAACCTGACAACATCCTGCTCGATCACAATGGTGTCATCAAGTTCGTCGATTTCGGCGCGGCAAAGGTTATTGCCAAGCAAGGAAAGACTGTGGTCGCCGATGGGCCTGGCGGCAATGGTCGCCAACGATCCGTACAAGGCACTCCCATGTACATGTCACCGGAAGTCATCAAAGGCGGGAACCATACTGGCCGTCTCGGCGCTGCAGATATTTGGTCCCTGGGCTGTGTCATCAGCGAAATGGCAACTGGCTCGCGCCCATGGGCCAACATGGACAATGACTTCGCCATCATGTACAACATTGCCAACGGCAACTCACCACAGATGCCAACACGAGACCAAATGTCCGACGTCGGCCTCGACTTCCTAAAGCGATGCTTTGAACGAGATCCTGCGAGACGTGCTTCTGCTGCTGAGCTTCTGCAGCATGAATGGATCTCTTCAATCAAGGTTCAACTCAGTCTCGAACCTGGCACGCCGCAGACGCCTTCGATACAGAGTGAGAACTCGTATAGTGGTGGGTTGGCGACGCCTAGCAGTTCTACGTCCACCAGTAGCCGACAATTTTAGCAGAATCGTCGCGCGGTGAGCGATTGTGGAGAGGTCAGAGGAATTGATGAAACGCTTGGTCTCTGCTTTCCGCATCCGATTGCAAGACGGGATACGGCGGTAAGCGAGAGCGATGCCGATGTTGTCAGGAGTCAGAGGAAGAGTGGGAAGAAGAGAGTCTCGTTCAGTGATGAGGGAAGCTTCGTTCCTCCTCCAACGAGAATGACACTCGAACTACCGGAGAAGAGAAGACTTGCCCTAGAGAAAAAGAAGAGCGCGCTGGAGATGTATTTGGACGATGTTGCGGTTGGAGATTATTGTTTGTGGGATCGTTGCGATCTGTTGGATGTTATGCCGCCTACTCCTGAAGAGCATGAAGTTGCAAAAGGAAGTGCGGTGACGGCATTGAGTGGTTGAAAGATCTCATTACTGGATTGAGTGAGTTGAAGAGGCTGCATTGCATTCTTGAGTCCTTCGACTTCTGGTCGACTTGATACCTACTTTGGCACTAAATTGAGACGTACGAGACGAGAGGATACATTAGCGAGGGCGTTCTTTGGGTTTAAAGAGAGTGGGATGTTTCGAGGCATTATGCATTTTTTTTTTCTCTTCGTTTTGCATTAGTTTAGTCCGGGCCTTGATTATGGGCTGCAATTCCTAATTCTACTCCGGTTCGGAAGAATGCAACTTTTAATCATTCTGCCAACACAAGCCTCACCTTCACTCACTCAGCTGCATGAATAATCCCATGCCTGAGGAAGAAACTGCACAAGCAAAGCACTCCACCTCTCTCACGTGACAGATAAGATAAGCCCCACATAAGCTCAAGCTCCGCAAGGGCGGGAGGGCGCCAACTCTGTGGACATTGATGAAGCCAAGTAGACCACATCCTTTCACTGCAGACATTCAAACTCGACATTCATACGAACAGGACAGAACTACTCACTACCACGACAACCATGAAGGTCGCAACCGTAATCGCCGCATTGGCCCTCGGCGTCGCCGCCTTGGACAAACCACTCGACATCGAAAAGACACACACAGTCGAATGCACAACCAAGACCAAAGTCGGTACGTACAAATCCCCACGACGAGGCGTCAGCCATACCATTTCGCAAGCTGACATATATTCCCTTCCAGGCGACAAAGTAGAAATGCACTACCGCGGCACCTTGGCCTCCGACGGCAGCGAATTCGACGCCTCCTACAACCGCAACCAACCCCTCTCATTCACACTGGGCAAAGGCCAAGTGATCAAAGGCTGGGACGAAGGCCTGCAAGATATGTGTGTAGGAGACAAGAGGAAATTGACGATTCAGCCGGAATATGGGTATGGAGATCGGGGAATTGGTCCGATTCCTGGTGGAGCGACGTTGATTTTCGAGACGGAGTTGGTGACGAGTGAGTTTATACTTTCCTTCTTCTTTCTCTCTTTCTGGGAGTGGGGTTGGGGTTGAGGAGGGTGGGAAAAGGAGGAGCGAGGGAGGAGAGACAGGAGGGGAACGAGAGAGTTGTGGAAGAGAGGAATTCTTGCTAACCTATGTGCTTTTACAGTCAACGGAAAAGGCGCAGAACCGGCCGCAGCGAACGACGAGCTATGAGCAAGATGACCCGAAAACGCGAAGTGTGAAGATTAGCAGCCAGTCTGCGTGAATGATAGATTCTGCAATCGGAAAAAAAGTCATGGTGCTCTGTTGCTCGGTCCGGAGAGAAGCCAGTCTCAATTCACTAATAACCGTACCGTCTTGGTATTAGTCTCGGGCACCGAAACCATCTGCCATAGAACATCCTATCTTTTGGCATTGGTCTGAAATATCCCGAATAGCTCGTCGGCGGTGCGAGAAATACGACGGCAAGGAAAAAGGAAAATTTTCTTCAGAGTGCAACACTGTCTCGTGCGTGAGACACAGTCCCGTCACTGAACCAGGTCTTGGAACATCCAGTGCCGGCTGATGACCTAGGATTGTGCTATAGTAATAGAGTAGTAGGATTGGTTCGAGCTCATTCGGAGTTCGCTGCGAAGTATTAATGCTGACTCACTCTGCACCAGACCGCTGACTACAGTAGTATTGCGCAGCGCGCTATGGAGAAGTGCGACACTTAGTAGTCAGTCAAATTCCGAGATCCCGATGTGGTCGGAATTCTAGGCATCCTCGTTGGACACAAGACGTCCAGTGCTTACCACGCTAACAACGAAAGCGTCCAAGTATTCCACACCGCCTACAAGGACAGTGCTGTTGTTGCAGACACGAACAGCACGCGACACCACGGTCTCAGCACAGCCGATGCATGGAAACGACCGTTGTGTTAGTGATGCGGCGGCGATGCTCCGGTTCTCGATCTTGACTTTTTCTGCTTACTTACCGTGGGAGCAGTAGTGGCCGGCGGGAGTGGACGCCATAGCTCACCGGTCTTTGAAGGCTGACATTACTATCGTGCGGAATATAGGCGTCAAGAATAGCGACAAACGGTGGACACGCTGCCTGGTACGATTCAGCCGGCATGGTATCGTGGTTCCACGGTAGGGAACGCCATTCGAAACGCTCAAGGCAGTGTAGGCGGAGATCGCGAAGCCACTGTAGGCCATGTTCTTCGTCTATGGCGACGACCAGATCCAACACGAGCTCGAAGGTGTATTGTCCAGTCGTAGGCAGCGGATTTGCGTGACGAGCAGTTTTCTGGCGGAGGGTCGAGTGCCTGGTGGGTCTGCTCAGGCTCTCCAAGTGTCCGACAACATGTCCAATGCCCTTGCTTCATTCGCATGAACTGGCGGTGCGGTCTTCGACACTATGTGCCGTGTAAGCGCTCGCTCTCGAAGCACCGGCCGTCCAGCATCTTGTCTGCAAGTTTTCCCGAGTCGATATGCATCCAATATGGGTGGTGCAGCACGGATACATGGTTGTGGCACGTAGACTAAGTCGGCTCTGAATCTTTTTCAGCAGATTATGCATACGTTACACGTGCCACGTTTTGGCAACGTGACTTATATTGCCGGGGCTGGCGGTGGTGCGACCGATCACGACCCTTATGGTGTGTGCCCCTGCGATCTGCGTGCGTAACGGACTTCTGAACTGTGACAATGAGGACAGCGATTGCCCTGTCCGCATGAAGCATTGTTGGCGCGGGTGTGGAACTCGTGCAGACCGCGCGTCGAAGCAGGTACCCACGAGGCATTGTCCGCTCGCTTTCCATGTCGCTCGGAAGTTTTGTTGCAGATGAGGAAGGAGCGCCGCTTCGAGAAGGTGTGCGGTACGCATGAGTTTCAAGATGAGCAGAGATGGGGATGGCTTCTAGACAAGCCAGCATGGCCCTGTCACGACGTCGATCTCGATGCTCCACGACATCATCTGGTGTCGAGCGGAGCAGAGATCCGCAGCGAGCTCAACATCTGCGAATGTCATTCAGTCGGCAACAATGTTCGGCTCTTGCGGAGTGCTCCCAAATGTATCAAGAAATGGTTCTCATCCTCATTCACTCAGTGCTCGCAATGACCAAAGGCACTGTTCATCTTGTGCTGCTTGAAGGTGCCAGGTCACAGGCGCGGCATTACTTCTGCAACGGGGTTAAAGACGCGTGTTTCTCGGCTTGAGTCTTCATCCATATAACTTCGGCCTCCACATCGACCTGACTGCAATTTCGGCAGCTTGCAATACGCAGGCCGACAGTAGAGTAGTCTGGTGTCTGTACTGGACTGACCAGATGAAATAGTGGTCGACGTTGCTGAAAAACCTGAGGTATGTCACATGGCAAGTATGAGGCGTACTCGGCATTTCCATTTTGAGAATTCGAGTTTCTCGAATATGTCTGGAAGCCAGCGGAAGATCCACATGTCGAAGCCCTGTTGCTTCTCATCTCAGCATAGGGAATAGATTGTCTCACGTCTTGAGTCAAGCTCACGTGCGCCCATCACACCGACTGCGCAGACCGTCGCTACCGGGAGATCCGCTAGCCAGATGAAGGTGATCGCTTTTGGTGACGCTGATCGCTAGTTGCACAGAAACCTTGCGTAAAGCAGGGGAGCCATGAGGCCAAGGCAATTGGCAGTGTGGTCCCAAGACGCGAAGGAATCTACGCTGTAGCGGCCGTTTTACGAGAAAAGGCGGTTTTGACCTCGGAAGCGTCGCCTACGGTCAGCCACCGGTGGACATAGTTGCTCCTGAACAACACGATCGTATCGATGTCAAGCGAACAGCGAGCGTGAGGGCCACTCTGTCGCGTGCCGTGTTCCATTTTAGATCGACGCAGCAGCAGCGGATGGTGGAAGATCTGTGCGAGCCGGCGCATCTGGTGACGAGTGATCTGCGCGGCTGCCGCCGCTAGAGCATATGCATGTCAAAAACGTGGATCCGAGCCGGAGAAACTGCTGTAAGCACAGGAAGTTCATGGGTCCCTCGACGACGCGAGTGCCGGTACTCCATCGTCTTCGGGAGGGTTGCATAAAAGAGTAATGGCGCCGAACATATGTGAGACGTTTCCTCCATCATCCGTGCAGCAATCACCCGGCAGGAGGCGTCTGGCGCGCGAACAAGTGCTCGGCGTGCAAACAGGGCCGGAGCTGTGCCACCTCGCGCGAGGCGCTGCGTGTCGTCGGATGTTTCCAGCGCGAGGCAGAGCTGATCGTGCTGCGAGGTGATGGGAGGCTCGCGTGTCTTTGACGCAGCCCCGAGCGGGCGAGCGGTCTTCTTTCGCAGCAGTGAAACAACAGCACCGTAGAGTGCTTATTCTTAGCAGGGCTGCAGCCTGGGTGCAGCAGCAGTCGTTGGTGTTCGCGATCTGCGATGCAATGGTGACGGCGCTACTTCCTGTGGTGATCTGCTCGTGACGGGCTCGTATGTGTATTTGGCGGAAGGTGTGGTGGAGGCGGGAGCTCTCAGTTCACGCTTCTTTCGGGTGCGAGGTGCAGCGCGCGGTCGGTGGGCGTGATAGGCTGATCAAGTCGACAAGTTCGAGAGGCTCGCTTAGAACAATGTGGTGGGCCGTCGATCAGAGCGTGGCACTGACAGGGTTGGAGTGCAGTGAAAATCACCGCCTTTTGCCGTCTAGCGAGCGCTCAAAGGGTGCTTGTTGAGTGGGTGGATCTCCGCCGCGCATATGCGACTCGACCCGCTTCATCGGCTCTGCTTGTCTGCCTGCGACGACGTGTCATCGTCGAGCAGCGCGTTTGGCAGCAGCAACCACGCAGCCGACGAACAGCATAGCAGGCACAACGCAGCACGGCATCCCTGTCGGCGGGCAGCTCTGCCCCTCGAAGTCGAGGCACAGCGTGGCACGGCAGGCGAAATGACGAGCCGCAGAAGGCCGCACTCTGTGCCTCACTAGCGTTGACGACCAACACGGCGGCGTGGTCTCGCAGCGAATCCCATGCTGGAGCGGCCGCCATGCCATCGCAGCACGGCACGCGGCGATCCTGCGAATCTCTGGCGATGCGGGTGCAGAGTGCACAGCTTGTGCATCCAACGATGCGCACTCCGGAGGCCTTTTCCTGTATGCACGCCGCTCCTGTGCCGCGCTGCAGCAGCACGAGTGTGGTGATGGTGTTGGGTGTATGCGAGGCCGGACAGACAGGCGAAGCGCGGCGAGCAGCAGGACAGACACTGGACAGTACTGCAGATCGATGGATGATGAGACTTTCCGTTCACGATCCACCGGAGTGGACCACCTTGGCCCGACGCTGCGAGTCTTCAGCAGCAGCGCGAACGAGACCCTGCACATCGACTGGCCGGGCGTGCAGTCTAACTTAGCGGCGACGAGTCAAGAATGCTCCGCGCGCGCGAGGTCACATCGCTGGAGGGCCTCCTAGGAGGACGCTGCTGACAGGCGGTGGACGTCGCGCTGGTTTGGGGGCGTCCGGCTGGCAAGTCCTGTCAACTCCTGTGGCAGCTCCACCCGTGGGCGATGTGGATTGCCGTTGCAGATTGAGAGGGAGCGCAACGCAACGCACGACCTCCTCCGTGCTGCTGCTGCTGCTACTGCTGCTGCTGCACGTTGCCCATCCATGACGGAGGCGATGCCACCGATGCATCCTTCGTCGCTGTCTTCTGCACCCGTTCACGCTACTGCCAGCAGACGACGTGTGGTGCCGCGAAGGGTGATGTTCCCGAGCCCGATAGATTAGCAGCCAGGATGGACCCACCCGCGCGCCGCTAGCCTCGCGCAAAAAGCACCTTGGCCCAACTTAACTAGCCTCGCGACGCCTGCTCACGCCCACGCGCTTGTCACCTCACTGCCGCTGACCAGGGTCGCCGACCTCCTGTCGCGCTTGCTGCGAGGCTAGCACGTGTGTCCCGCCCATCGACGTCGACGGTCCCGGGAGAGTCAATTTACGCCCATCACTTGGGCGCTGTGCCTCCAATTTACATACTGCCCGCTGTAGCCTCGCCCGCACCAAGCGACTAGCCATTCCTCCCTCGTGTCCGACAATATCAGACTCGCCACGCCACCTTTTGTCGACTCGGGTACCTGATCTGCCATCCCAGTGTTTGCCAATTCACTCTCATCAACAACCATCACCTCAAACCAGACTCTTCTTCACATCCATTGGAATGGCAACAACGGTCAGCATGATGGCGTACCCCGTCCGCAATGGCTTCCAAGCCTATCCGCAACACTATGCCATGTACCCGACTCGTGCGCAGCAACCGCAACTGGACGTCAACCAGCCCATGAACGTCAACCCATACGCATACAACCACGTCGCACAACAACAACAACAACAACAACAACAACATCACCCGCAACCGCAGCCGCAACCACAACAGCAGCAGTCCTACCATGTGCAACCTCGCTCTCCTCAATCCTCGGGATCACCGACGTCAGACGACGGCTTCAAGCCATCACTCCCATCGATATCGAACCTTCTCAGCTTCGCCGATCGACCTGGAGGTGATGCCAGTAAGTTGACGCCCCTAGTCTTCCGCGTGATGTTGTCACTAACTTCTCACCAGATCAAACTTCACAAGGCTCCGCGGCACAGCAACAACAGAAAGAGCAGGTGGGGTCGCAACAAACGTCACCACCACTACCATCATCACAAGCAATCGTTGCACAACAAAACCAACCCGCCTCGTATCCTGTTGCTGAGGCGACTTCAAGTCCTCGCGACGTAGTCCCACCGCCACCGCCAATGCGCAGCGACTCGGTGCTGGAGTCGACGAACAGCCCGTCAACCATCTCGACGGCATCCGCACTCTCGGGCTCTCCATATTACGTGGGCAGCTCAATCAACAACATGGAGCCAGCAGACCAGCGCGCAGCACAATTCCCAGTGATGAAGCGTGCACAAGTCCCTTCGCAGATGAACGCCTCACCATATGGCAGCGCACGCTATACGGCCTCGCCCTACGCGAACTCGCCCACAAGCATGCCGGGCACGACATATTATCCACCACAACAGACTGCGTATCAAGTACCTCAAGGAATGTATCAGCAGAGGCCGCTTCCCTCCAACTTCCCTCCGCCACCCCCAGCTGTCCAGGTCCAATCCTCAGCCCCTCTACCTACAAGCAACCCTTGGGAGCACCACCACTACATCAGCCCATCATCACAAGCCACGTTTCCACAGTCTCAAGACCGCTACATTTGCACAACGTGCAACAAAGCCTTCAGCAGACCATCGAGCTTGAAGATCCACACACACAGCCACACGGGCGAGAAGCCTTTCCGATGCCCGCACAACGGCTGCGGCAAGGCCTTCTCCGTGCGCAGCAACATGAAGCGACACGAACGCGGGTGCCACAGTGGCATGGCAGGTCACATTGCACACCCACACATGATTTGACGTTAAGCGGATTTTGACTTTTTTCACAAAACGGCACACTTTGGACATGGATTTCTGCACCGACAAGCGAGGAGTTCCTGGCGTTATTTTCGGGCCCATCTGCGCAACGCAAATCCCGCGCGTGACTGGGGCCCATGGGGTTTTCGAAACTCTGAACTGTACAGCAAAAAGGATTTACCAGGTAATCCCTGGATCCATTGGATTTTCTGGAACGGCGAGCACAGCGACTGTGCGGCGGAGAGAAAAAAGGATGGTCGTCGCCTTTTTAGCCGAGACGCCGATGTAGAACTAGTATTAATTACTCTGACTGACGCCTTAGCCAAGCAAACAGACGGCTTGAGCTAGTATAGAACGGCGCGCCCGGATGGGCCATCGCAAGCCGGAAGCAATGAAATGAAAGACAAGATAATAATCTGACTGAGATGCTGGTGTCGCAGTTTGTCTCAGTTTGATGTGCGAAAGTGCAAGTCGATCCGTTCAGACCGTGGACTTGGGATCGCGGTGTGATCTTGTGTGTGAAGACGGTTTGTCGCGATCGATTTTCGCGTCTTCATGCTTGTAGGCGGATGCGAAAGGAAACCATTTCGAAACTGTGATCAATGTTTCAAGACTCGGACAGACCACCGCGACACCAAGAAGAAACAGTCGTCAGCATCCAAGTCAGCTCAAATCCCGTGTGAATTCGAACAAGTCCACTCCCTGCCCGACTGGACCCATACAACTCCACGATCTCCAGTCAATCCAGTCCAGTCCAATCCCCATTCATCCTTCCAGACCATCAGCTTGCCCCCTATTCTTCGGACACGACGCCGTAATAGCGGTCGACGAGTAGTCGCTCAGACAATGGACGCGATGACTGTGATAGTCTAGCCAGACATCGGAACTGCATCGTCGGGTTAACTCCCCTGTGTCCGATGAAGAAGGTTTGCGAGGTTCAACCACCGTCTAGCAAATCATAACGCAACGGCACGACGATCCGGACACAGCACGCACGTCGAAGGAGGAAGTATGTCTCGCATATCGGTTGCACTATTTTCCCTCCCTTGCCCTTGTCCCAGTGCCAGGAAGCTAGGTCCAGTGCCTTAAAGGCCTGTCACGACGACACAACCCTATCTCCAAGTGGGTCCAGACTTCCGAGACTTAGTCCCAATTGCTTATACAAGCACCTCTCAAAACGGAAAAGTATTTAGCCCACGTACCTGACGGATCAGGTAAAACTGCTTACAGAGACTAAGTCGCATCCTGGTCCAACTGCAGGGCACGATATGGCTTTCGTTTCTTTTTTGCTGGCTAATGAGGGAAATACGCTACCACTTCGATGGTTCCGCACGATGGCCAGTCCTGTTGCTCCTCCTGTCCTTCGTGCCCCTTGCCTGGTTCAATCCTGTCTTGCTCCAGCCGGATCCTCGCGGGAAGACAGTGATGGGGATGGGAACGAGCATAAGGTTTTCCAATTGTTTGATTCCTCATCATAGGGCTTGTTCAGTTGCAACTGTATGTTTCGACCAACGAGACGATCGATGGACGTGGAGAGGAGGGTCCTGGAGATCGTCCCGGATGATCCATTGTAATCTGCCATTGCTGTGCCGCAGACCAGGCAAGATTCTCCCGCATTGTCGTTTATTGACTCTGGGAAGCTTTCATGTCGGGAAACGCTGTACGCCTCGCCAGTCGCCACTCTGAACGAAGCGCCCGGGATCGTAAGGCGAAGGATCTTCGGGAAGCATACTACCTGTTCCTCCTTTGCGAACAGACACAAACCAGGTGAGAGAAAACCAGCAAGCCTTGTCTTGTCACCTTGAACATCCGCCACTCGTGATCGTCGTCGACGCGAGTGTTCGACTAGGCTAGGCCATGTTGTCGATCGTTTAACTCGTATACGGTTAGTACCATTTCCTTCAGACTGGCAAAACTCAGGCACAAACATCCAGAGACACTGCGAGCGCAGGCAAGAAAGCGGTGTGACAATGTTGCAACCTTGCTACTTTCCGTGAGAGCAGTTCCGCAGGGCTCTTGAAAGCGCTTGCGTGGAAATGGTCCTTTGCTGGGCATCCAACTGGATAGTGAACGACTTCCATGGAAGTTTGTTGCAAGGCTCTGCCTAACCCACACCCAACAGAGATCAGGCCCGTTGGAGCCTGTTGATGTGCGAACGACGGGCTGATTCCCTGTTCAACTCTGTCGATCCTGTTCGCGTATGGCGACAGCTGCTTGGCTACGCAATCACCGTGATTGCTCGAACAAGCTTGGTAGAGTGAGAGCCAAGCAGGTCAAGCCGCCATCATCATGCCACCGTGGCCGGAACAAGATGCCGTTCGCTGGTGTGTTGACTGCGGATACTTATCCGCCTGCAACGGCAGTTGCATTGGGCATTGGCACTTGTTGGTAGACGGGTGAAGTGGTATAGAGTGAAGTCAACTTTCTCGACCCTTGATAGTGCTGGTGACTGATCAGCCACAAGAGCTTGTTGGCAAGATGGGTGGCTGGTGACTCCGCAGAAGTGAAAATGACCCAGCAACAATTCCCCCGACCCGGACATAAAATCGCAAGATATGCCCGACACTTGGGACGATCCTCGCCATCCTCTGGAGGCCCGACGTGACCAGGTCCTCATTCAACTGTTGCAGGCGCGCTTGTTCGCTTCGCTGTACCATCAGGCGACGTTGGCTGTTCCCGGACGTGGCGAAGGATCAAGGTAAGAAACGCCGAGCCTGCAGCTGTCTCGTATTGACCAGCACTCCTAGACCATGACCGTCGTGTGCCGCGACGAGCTCCATCGTTAGCTGTGTTCTACCTGCTCGGACAAACTCACATACCTGTCACATTTCGTCGCCGTCGCCCTGTGCAAAGTTGCTGCAGCTAACGGAACAAGCAATCGGACCATTTATCGACGACCGGGCGGAGCAACTTATGCATTGATGCCACGCACCAGGATGGACTTGATGCACCAGCATTGCAAGTCTGTCACAAGCTGCGTACGCCTGGTCCACGCTACCCAACGCGCATCGGACATCCTATCGTTGTCCCCATGAAACCGTGACGAGAATTCGTCACCTCAGGTGAGACAGCGAAGACAGGAAGCAGAGCTTCCTACGAGCCTCACTCTTAGCAGCGACAGCGGAAGGTAACTGCAGCAAGGGCGGCCGTCGTGGTCGTCAGGCATCAAGAGCTTGACCTTGGACTATCACCAAAGAGGCTATCCTCTGGTCCTCTGCAGTTTTCTTCCTTGTGTATCCCGCCAGTCCCGTAATAGGCGCCTCTTGGCTGGACGCCTTATGACGCGGTGAGAGGTCGCCTTGTGCTGTGCCCCCATGGCATGTCGCTGTGTTCCGATATCCGTGAAGCTCGGGATTTCTAGCGGGCTTCTAGTTGCTGATGCCCGGGAGGTAGCTCTCAAAATTCAATTGTGTTTCAGAGGGAGGTAGGGAGAGATGTCGCTGGCTTTGATGCTGGCTCGGAGAAGTCAGGTGCGGAGGGAAAGACGGCTGTCGGCTCCGAATTGGAGTGAAGGGCACAGCAGGTGTGCTTGTGCTTCCTGGTGTTTTTGGTATTGCCACAATATAGATGCTGACAGAGAAGTCGTCGACGACGCCTGCTGTGAGGATTTGGCGAGACATGTTACAGAACGTCGACGGGCCTCGTACCGGAATCTCTGTCGTTCGGCGAAGTGCGTCACAGGCAAGTGCCACTTCCCGATCCTCCTTCCTCGCAGAGCAGCCGCGAATCCCGTCAACGGCAGCTGCGTGTGCCAACGTGCCTCCCTTCCAGTAGAGCATGCAGAAGCCATATTGCGAGCGCCGAGCAACACTTGTAGCCCAGCATGTGGCCCACCATTCTCTGTTGTGCCTCAGCCTTCGGTTGCTCATGCTCGAGCAGTCGAGCGTTTCCGATTTTGACTGCAGCCCAGCAGAATATGATTTCTCATCAGATGTGAGACTACTGCAGCTTCACAAGCTGCCAAGAGCATTCCGGAACAGCGGCCTTCTTCCACTTCGCCTTTTGGAGCTTCGATCGATGCCTCATCGAGGCTAGAGGCTCTTGTGCTTCATCGTCCACGAGGCGCGTGCTGAATGCTATCAACCTACCGAGACGTGTAGGCGGCGGCTGGGCGATGGGAGGTGCGCATTAACTAGTGCAGGAGCCTTGTGAAGCCGTGCGGCACAATGTTTGCATCCTGTCAATGATTAGAACACGCTGAGCTGCGATTAGACTGCCTGCTGGGTAAGTACGACTGGTGAGCAAAGAGATGGAAACCGTCGAGATCTGCTGCACATGCACATGAAAAGCATACTCAACAAAGGAGACTCAGTAGGCATATATACAGGATGTGGCTCTATAGAACATTGGCAGCACCCATCTATAGCACTGAGAGGTTGCCGAATTTCTCCTAAAATGGAAGTCAGTACTGCGAGGCGAGACCGCAAGCATAGAGGTGAACATACCTGGTAGCCTGGAACTTGCCAGCGACCCTTCGACACGAGTTGCGAGACGCGCTCGTCGATGTCTGGGCGGGCAGCAACAACTTCGTCCTGTATGATCACCCAGGTCAGCCTTCCATCGGCAATTCGTCACGTGACCGATGCATTGAATCTGAGCTTCTGATATCCATGTCTCGATCCCAATCCCAATACGTACCACAGTGAGGTCCTCAAATGGTCGGGCAGACTCAATGTTCTTAAGAGTCTTCTCCAAATCCTGCAGCTCAGCGTCTACCTTGCCCTTGGTCTCCTCAGCGCTCTTGACGGCCTGGGCCTCAAAAGCTTCAATGGCCTTGATCTGTCTCTGCACATCGTACTTCTTTGGCTGGAAAGCGGAGAATTGCTTCTCAATATCGGCGATGACGTCCTGGTTCTTCAGGACGGAGCGGTAGTGCTGGAAGTCAACGGTTTGGGGTTGCTCGGAGAGCTGCTGGACCTTGCGGCGCGCGGCATCGTTGCGCTGCTTGAAGGCGGCCAGGGAGTTGGCGGTGCTTCCCTTGAGACCTAGCTTGGAGCCTAGGTTGGCCCAGTCGACCTTGAGAGCGGCGGATCGCTGTGGTGGAGGGTGTGGTTAGTATGGCTCGCAGAAAAGGCTTTGGCATTGAGTTGAGGAATAGGTTGCCGGGCGCGCGAACGTGTCTTCGTCCCCGGGAGGAGCTGGATTTCGCGCAGATGTAGGAACAGCACATACCGTAGCCGCCATTGTGCAGACTGTCGAGTTGGAAGTGGAGATGGGGTGGTGGTGAAGCTGCTGTCTCGAGCGAGGTCCGAGTTGTCGTCAACTTCGGTGGTGATCCCTAGAACCGCCGGACGCTGAGGTGCCTGAGGCAACCACTCGCGCTTCAACATCGCGTCTCCAATGCGAGCTTGATGGATGTCAAGAGACGAGTATGGCGATCCGAATAGTAAGACGCGCACATGGCGTCGCACGGAGTCTGTCTCTCCGAAGAGCTGCCAACATTTCTCAGAATGCTGTGCGGCCCTACAGCCAACAGAAACCAGAACTCGACATAGACCAGCTCCTCTCGACGCCAACCTGGTCGGTATCTTCTCTTTTACCCAGCAGTAGCAGCTCCTCCTCAACGCCGCAAATCACATCTAAACAGCTTCACCATATGCTCCGACTCTCAGCTCTACCACCACCAAAAGACGCCGCAGAAGAGCTGAAGATGCTCTCGACTTTCTCATCACAACTGCATTTCGTAAAAGACATTCAACAAATGGATACAACAGGCGTAGAGCCGCTCAGAAGTCTACGAGACGAGACACAACAAGGAGAAAAGGAGGCAGAGCTTGGTCTGGACGCATTGAAAGTCGCTCTGGAAAACGAGGAGATCCGAGGCAGGTGGCATAAGCGGATCCGGCGGCAGAGAAAGCCTGCGGATTCGCAGAGATGGGATGTTTTGGGCTGTGCGAGCAAGAAAGTGGGGAGATATTTCGTGGTCGAGGGAGGGAAAGATGGGTGAAATTGGGTAATTTCGATTCACAATCGAGTGTCTCCAAATATCCGACTGGATCGCTACACGGTTCGCTTGGAACCCCAGTGGCCCTGAATACCACAGAATCTCAGAGAAACAAGAGAACTGACAGGTATCTCCAAGAATCTGCCCGCGTCTCTATCCAGCCCGCTTGGACTTCTGGTAGCACTGAAGAAGCAGGATTTTCAGAGAAACGCAAGATCGATGAGTATCTCCAAGGATAACAAAATCTCGCTCTGCAGCACGCTTGTACATCAGATGGCATTGAACACCAGGGATTTCCAGAGAAAACAGAGGGCTAGTGACCATCTCCAGAAAGTCGATCGCGTCGCTCTGCGGCCTGTCTGCAATCCTGGTGGCATCGAATATCACGGTTTTCCAGAGGAACGGGAGGACCGACGGATATCTCTATAAATCAGCTCATACCGCTATGCTGCCCTCCTGGACATGTAATGGCATTGCAAGCATCGGGTTTTGAGAGAAACGAGAGGACCAACGATCTTCTCCAGAATTCCGACTGAATCGCTTCGCAGGCAGGATAGATATCTGGCGGCATCGAACACATGAGTTTTGCGGAGAAACGAGTGTCTAACGAGCATCTCCAACAATCCGACTGGGTCACTCTGGGGCCTACTTGGACATCTGGTGGCATTGAACGCATGAAATTCGCGGAGAAACGGCTCCGACCAACGACTACCTCCAAAAATCTACCAAACCGAACTCCCTCCCCATCTCCCACCCAAACGCCCCAACTCGCCACCCAAACTCCGAAACAACGCACAAACCCACCCAAGCAAATCCCCATCACTTCTCCTCCTCCTCCACCTTCTTCTCCCCCTTCTCCGCCGCCCTCCTCTCCTTCTTCGCCTTCTTCTTCTCCTTCCTCGCCACCGCCTTCTCCCCCGCCACCCTCTCCTGCTCCTCAAGCTCCTCGAGATTCGCAAAGAACACGTGCTTCACCTTCACATTTCCGTCCTTATCAAACAACTCCGTCCAGAATCTCTCCTCGTCCAGCTCATACTCCTCACTTGGCACACGCGTCTCTTTCCACAAGATGTCATATTTGACGCCGTTCAGGGACACCGCGGTCGAAACTTCTTCGACGTCTTGAGCTTTGGCGCCGTCGCCAGTGGTACCATTTCCAGAGAGCGCAGGAGAGTTGGTGACGGCGTACCCCTTGAATTGGGCCGCGCTGCAGAACACCACAATTGCTTTTGGTTCTGGGTGGCCGAGGCAGACGAGGAGGTTGTGTGGGTAGGTGAAGTTTGGGTCCTCGCGGCTCTCTGGGAGGAAGTAGTGGGGGATGAAGTTCGCGATGGCGTTCAGGCAGCGGTCGCGGTGGGCTGGCGACGGAGATGCGTTGGATGGCTTGAGTGATTTTGGTGCCATGTCTGCTGTCTGGTGCGGTGTGAGTGTTAGTCGCGGAGCGATTCTCTGTTATGTGTGATGTGTGTTATGTGACGTGGGTTGGCTATGGAGTGGCAGAGCGTGGGGTTTGGCTTGTGGTATGAGAGAGAAAGAGAAAGGAAGAAAGCGGCGAGGTGGCGGGGTTTTGATTGTGCGAATGTGAAGTATGCGTGGCTGCCTATCTGTTCAGTTTCGCCTTCACTTCAATAACGTCGGGCTGGAAGACAACAATAGCGTGCATATATGCACGACGGTTTGGTGGGATATGCAGTGAATAAGCTCACAGCTTCAGATTTCTTTATTCACTCAGCAAGCACAATGGCGGGAAGGGGCAGGCAACAGGGAGGCAAGGCATACTTCTACACAATATCAAGGCAAGAGGTCGGTAGGGTATTGTGTCAAATACCACAGTACCACGTAGAGAGCACAGGAGTACACGACATGGGCACGCGAACCAAGACTGAGCAGCACGACGAATAATAAACGACAAGAAGGTAGAACGTTCGTTGGTATCATTTCGAAACAAACTACCCTGCAAGCCGATGGACCCCCAAAGGTAGTGTGGCGGTAGTAGCGTACTAGTATACAGTCCTGTGAAGCCTACGCCGAGGAGCTCTAAACAGGTACTGCATAGCCATGGCTTGACTTTGAAGGATGACGATGGAAGAACGCCAACACCATGCTCCCTCCCATCCCTTTTCTTTTCGTGAGACGCTAGACAAAAACAATCGACAAGCTTGACGCTGAAGCTGCTTATGCCTGAGTGACCAAGTCCTTCTTGAGCGTACCGACGAACTGCTTCTTCTCGGTAGGCGTTTGGTAGGCACCGTGACCGAACTTGGAGGATGTGTCGATCCATTTGAGCTCGACCTTCTCGAGGGCACGGCGGGATGTGTGGATGAACATGGACTTGCGGAGGGTCATGACTCGCTTCTTCACACCTGGGACGGAACCCTTGAGGAGGACGAAGTCGTTCTTGACCTCACCGTAGCGGACGAAGCCACCCATACTGCAGAGATGTTAGCAACGGCCTTTGCGAGAATAATGCTTGGGAAACATACGGTGTGATGGTCTTCTTGCTGTGGTCAAAGTCGGTAGTGGCGTTGCCCTCGTCAGAGCCCTTGCCAATGCGGTAGACCTTGTGGTTGACAGAAGTACGGTGGTGGTAACCCATTTGACCAGCACGGGCAACAGTCCATTGCACGTGCGATGGATGCCATGCACCGATACAAGCGACCTTGCGGAGACCCTTGTGTGTCTTGCGCGGAAGCTTCTTGGTGCCCCAACGGCTGGTCACACCCTGGTAACCGTGACCCTTGGTGACGGCAATGCAGTCGATCATCTCGTCCTGCTCGAAGATGGTGTCGATCTCGACTGGCTTCTCGAAGAGACCGTGGCCGAACTCGACCTTGTCAGCGATGGAGCCACCGTTGACCTGGATCTCCATGAGGTGGGCCTTCTTCTGCTTGAGAGGAGTCTTGGAGATCTGGGTGTGGGCAAGCACACGCACGACAGTGCAGTACTTCTTGATGCGCTCGAGGTCACGGGTGATGCTCTTGCCGCTGTCCTCGGCGTGCTTCTTGGCGTACTTGGTGAAAGCCTTCTTCTTGCTCTTGTACCAGTTCTTGTAGAAGCGGCGCTTGACTTCGTCCGAAAGGTGCTCAGCCCACACAGTGGTCAATGAGCGGAGGCCGCGAGGAGTCTCGATATATCCCACCAAACCAACGACGATTATCTGTGATGTACGGGTAAGCGCATGCCATGAATGGTATTGGCGCCGACACTCGTACCGGAGGAGTTTCGATGACAGTGCATGCCTCGACGATCTCCTTCTTGTGCAACTTTGCGCCAGGACGGTCGAGGTCGCGGACGATGGTGGTCATGCCGGCCTTGTAGCCCATGGTGGCAGTCAAGTGGCACTTCTGCTTGGGGTCGTCCTTAGGGAAGCTGTTGCGCAGAACCATCGTCAGTCAATGCCTTCACATTCCCTCCCAGCTCCCATCCGCACTGTGAGGTTTGCTGGTATTGCAGTGGACTTTACCTCTTGACCTTTCCTCGGTGGCGGGCTGCGCGCTTGCGTGGCAAGAAAGCCAGCGAGCCATGGCGAGGCGCTTCGAACTTTCGGTGCGACATTGTGGGTGTTGTTGTCGATGTATGTCGCAACGGACCTGAAGAAAGCGAAGAGATTGGGCTGGAGTGAAGATTCGGTATTCTATTTAGTTGCCAAGCCGTGCGTCGGGCGTGCAAACACCGATCGCACGCGCCGCATAATGGTTCCGCCGATCCGTTCTCCCACAATCCACTGCTGCGATTGACTATGTACGTGCCTGCCATTATCACACCCCGCCCCGTTTGAGAATCAAGTATGATTGAGATGTTGAGGAGTACGTATTTCTCTTGTCTCTTGGGCAAATCCCTTCTTCAACATGTGATGCTGTAGCGGCATTTCCGCCATTTCGGGAAAAATCACTTGTGATACTCACTCCACAATGGGCGATGGGATGTCCAGAATGAGTAGCCTTGAATCAAACTTGATTGATCTTGACTGCGCGGGTGCTTTCTCAATATATACCACACATTTGTGTATCTTGTTGCAGGATATAGCAATGACATTGCTTCGCTTACTACATGATGCGTAAAGTGCTCTGTCCACCCGAGGGTTTTGCCCCGCCTAGCGATGACATATGGAGCTCAATAGCGCTACTCAGGTCAGCGCTTTCATGAAGTACTAACCAACATCACAAAAGCTGCAAAGCAATGGCGCCGTATCCGACAGCTGAAGAGATCTGCAGCTTTGCCTCAGCATTGGGCACAGCCGATCAATCACCTTTCTTCGATCGAGTGTCTCCGAATGTCGTTTGGGATGTGATGGGAACTCACCCAGCCGCAGGGCACTTCACCAGTCTGGGTAAGATGCATGACTTCCTTCAATCGTCACCTGATAATACTGACTCGTATACCTAGACGCTTGGAAGAAAGGCGCGCTCGGCGTTGTCAACAATGTGCTGAAGGAACCTATCAAGCTCGAGCTCGTCAACGTGTTCGGTGGTGGTGATCAAGAATGGGCAACTGTTGAGCTGAAAGCAGATTCGGTCTGCAAGAACGGTATGCCGTATCCACAGCGGTATGCATGGCTCTTGAGGTTTGATGAGAAAGGCATCATCGTGCAGGCCAGGGCATATCTCGATTCGGCACTTGTGCAGAAGGCTGTGGATGGGAATTCTGGTGAGGGTTCATCGAATCTTCCAAATTGGCCATGACGGAGAATGGCAGTCGCGACCATTGTAATCATCAGAAACAGTAGAACATTCTTATTAAGATATCAGACTCTGATGCGTTTGAATGTAGGCGTCGATGTTGATATTGTTACGGCACAAGAGAGCACCAAACAAACATGAGGGCAAGTCTTGGCGACGACGTGAAGTGGGGCAAGTCAGGCGCGTCTTTCGCATCGCGTCGATCTTGTGATGTCCCTCTTTGCATGAACATGACCAGTCTTCGCCATGCCACGGTACGTACGTGACTATGTGTCGCGCTGACAGAGCCACTGACCCTTCTACAGTGAGATCATCACGATCCAGGCCGGCCAGTGCGGCAACAGCGGTCAGTAACACGTTCGATTCCGCAGACCGCATCACTGAGACATCTCGCAGTCGGCTCGCAATTCTGGCGACAGCTGTGCGTTGAGCATGGCATCAATCAAGATGGTAACCTTGAAGAGTTTGCGACAGAAGGAGGCGATCGCAAAGATGTCTTCTTCTACCAATCCGACGATACACGATATATCCCTCGAGCCATCCTCCTCGATCTGGAGCCACGCGTGATTAACGGTATCCAGACTGGGCCCTACAAGAATATCTACAATCCCGAGAACTTCTATGTGCACAAAGAAGGCACTGGCGCTGGAAACAATTGGGCTGCTGGCTATGACATGGGTGGGCAGGTGCAAGATGAGGTTCTAGATATGATTGATCGCGAGGCAGACGGCAGCGACAGTCTTGAGGTCAGGCGCATACGATCGGAGAGCGTTGGAACAGATGTCTGACAACCACACAGGGATTCATGCTGCTGCACTCCATCGCAGGAGGAACGGGATCAGGATTGGGCTCGTTTCTGCTCGAGCAACTGAACGATCGCTTCCCCAAGAAGCTCATTCAGACTTACTCCGTCTTTCCGGACACTCAAAACGCAGGCGATGTGGTTGTGCAACCATACAATTCGCTCCTCGCCATGCGCCGACTGACACAGAACGCCGATGCCGTCGTGGTGCTGGACAACGGCGCCCTCTCTAGAATAGCGGCCGACACTCTGCATGTCCAAGAGCCATCTTTCGAGCAGACAAACCAGCTTGTTAGTACCGTTATGTCTGCATCGACGGCTACACTGCGATATCCTGGATACATGCACAACGACTTGGTCGGCATTGTGGCCAGCCTGATTCCGACACCACGATGCCATTTCTTGCAGACGAGCTACACGCCATTCACAGGTAACAATGTCGACTCTGCAAGGACGGTCAGGAAGACGACAGTATTGGATGTGATGCGCAGATTGCTGCAGCCGAAGAACCAGATGGTGACAGCCAAGCCAAACAAGAACAGCTGCTACATTTCGATATTGAACATTATCATGGGTGATGCAGACCCTACGGACGTAAGTTGACCACGACCTCACCTCCCGTGTCCATTCTAATAATGGCAGGTACACAAATCATTGCTCCGAATCAGAGAGAGAAATCTCGCATCCTTCATCCCATGGGGTCCAGCCAGCATCCAAGTCGCTCTGTCCCGCACCTCTCCCTACACACAGCCTCCATACACGACTCGTTCTCCACCTCGAGTATCAGGTCTCATGCTGGCCAACCACACTGGAATCGCCACACTCTTCAAGCGGATCGTCTTCCAATACGACCGCCTACGAAAACGAAACGCCTTCGTCGATACGTACAAGCGACATGGAACCTTCCGCGACGGGTTGGGCGAATTCGATACTTCGAGAGAAGTTGTCATGGACCTGATCAATGAGTATGAGGAAGCTGAACGAGCGGACTACTTAACTGGTGCGCAGCAGGAAGATCCAGCAGATGGCGGCGCCGATGCCAGAACTGATGGCGTGACGGGTCGGTGATTGGTGATGACCAGATACAAAGTCCTCCACATTGGCAGACTGACCGATCAGTGAGCGCAAAACATGATACCCATGAACCAAATTCGATTGAGAGCGATTTGCAGTCTTCACTTTTCCTGATCTTCAACATCTTCTCTTGTCCTCCATCCCTCAAGCCCATCCCATCTCAGCTCCCCTGATCCCATCCCATCCCCTTCATCACACCTGCAAATTCCTCTTCACCAAGGTTTCCCCCTCCCATCCTGTTCTTCCACATACGTCCTCTTCCTCTTCCTATGCGGCTGCTCTTTCGGCCTCTTGGTTTTAACTTTCACTCGAGGCAATTTGCCTTCTTCGAAGTAGACGCTGATTTTGATTTCGCTGGTCGGATTACTGCGGGGGCCGAGTTTGATTTTTAGGGAAAGGGCGGAGGGGCGGTAGTCGGTGTCGAAGTGGACGTGTTTGGGTTTGGGGGCGTGAGAGTGGTGATGATGGGTGTAGGAGGGGTGGGTGTAGGAGTAGTGTGGATGAGTGTAGTGGGGATGGGTATGGGAGTAGGTGAATGGATTATGATGGTGGGAGGGGAGGGTTGTTGTGCTTGATGCTGCTGCGGTTGTTCCGCCGGGTTTGGGAGGGACGGGGAGGGGGTTGTTGTGGGTTGTGCGGAAGTGATGGGCCATTTTTGTGGTGAAGGGGGAGAAGAAGGTGGCGGAGCGGCGTTTCCAGAGGGGGAGGGGATTTATAGACTTTGTTGAAGGGGCAGGTTGTTTGGCAACAGGAGGTGGAGAGTTTGGGTATGCTCCTGGTGGGGTTTTCTTGGAGCGGGATGAGATTGAAGAGTGAGATGGAGAGTGTAAGGAGGAAGAAGACATGTTAGTGGCTCATCTGGCTTGCGGGAGGAAGAGACATAAGAGGCGGTTTGGAGATGACATGGTTTCGCGCTGTGCGAGGATGGCTGTGTCGTTCAGTCGTGAATGTGGGCGTGTGCAGGTGGGAGAATGCTTCTACGATGATGTCGCCCGAATGTAAACTTGTTTGGGAGATGATCAGTTTTGTCAGACAGAAGTGAGAATGTGCAAGTGTGAGATGTGTTCGCGTGGGATGATGTTTTGGAAGAGTCGAAGCTGACATGTGATTTGTGTCTGAACGGATTCTCGGCATGTGATTTCTTCGGCCTATTTTGGTAACGAGCGCCGTGCTCAATATCTAGCTGCACGTGAGTGCGGGAACTTCAGCTCCTCTATATCTTACTGCCTTGGCCGAACAGTGCATCGACGGTATCGTACGTATATTCCAGCTTTCCGTGCCAGTAGGGCACAGCTGTTGGCTTGGTGATCAGCCAGGCCTGGTCGAGCACTTTCAATACTTCTTCCGGCAGAGGTCCCTTCTCGATATCGTTCAAGTTGGTTTCGAGCTGCTGCTGGCTTGAGACCCCGATAATGATGCCATCATTGCCGCCATCCTTGATGTTCAGCTTAGAGTGATGCACCAGCCACCGAAACGCCGTCTCGAGCAGGGTCAAATTGTGCTTCTGCACCACTTCTTCACATATTTTCAGGGCTTCGAATGTGTCATCGCGGAAGTATCGGTTCCGGTAGTTGGCTCCTACTGCTGATGCTGTATTGCTGAATCGACCTTCGGCTGGGACATCGGTGGACTTAATCTTGCCGCTGAAGAGACCGCCTGCGAGAGGGTTGTAGACCACGAGATCCAGACCGTATCGCTTGAGTGTCGGGATGAGATCCGGCTCAATGTTGCGCTGAATTGCATTGTACATGCCTTGGTAGATTGTAGGTCGCACCCAGTTGTTGTACTTGCAGTGCATGACCACCTCTGCCACTTCAGCAGCTGTGAAGTTGCTCAAGCCAAGGTTGACAAACTTCCCCTGCTTGTGGAGCTCGTTCAACTTCTTCAGAGGCTCTGTGAACGGGATGCTGCGGTCTGCGGCATGGAGGTAGAAGATGTCTACGCAGTCTGTGCCGAGCTCCGACAACGACTTGTTAACTTGCTTCTCCAGTATCTCCGCCTTGTGAGCACCCGCTTCATGAGGGTACCACTTGGTGGCGAGAGTAAGCCCTCGTTCTTTCCAGCCTGCATCGCGAGTCCAGGCTTCTTGCTTGCCGCCAATGTAGACTCGTGCGGTATCAATCTCATTGTATCCACGGGATTGGAAGTGGTCCAAGCACGACTTGTAAGTGTCTAGAGACGTAATACGAGCTCCAGCGGCCTCGTCGGGACTGTTGAAGGTCAGTTCTCTGCTTGGCGTGTTGTATTCTCGTTGCCTGCTCGCTTACCCGAAGGTCATGGTCCCGAGGATGACTCTTGGCTTGCCCGTTCCTGCATTGATGAGCGGCATCTTGGCCGTGGCTTTCGTGGTGATGAATCTGGTGAAGCTGGAAGTTGTTGCTCTCACTGCAGCCACTTTTCTAAACATCAAGCTGTCCTGAACATCGCGGGCGACGTCGGCTTTTGAGGCAGAGACAGCTCATGGACTCATCGGAGTTAACGGTAAACGCCTAAGAATGATGCCATGTCTGTGACAGGGTGGAAGTTTGCTTGTCGTGTTGGGCAAGCATTGCTGTCCATCTCTAGAGCATATTACCAACCAACTTCACCTCTCGCCCTCGCAGCGGTATCGTGCCTGATCGCCCGCCTCATGTGGTTGTTCTGCAGGCGGAGCAGCGCGGCGCACGCGGCGCTCGGAGCAGCTGAGGCCACATGGCCACCGACATGACGCAGCGCGCATTCTCGGCGCTGAACCCCTTCGCCCATCTGCCACACCTTTTTGGGGGCTCCGCACACGCGCGCGCGCGACTCGCTCAACCCGTCACCCGCCGAAATGTACTGGAGCAGCAAGACCTAACCTGACCTGCCTGCATCAATCACGCAATTCTGCCGATAGCGCCTGGTCACATGTCGCCCAATCTGCACCACCACCGCTTGAATGCCTAGTACAAAATCACCTCCCGTATCTCGTCAGTCGTTCGAGCTGCAGTCTACCAGCTTGCTACCCCCCGATCGCTCCCACGACGCCGACTCATCCACCAACGGAGACTCGTCCAGCTTCGTTGACTTGGGCCAAGAGGACTCTCGCCAGCCGAGTCCATTCCTCGACCTCTCATCACCACATCACAAGACTCGTCAAGACGGCGACGAACACGAGGACAGTTTTCTCGCGTGGGACGCGCAAGAGAGGCCGTCGGAGGAAGGCCACGGCCACGCCATGCCGTCCGACCTGCGATCCGATCATACCAGATCGAAGAGCCATCAGCATCAGCCCTTGCTGAACGGAGACAAGCGGACGAGTTATGACAGCCCTGTTCGACCTGGTCTTGGGTCAAGACAGTCAACACATTTCAGAGAAAGAGATCCAGAAATCATAGAAACGAAAGACGATGTTCGGACACGATATACATATGCGGCAGCATTTCTTCTCCTCAGCTTGGTAAGCTTCGCTGTCCAGACGGAGACGGCAGTTTACATTCAGCATGACTTGCATTGGAACAAGGCGTACTGCATGCTCTACTTCACCCACGGCTCCTGGTCGGTCCTATGGTTCGTACAGCTGGCCATTCTCAGAATCTCCAAATGGAACCAGCCCTGGGATTCCTTCTGGCGACGACACGTTGCCCTTCTCCGGTCGACGGCGCAGATGGTGGAGCACAGAACGTTGCACGTCCCGACCCACTTGGCCAAGAAATCCCCTTGGCCTTACTTCATCAGAACTACGGCATTTGTCACCTGTGCCTTGACGGTCGCGGGAGGCAGCTGGTATGTTGCTGTGGATCTGACTACGGCCTCTGACTTGACGGCCATTTATAATTGCTCGGCATTTTTCGCGTATGCATTTGCCATTCCCATTCTGGGCGAGAAGCTTCGGTGGAGCAAGGTGGCTTCCGTTGTTGTAGCAATCGTTGGCGTGCTCGTGGTAGCATACGGAGACCAGGCCCATCCAAAAGGAGGCAGCAAGTCAGGAGGTGGTGCTGGAGGACCTTCCGCCCCTGACAGCTCAGCCGCATCAAATCGAGCTCTAGGAAACCTTGTCATCGGTGTTGGCAGCGTATTGTATGGCTTCTACGAAGTCCTCTACAAACGTGTGGCCTGCCCACCAGATGGCTGCCCTCCAAACCGCGGCATGCTTTTTGCCAACACCTTCGGCTCCATGATCGGCCTCTTCACCCTCACGGTCCTCTGGATCCCCATCCCCCTTCTCCACTACACCGGTCTCGAAACATTCGAACTCCCCTCCGGTGAAGCCTCCTGGATGCTGGCCATCTCCGTTCTCTCCAACGCTACCTTTAGCGGTTCTTTCTTGGTTCTCATTTCTCTTACATCCCCAGTGCTCAGCTCAGTAGCAGCACTCCTCACGATTTTCCTTGTCGCACTCTGCGATCAATTACTCCCGCCACCGATGTATAGCCCTTTGACTGGTGCTGCGATTTCTGGAGGCTTGTTGATTATTTTTGCATTTTTGCTGCTGAGCTGGTTTACGTATCGGGAAATGGAAGAGGAGCGGGCGCACAAGAAGGCGGAGGAACTGGTTGAGGAGTCTGACGTGGAGGATTTGTGAATAGATGGATGATTGATTTGCATGTGGGGTGGTTCGAGTGTTTGGCTGGAGGGAAAGTCTGTGCCGCAGATAGAGGCATTGCATTTGCATCGCAGGGCGTTGGAGGCATGGCGCTCACGAAGAGAAGCTTGTGCTTTGTGTCTTCTACTTTTCGTTTTTAATTTCTTCTTGCATATAGAAGTTGATATGGAAATGATATCTGACTCGCTGTGTTGCAAATCTCGTAAGCGTTTCGAGAATGTGTGAGCTCGGCCCAACCTGCTTGTGAATCTTCATCGCCGGCTTCAAGCCAGATCTCACTCTGCATCTCCCTCCTATTGCCTTCGTTGCCTTCAATCCATCCCGTCGCTCAGCCCTAATCGAATCGCACGGAACCGATTTTGAAGGCTACGAATCGCCAGCGCAGATCAGCAAGCAATCAAGCAGATAAGAGAGCAAGAACCGCGTCCGATTCCCTTTCAAACTCATGAAATATGCCGAGAAGACGCGCCAAGATTCCACCCAATTTGCACCATTTTTCAACAACACATCCTCACCTCATCCAAAACTCCTGACGCTCTACCTCAACCTCACGTTTCCATACCCGCTTACCTCTGGCCCCGCGCGGCTTCTTCCCACTTCCACTCTCACCTCCTCCTCCAACACCAATCCTCGGTGAAGCTTCACCAGAAAGCAGTGGCGACCCGACAGCAACAAATCCTCCGCCATCGATCGAAGGCGAAGAAGCAGCCGAAACCTCCCTCATTGCAGCTGGGGCCGTAGGCGGAGCCTTGCCGCCACTACCTAGACCCTCGATTCTCGTCCTATTCTTCCTATCATTCGATTTCTGAGCCGGAGATCTCAGATCAATAGACTTTGGTCCAAAAACGAGGCCGGTGGAGTGGTTGAAGCGTGAACCGTAGGTTGGATTTGCTGGACCGGTTGGAACAGTAGATCTGGAGTCCGATGGCGGAGTGTTGTCGTGGACCGCGGCGATGATGGCTTTTGCGGCGGCTTCGCGGGCGGCGAGTTGGGCTTTGAGTTCTGCTGTGGAGGGCGTGGAGGAGGCCGTGGAAGAGGATGGGATGAATGTTGGAGCTGTGGCGGAGAGGCTGTTGATCTTGTGGTGGTGATGATGTTGAGGGGTTTGTGGGGGTGCTGAAGGTGCTGAAACTGGTGCTGCTGGTATTGTTGCCGTGGCTAGATCCGAAAGTGGTGGCAGCCGAGTGGGGAAGTGTAGGTAGCCTAGGTGGTGGAGCGGGTGGGTGAAGCTTGAAGTGGTCGGCCTTGTCTTGAACGACCAAGGAGGGGGGTGGTCGGACCTGTAGTTATCGATAGATTCAAACTGAGGCTGGTCCTGCTTTTGAATATTTAGTCGCCGCTTTGGCAATGGACTTGAGTCATCGCTTACCACTCTAAAGCAATGTCCGCAAACCCTTCTCCTGCAGTCAACTGTTCCGAAACGTGGCCGCGGAGCATACAAACTTCCAACGGTCTCCTTGTAGCCATCTTCGTGCACGACATCGACACTCGAATAGCCTATCGGCGGACCCTGATACGGTGCACACTCGGAAGTGTCGTCTTCGGTAGAGCCCTCCAGAAGAGACGTGATACTGCGAGTGCTCCTCTTCGCGGACTTCGGAAACACACCTAGGATTTTCGGAATGGCGACGCGCTTGCGCAGATCTGAGGTTGCGCCGTGGACTCGTGTGTCATCGGGCACAGAGGTAGTTGCGTGCGTAGTCCCTCCCGACGCTGCCATCGTTTGGCGAGTATTTGAGCTGGAGCCTGTATCGAGAACGGGTTGTGGTAGTGATGGGAGGTATGCACATAGTAACCAACTGGAGGTAAATGGCCGTGTCGATGAGTGTTGTTCGGAAACACGATTTTGCAGTTAAATAGTTGTTGTTAATGAGCGGAGCGTGACGGAGCGGCAGCTGAGAGTGAAGCCTGAAGCCTGTGAACCATGGCGCAGCAGCATGTGATTGCTTTTGCAGTGACTGAATACAATGAGGCACAATCATTGTTGAGCCGCTAAAGTGAGGTGTTGCCGTGTTTTCGGAACTCAGCCACATGAAAAGGAGCTTCATTGTCCTATTGTACAGTCTCGTCAATCTCGTTACGTCGTTATCAGTCTTACCGGGTTTGCATTACGCCCTGTATTCGAGTACATCATCACCATGTCCATGTAGCTGCCGCAGTGAGTTTTGGCTCTTGGAGCCTCTCACTTCTACCTCTTCTTGCTCGTGATCTCTCGGGCCGAACCCACCCCAGCCGTCGAACTCCTCGGCCATCTTGACGGCAGCCTTGAGATAGAATTGATTGGCGTCGCCCCAGGTCTTGCTGCACTCGTGCATTGATCGCAGAGCTTTGACGTAGTGGGCGTCAGTATTGTACTTTCCTGTCAGAGCCTTGTCGGTCACGAATTTCCAATCTCGGCCTTCAAGCTCGACGAGCTTGATGGTGTCGATGTTAATCTTTGGTCGCAGCTGAGCAATGTACACAAGAAGTGTAAAGAGCCACCATTGTCGCACGAGTGGAATATGGTGCTTATTGGGGAGGAAGGGAAGTAGTGTTCGGACAGCATGACTGCTAGTCAGGAGATGCACACCAAAGAAGTCGTAACCCTTTTCGTTGTCAGGCTCTTGGGCCGCCACAACGAGCGCTACAGCGAGTTTCTGCGATTCTGCAAATTGGATCTTAGGGTCTTTGAGATCCCATGAGTTCCAGTATTCCAATGCTGCTGCTGCAAGTTCTTCGTTGCCTAGAATCTTCTCAATGTTGTCGCTTCCTTGGTGTTCGGCCAGGTTATCAAATTTCGGGTCGTTTCTCACTCTTTCCAGAATACTAAAGAGCGAGTCTGTGGGGTTTGCTGCGGGCTTTGTGTATTTTGGATCGTCCAGATAAACGTGCCATTCGTTGTAGAAGCACGCTGCCAGCCCCAGTGCTTCGATCGCAACAGTTCGAGAGGATAGTTCGTGGGCGTAGCCGAGGTGTATAAGAGGATGTGCAAGGCCCGCAATGAGGTTGTTGATCAAGGGCTCTTTGCCTGACAGCAGAAACTCGTCGAGTAAAGCTCGCCAGTCGTACCCGTTGACCACGAGCTGGTCTTCAAAGAAGTCAATGTATGCTCGCTGGTACCTGGAGCGTCTCAATCAGCTTGTGCCTTCTTCTTTCAATCGTCGATGCATGCATACTCTCTCTTGCCCAAGTACTCCCTCCAATCACTTTTGTCGATCTCACCAGGGCTGTCTTTCCACGACTCCAAGTGCTTTCCTTCCTCTTCGTAAATATGCGTCAGGTGATCTGTATCTCCTCCCAGAATATATGCCGAGCCGAGGATATGGGGCATGTGATTATGGAAGCGAAGCTCGTTGTAGATGATGCTGTGGTTGATGTGGTTGGCCTTGAGCAGGTGTTTGAGGGTCCGCGCTCGCTTTTCCGGCTGCTCTTCGATCTCGTGCACTTCGCCTTTGGGTAGTTTGATGCCCGTCGCGAAGGGCGACGACCATGAGGGCAGTGAAGGAAGCCTGAAAGACAGCATGTTGTTTTGCTGTCGTCGAGTCAGTGATCAGACAAAGACGTTGTGGTCGAAGCTGTTGCTGATCGAGTGACGTGCCACATGCTCGATCATGCGGGGACCACTCTCTCCGGTCTTGGCTCCGCATCCCAGCAGAAATCGTGTCAAGCACGCGACACTTCACCTGCTTTCACCTGAGTTTGCATCCGCTGCTGAATGATCACGAGCACAAGTCCACCTCTGTCAGCTGCAGCGACGACCTCGAATCGGCCACCCCTCGAGAAGGTGGAGGCACGGCATGAGATGATCTCACACTGCTTCGCTTGTCCGCCAATTCCACGTGGCATGCCATCATCTTTGCGGATTTCCTGGCTCGCAAATATGATCAGTAACCAGAGTCCAGGTTTGCCCGGCCTCTTGGGCCATCATCCAGTGCTTTCCTGTGAGATGTGTTCTAGCTCCCATAGACCTGGGAGATGAACACGAACGGCTGTCTCGGCTTTACCAACCCAGGAACGTTCTCTCAAGCGTGGTGCAATATGCTGCGATGCTTTCTCGCCGGCATGCTGCGCGCAGTGAGTTTATATCATCCTCGCACAGGTCGTACAGCACGAAAAGGCGACAGAGCAGCCGCCATAGGCTGATTCGGGCTCATCACAAGCTTGGCGTTCATCTGGCTCCTATATTGGGCTGAACGGCCCGCTTCCCCATCTCGCTACCTTCTAGCGCGAGATCCCTCGGTCCCTCGTATCTGGGGCGCGTCTCCTCCTCCGCAGCACACCTATAGCATACACACGATTGGCATATTCGGACCTCCAGGTGGGTATCGACGACACTGAGGTCTGGAGCTCATGGCCGCAAGTACAAGTCCCGGATCTTTTTGAATCTTCACGATCTGCTGTTCTCGAAGTGCAATCGTAGCTGGAGGTCTCCAGCACAGCATAGCAACGCGATGTGGACCAGATTCGCGCTCGCTGCGCTCAGCTATCAGGCCTTTGTGGAAGCACAGAATACCACGACAGCTGATGGCATTCTCACGGCTTCACAGATTGCGGCTGCCATCAACAGCACCGGATTCGTTCCGCCGGAATTGATCGACCTTGCTGCCAACTTTCTGATCAGCGCCGCAAATTCTACCAGAGCAGCAATTGATTCTGCATTGGAAAATAATCCCGTGTCTGCAAAGCGTGATGATCCTGAGCTCTACTACTCTTATGGCCGATCGCCACCAGTCTATCCTTCCCGTATGTACAAAACTGACCCGGGTTTGACCAGCAAACTAACACATGCAAGCTGAGGGACGCGGTGATGGCAATTGGACAGAAGCCTACGAAAAGGCTCGAGATACCGTCTCTCAAATGACTGATGCTGAGAAGAACAATATCACCATTCCCTCCTCGGATACTCGTGGCTGCACTGGCTTCACTGGAACTGTCGAACGTCTAGGATTTCCGGGCATCTGTCTCAATGACGGACCTTCGGGCTTTCGAGGAGAAAGCAATGGTACTTCGACAGGCTTTCCGGCGCAGATTCACATCGGCGCTAGCTGGGACCGAAATCTTGCCTACCAACGAGCGAAACAGCTGGGAATCGAATTCAAGGCGAAAGGCGTGAACGTCTTCTTGGGTCCAGTGGTCGGTCCACTTGGTAGAGTCGTGTCAGGCGGGCGCAATTGGGCAAGTGGTGCAATTTATACTGGACGGAACTGTTTCTAACCTTGCTGCAGGAAGGCTTCTCCAGCGATCCATATTTAGCTGGTCAACTTGTCGACCCGGCCATTCGAGGTCTGCAGGAGAATGTCATCGCCAGTGTTAAGCACTTCATTGCTAATGAACAAGGTTGGTATATGCCTGTCATTCCAAAGAGACTCGAGTCTAACCACGCGAATAGAAACGAATCGCAACCCCTTCGTGCAAGGGCTCCTAGCTCCTTTGGGCCTCAATCTTAATGTCTCTCTGTCTTCGAATGTGGACGATCGTCCAATGCACGAACTGTACCTCTGGCCTTTCTACGATGCTGTCCGCGCTGGCGCAGGCAGCGTCATGTGCAGCTACCAAAATATCAATGGCTCCTACGGCTGCCAAAACAGCAAAACCATGAACGGGCTTTTGAAAACTGAGCTGGGCTTCCGTGGCTTTGTGTTGAGTGACTGGTATGCGCAGCATACCGGCATTGCGTCTGCGAACGCAGGAATGGACATGGTCATGCCTACCGATATCTACTGGGGCGATGAGACTCTGGCCAAAGCCGTAGACAATGGTACCGTAAACGCGACCAGACTGGATGACATGGCTACTAGGATTCTCGCAACCTGGCATCGCTTCGCCGAGCTGGAGGAACCTGGCACGGAAGAATTCGAGAATACTACTGTCAGCGACGAGGAATCGACACGAGTGGCCTTCCAAGCCGCTGTGGATGGACATGTCCTCATCAAGAACGTCAACAACGCGTTGCCGCTCAACAGACCTGCGGCATTGAATGTGTTCGGCTGGGATGCTGTCGGCGGGCTCAACACCTCGGCACTGAACCCACAGCTTTGGGGCGTATCTGTTCAGAATGCACTCAAATACACCAACGGGGATGACTTCAATGAGCTTGTGTACATTCAGCTTGCTGGCTCGATCTCTCCTGCTGGCACCTCAGTGCCTGAAGTGGCGTTCAATGGAACACTTATTACTGGAGGCGGCAGTGGTGGCATCCATCCGGTCTTCACCATCGCTCCCTACGACGCTCTCTTATCTCAGTCGCTTGAAGACGACACCACTTTGCACACAGATTTCACCGATAACAACACCCCGACTGTGGAAGACCCCAACGCTCCTTGCCTAGTCATCATCAACTCCTTCGCTTCAGAAGCCGCAGACCGCGCAACTCTAGCCGACGAGTACTCTGACACCCTCGTCACAAATGTCGCCAATCAATGCGCCAACACAATCGTCGTAATCCACCACGCCGGCACACGTCTCGTAGATCGCTGGATCGACCACGAAAACGTCACAGCCGCAATCTTCGCTCACCTCCCCGGCCAAGCATCCGGCCAAGCCCTCACCGAAATCCTCTACGGCCGCCAATCTCCTAGCGGTCGCCTCCCATACACCGTCGCTCGTGCCGAATCCGACTACGGCGCCCTACTTCGCCCAGACCTCCCCACACTAGAAGACCCGCAATATTCCCAATCCAACTTCTCCGAAGGCGTCTTCATCGACTACCGCCACTTCATCCGCGAAAACATCGAACCTCGCTTCGCTTTCGGCTACGGCCTCACATACTCCTCTTTCAACTACTCCAACCTCGAAATCAACCTCTCATCCTCCGCAAACAAAGCCCTCCTACCATCCGACGCCCTCTCCCCAGAAACTGTCGCTCCTGAAGGAGGTCTCAATTCTTTATACGAAATCATCGCCACAGTCTCTATTTCCGTCGCAAATGTGGGTGAGGTCGCCGCTGCGGAAGTCGCGCAGCTTTATTTGGGAATTCCGAACAGTGATGTGGAGAGACAATTACGTGGATTTGATAAGAAGTTGATTCGGCCGGGGGAGTTTGCGAACTATGAGTTTGCGTTGAGGAGGAGGGATTTGAGTGTTTGGGATGTGGTCAGTCAGAATTGGGAGATGCAGGAGGGGGAGTATAGGGTTTTGGTGGGGAAGAGTGTTTTGGATACGCAGTTGGAGGGCACGTTTAGGTTGAGTGGGGAGGTTAATGTTGTTGATGGCGGGGCGGTTTCTGGTGATGGTGGTGGTGGTGGTGGTGGTGGGGACCAGCCTAGTGAGGGTGTGAGGTTGGGTGGTTTGACGCCATGGACAGTGGTCGCTGGTATGGTGGGTTGGGCGGTTGCGCTGTGTATATCTTGAGATGAGAACATATATGTGAAGCAGATGTACACCAAGAAGAATATTGGTTGTCAAGGAAGCAGACACAGATCATAGAATTGAAGCAGACTTTTTCCCACACCAGCTGTGTCCATTCTACCTTTCTATCCCTGGTCCTAAACTACCTGAAACCTCTCGAGCATTCTTCGAACTCGCAAGTTTTCAGTTGTACCCTCCCTGTCCGCTCTGTCCGCCCTGCTGCCACTGACCTCCCTGGCCTTCTTGTTGTTCCTGATCCCACTGACCTCCCTGTCCAGGCTGGCCTCCCTGTGACCACTGTCCACCTTGGCCTGGCTGACCTGGCTGGCCTGGTCGACCTCCTTGATTCCATTGTCCGCCCTGTCCACCCTGTCCACCTTGTCCGCCTTGGCCTCCTTGACCTCCCTGTCCGCCCTGTCCGCCCTGTCCGCCCTGTCCGCCCTGCCCTCCAACCTGTCCAGAGTGCGTCAAAGTCCAATCAACACTGACCTGCTGTCCAGACGGCGCGTCGGGGCTATCACAAGGCATAGCACCAGCTGAAGAAACATACAGGGAATACCCACCACGGCAGCCAACAGTTCCGTCCTTGGCATACTTCTTGATGGAGTCCGTGACCAAGTCAATGATATCGGCGTTGCCGACTTTGCCTGTGAGAGAGGGATCTTGACCGGAGGAGGTGACGGCATTGAAGGCACCTATATTATATCTCGTCAGCAAGGGGAAGAGGTAGCAGGTAACTGAGTGGAAGGGAGTATGACTTACAAGTACCGTTGTACACGAGTGTTTGACCCTGACTTGTAACAGTCCATTCATAGTCCTGTGTGATGGACGCGATCATAGCTTGGCAATCGGTAACAAGAGGGTTGTTGCCAGCAGGTTGAGTAATTTCGATGAAAGATGAGACACCGCAATCGTTGATGCCGGGAGCGTTGCCTGCGTTGGTATTGCCGTGTCGCCATTGATTGTTGCCGTTACCGCCGCTGTAGGAATTCTGTCCTCCGCCGTTCTGCCAGTTGCCGTTACTATCTGGTACTTGGCCGTTGGTGTTTTGCCAGCCGCCAGTGTTGCCCTGTGCTTGCCCGTTGGGGCTCTGCTGCACGTTTGAGGCTCCCAGCATGGCGGCTTGGGGAGCATTGTTCGAAGCTCCACTGGAACGGAATCTGGTGGCCGTGCCCAGGGCTGGCAGGAGAGCAACGAGAACTGATGTGGTGTACTGCATGATTGATGTTTCCGTGAAGGTTTTGGAATTGCTGAAGTGCTGTGGTCGATTGGGATGTGAATGAGGTAGAGTCAGTTGGGAGTCAATGTTGGGAAAGTTCGACTGCTCTTTAATACAGCATGCCAATGCCGCAATACTAACAATAGGTTCAGGCATGGTCATGGATGTCTGTGAGCTCTGTGCCTGCACATCCCGGGTTCGGTATTGGTGGGTTCATGGCACACAGGGAACAGCATTGCGCACATTTTCCAGATCGAGCATGCTTCATCGCTCCACCAACTTTGATCCTCGTGTAACTTTTTGCATAGCCGCACTTCTTTTACCTTTGCCCTAGCTGTAACCCCGCTATAGAGACGTGTCGGCAGCATGGCATATTCTTGTTCGTTAGAAGGTTTACATATCCAAGACTTGGCCGCCCTCTATACGGTCATCATGTGGGTCGCCGCTGCTTCCGGAAAGGTAGACAAGCCTGTTTCCAATATTCAAGCACTTGGCTTCTTCGTGTCTTGAGCCCTGGGGATACGAAGAAGCTCTCGTCACAGGTATTCTGGGCATTGCCTTGCGGAGGGAAGGCCGGGTGATGGCAGTGAACAAATGATGTCGAGTGCAGTACGTGCCTTGTCTTTGCTAGGACATAACCTCGTGCTGAAGCACAAGAGTGTCTGGAGTCACTCTCCAATTCCCGCCAGGTCCCGTGTTGGGACGAACGTGCGGTGTTCGACATTGTGGCTGGTCACTTGTAGCCTTGCAAACATTGAATCCTAGTCAGCGAGGCCCAGACTTCCAGCAACTCCTGGCGACCGCGCGCACGATCGGGTCAGACGCTGCGCAGAGCCAGGCGCGGCTTCAGAGACCTGCATCGTCATTGATCGCTTAGGCATTGCTGCTGGCAGTCCGGTCGTGCTGTAGGATGACACAGCTTCAGAGAGACGAAGAGAGCCAGCCAGAGGTCTCCACCTCACGACCAGAGCGAAAGTTGAAGTTACACATTTCGACCGTTGTCGTAAGCATATAGCGAGCACTCAGCGCAGCCTGACATGAGGACGCGGCGTTGTGGCTTTCCAAGGCGACTAAGTGAAGTGGAAAGAAGAGAAGAGTACGCGAAACAATTACTTTAATTCCAATTACTTTAAAAACAACTACTTTAATTCCAATTGTGCACTTCTATTAGCGGCGGCCCTTCCCGATTCGTTCGTCGCTTCCCAAGCCCAACTCGCTCCTTCTCTGCTCGACATCCTCTGTCCATCATCTCTATATCTCACAAGCTGTCTTCGGCACTCTGGCGGTACTCATCACATCTCGATAACCTGGCGGTACTCATCACACCTCGGTACTCTGGCGGGTACTCGTCACCATCAACTGCAATTTTAGCTCAAAGTATCAGAATCTGCCCTGGTACCTGTCACTCACGCAAGAGCCATTGTGACATACCAGGATACGATGTCCACGCTCTCCTGGAGACCTGGGTAGATCGCTCTAGAATACGGGCGATGTGATGTAAAATTCGAGAAAGTCGACGCAGCAATGCGGTGTCTTCCATCGTCGTCAGCATTTGGCCGTCCTCGGACACGAGTCCGAATATTTGGGATCTCTGAGACTGACGGGTATTCAAGATCATTTAGATTTGTCCTTCCTTCCAACAGGGTAGGAAGGGATGGAGGGTTCGTGTGAGAACCAGGTGAATTGATTACTTCGCTATGCATAGAGTTATGCAACTATACACACATCCACCTTCTGTAACAAGGAATTTCGCGAACTCGCCAAGAGCGCCATGCAGGGTATCAATCGCATGCTGCAGCAGTATTATACCAGATCTCTTCAATCGCATCGACATTACCGCTTCAAGTCCCAGTCATGCCATGCGCCTTTCTGTCGCCAGATATTCACCTCACCCATAGTGATTCATTATGTCCATCAAGTCGTCGCTGGCATTCATCATCTCTGCTTACCCCTCCTAGTATTACTCCCTCCATCTCTTCCACTCCTCCTGGGTGATTCATCCGGAACATACAAACCTCTTTCCACAGCACCCAAGATCTGCAGGGTTCTCAGAATTGCTTCGCGTCGCTCGTTCTCTTCGACTCTTCGTCCTTCGGTGACAGCTTCCTCTTGCAGAGCTCGGAGGTACTCTTTTGGCAGTGGCGGAGGCGCCGGATGCGGGATTGTCGGAGAGTGGTTGGGTGTAGTTTTTGTCATTGTCGGTGGAGGTGAGGTCCGTGGTGTTGAAGCGGAGGCTCGGATGGAGTATCTGTTAAGGAAGGAATAGTGTTAGGATCTGGTTTGCTTTTGCTCTCAACTCTTTTTCGCAACAGCGCTCAGAATGCAGTTCTTCCCGTCATCGCTTTGGCCTCTTTGAGCTCGAACTTGTCCGAGACTCGCTCTGCTTTGACTTCGGTTCCTGCTGCTGCTGTTGCTGCTGTGTAGATCTCGACTGATGCTGACTTCTCTGCTTCTTGGATGACGAACTCGAGCTCGACTGATGGGACCTTTGCTGCTGGGGTGGTTGGGGTCGGACGTACCCTTCAGTCGGCGTTTGCTGCCGGCTATGAGCTGCTGAACCACCGCTTCCGCTGCCACGTCTGCTGCCACCACTCGCACTCGCACTCGCGGTACTTCGCTGTCGCTGTCGGACCTGCTCCTCAGCTTGCTCTACGAGCTTCCGCTTGCTCGCCTTATCTGAAGCGGCCGAGGTCACAGATGAAGCCCGATTGGCCTGACTGCGACTACTCAGGCGCGAGACTGGCGGGCTAAAAGCTCCAACCGTCGACGCCGGTGCTGCTTCTGAGCCCTCCACTTCTGCCTCTGGTACAGTAGAGAGTCGCTCCGGCGATCGCATGACTGAGCGTGGAATTTGTGTCGGTGCAGGGGCTCGTCGCTGCTGTGACTGCTGTGCAGGCTGACCACGAGCGCTCGGCGGACTCACTGCTATCGTGCGATCGATGTTCAGAGGTGGAGCTGTTCGAGGATGTACCCGAGGCGTAGGACTGCCTGCTTGTGAGCTTCTTTGCTGAGGTGTAGACTCGTTTGATCCTCGCTTGACCATGCCTCCGAGCGCTTGGACGAGGACAGACGCATCCGCGAACTCATCATCATCCAGGCCGTCGGAAGAACTGTATACCTCCTTGATAGTCTTTCGAGCAAGCAATCTCGATCGATCATGCTCTTTAGCACAGTCCCAGAGAAACGCCGAATGTTCAAGCGCGACGGATAGTCGCAACGCATGGGTCACTGGTAGTAGGCTGTCCGATAGCTGTTGCGCTGCCTCGAAATGTTCTTTTGCCATTGGCACAAAGTTCAGTGGTGGCAGCAGAAACGAGGCCGCGGACTGTGCCGCTGGTATGTTGATTGGCGCAAGCCCAGGAGGTCTCGATGGAGTACGACGCGCTCCTTCAGGAGGCAGTATTGCTAGTCCAGGCGGCGGTGTCTGTGTTGCAGTTCCGACGTATGGGTTCGTGACGAAGGAGGCGTCGGATTGAATAGACGGCACGGGATCTCGCAGAGGAGCTTTACCTGCTCGTCGTCGACTCCCTGACTCCTTCGGTGATGTCTTTGTTGGCGAATCAGCCGCATTGCCAGTGTTCTTCGGGGTGTTCGTCTTAGACGGTGGGCTTATTGACGTTCCAGATCGACCACTGAGCAGGCTGATCGGCGGGTGATTATGAAAGAGGCAGAAGACATGGTATAGCGAAGCGCGAAGCTTCGCTGCCATGACGCGGCACTCCGGTCCGTAATCGCCATTCTGGCAGTAAGGTAGGATGTACGCCTCTGTGATCGACAGTCCTTCTCGAGCAAGCCAAATGATGTGATGATAGAGCTGCAGCGACTTCGTGTCCCTGGTGAGGTCAAGCTTGCGAAGTTTGCGAGCCCTGTACAGCTTTCGCGACAGCAGAATCGATAGTCCAAGGACCTGATACAGCGATGCAGATAGGAGCGGGTTTGATGGTTCTGTCAACTTTGCGAGTCGACCAAGGATCTTCTCCTCGATTTGAGACACGGCCATCGACGTCTGTCAGTAATGCGCACCAGATCTGTTTGGTGTGTCGTAGGCATGCAAGTTAGTACGGGTCGCTCGTGATAGTGTCGATGGAGTCAAGGTACCAGTGGCTCTCCACAGCAGCAGCTCAATGGGACCGTCGTTGCTGATTGTTCGGCGATCGGATCAACTGCGGTGTATGCAATGAAGCTGGTCGGAGTGGGAGAATGATGCAACGTCAACGTGTTCGACAACGCACAGCATGCCTCCAACCAAGTTCAGGCACCTCGACAGCTGATACCGTACCACGGCCGGTGCGGATTGTGCCTCAGCGACGACCGGGCAGCGCACAGCCCAGCGTCGGCGCCTGACAAGACGCCGAACAGCGGGATCGCTGTCAGCGCTTGTGACGATATGGACAGTCCTGAGCCAGTTACCAGATCAGGCAGGCCATGTAGCCAGTAGGCGACGGTAGGAAATTGCTGTGACAGCGATTGGGTCGCGCCGTGGATTGAGGTCGACCAATGATGGGGCCGGTAGGCGTGAGGAAGGAAACAGAGAATAACAGATGGCTGTACAGAGTTCGTGCTGTGCCTTCGCCTGGACCGGCCGGGCAGTTAAACGCTGACGAGCCATCAGTTCCTTCTGAGCATAGCAAGAAAAGATAGAGGCGAGGAAAGAGTCCTACCTGATGCGTGTGCAGAAAGACAGACTTCGGGTCTAGGCGACGGCAATAGCTCATTCGCTGAGAAATGGTAAAAGCACGAGCCAATGAGGATGTGTAGTGCGAGATATGAGAGTTGCCCAAGTCGGCAAGCACTGAGGCGAGACGTCACCCGTATATGGAGTGTTTTTGGAGGAGGCTGGAGTCGTCTCGATGCGCCTGGCACACGCCGCCCTGACCTCACTCTGCTTCTTGCTCTGCTCGGGCGTTGGGCGAGTGGTGTTCGAAGGAAAGGCGGAGCGGTGGCGGAGAGGACACGCTGGCAGGATTCGCGCGCGCCCAACAGTCTGCAACACCGTCTCTTCGTCGAATTTCGCACTCGACCCCGGCTCTGTGCGCGCCTTGCGCCTCGGTACGTATCGTGGTGGTCGTGGGCTGGTATTTCGTCGAGACTGGCAGCGCTTGGCGTTCGCACCTGGCAAAAGCGGGCAGCGCAGAAAGACAAACAACACCACCAACGCCCGCGAGGCCGTGTCAATGCCGCGCACAAATACAGCAGCGGGCAGCGAGAGGGAGGGAGGACGCTCAGGAGGGCGAAAAGCAGGAACGCACACCAGTTCTCTGCGTGCCGGCAGCGTGCAGCTGCTGGTGGGCCAGTCCGCTATCCCAGATACGTGGCACCGCTGGAGGCTAACACGCTCCCATGCACGACGCAGCGCCCGCCGATTGCCATTGCAGCTGACGTCGCCGCGTGCAGGCGACGTTCGCTCAGTGTGCAGCAGCTCGATGCCGCGAAGGGAATGAACAGAAAGGCGTATGCGCTGGCACGAACGCCTGACGCGCCGTAGCGCCAAACTCAATGCGCTGTCTCTGATCTCACTTCCCTCGTGCGCCGGTCCGCCTACATCTCCTCCACCACCAGCGCACCACTTGTCGCGCTGTCGACCGGACACGCTGTCGCTGCTGACGACGCCGTACCGCCCTTTCGTCCCTCCTGCACGAGGGGTTTGGTCCGTTCCACGAGGTCTGCGTGCCGCTGCAGTGCCTACCCATGGATTCCCGGTCAGCGTCATGCCCTCAACCTGGATCTGTTCGCCTGCAGAGAAATCATGCCAGATGATGCGTCGCTCTTCGCTGGCCATGCCCTACATCCGCGGCTGGATTCAGCCGCCGCATTCTGGTTGTTGCATCGTACCGCGCTTGTTTTCGTCAGGCGATTTGCCGGCTCGACCTCAAGGCCAGCCATTCGGAGGGAACGAGCTTGCGCAAAGGAGCTGCGTTAAGCGACCCTCGTGCGTAGCCGCGACGGGTACATGGTGCCTAGCAACAGCCCGGCTGCCTGCTAAAGATGTAGGCTTTCGATCAATCGCTTTTCCGACATGCAGACTCCGCACCGCAGAAATGGCGGTGTACAAAAAGCATACCGCAATATGATTGGATGACAGGCCCGCCAAGCTTACCAACACGCCTTCGGTATCGGATTACATGAAGATGGCTGGATCTCTACTGCAAGCAGTGCATATCTGTGCAGTAGATCCGTATACCACTCCACTGACGAAGCTATCAGGTAGTGTTGCGCGTCTGCGATCATGAGGTCTGGTCTGCAGCTGCTTATATGCACGACCCAGCCGCGACAAATGCTCCAGCCATCGACTTCGTAATTCCATCGGCCCTTCTGATTCAGAACGTCACGACGAGACCGCTCGAATGCTGAGGATAATGACAGATCTGGCGCTGAATGAAGCCAACGTGGCTGGGAGTGTCCAGAATCATCTGGCGATTCTTTAACTTCAAGTTCGCGGATTCTGAATGTGCTGTGGTGCTCCGGTGAAATATATTTTGGAGAGGGCCTCCAGAAGGTTGGGAAACGCGTCAATCTTGAACCGGCAGCGTAATGTGCCAAGCCTGCTGGCTTCACATCACTCGATACCTGGCAGCTTTCCGTCATTGTGCAATGCTGACAACTGGTCTGGAGCAATCAGTACTCGGTTCATCCCGCAAGACCTCGGTCTTGTACTCGCGTCCAGAATTTGATGCCAAACAGTGACACCGCTGACAAAAAGCAAGTTCGCTCCGGCCTCAGGCAGAAGCACTTGTGCCCCGTCACAGCGATTTGTCAAGCCACGACTCAAGTCTGCAGCCTGTTGAGCACTGTCACGGCAGGTGTGCAATCACCTGTCTGCGTGTAACACAGACACGGATTTGACGAGGAGCAAGATCTTCTCACCGAGGTGCAGTAGGAATGGTGCGCTCTGAGCGGAGCGGTCTGCACCTGCGGGAATCCGAGTGTCACTGCAAGGTCCCGCACCTCATGTTTGTTGGTCACACGATACCAAAGTATACTCCGTGGATGTTCAAAGCGATGCAAATCCATCAGCAACGACAGCACCAGTGCAGATCGGTCCGACTTCGACATGTTGCTGGACATTCAGCAAGTCATACCACGCGCGGCCGCCCGCATATTTTGGCTGTAGGGCTGACCATCTTGGCTTCAAATATGATTTGGTTGGCCGTAACCGCGCCGAGGCCTGTCAGGTATATGAAATTCGTGGTAGCCGGACGTGCAGGAGGCACAATACGCTGATGGATCTGGTATGCGCTGAGTGCAGTTCGAGGACAATCAGTACCACGTTGCCAGGATGTTTCAGAGTGCATGACAATGGTCAATCGTGGTGAGTGGACGATTTGTAGGTCGAGCAGGACTGCACGGTAGAAAGATAAAAGGTAGGAGAGCCTGCGTTGAAAGCCATCTCAATCAGCATCAACAAAAACCTCGATGCAAGCATACAGCATACAGCATCCGGCAACATCCTCCGCGAACATATCAGGTCTCCACTGATCTTGTGCTATCCAATTCCGCGACAGGCAACTAGGCAACTAGGCAACGCCCTGCTGGTATCGAGGTGAGTTAAGGCAAATTCTTGTGCAAACTCAAACCGGAAGGCGCATGCTCATTGACTCGATGAATAGCAGAACATCGGCCAGCACTATTTCCGAAGCCGTGCACAAACCGAAATCAGAAGCATCTGCCACCATGTGCAAATACTACGCTCACTCCTACCCTTGCGGCCACGTCAAGACTGTCTTCGCGGCCTTTTGCGCTCAGGCTGCGCTCGTACAGAAGCCTTGCGGGAGAGGAGATATTTGGGCGACTGTCAAGATGGAGCAAGAATGCCAGCACTGCTACGAAGATGAGCCGGCAGCTATTCCGCGATCCAGAATCGGAGGTGCTGCAACCCGAAAGAAGGTCATCCGTCGGTGAAGATGGTCAAGGATACAGTAATCATGGTGTCGTGGAAGGAAAGCGGTTCGTTGATGTTCGTGATGTACGTGCGTCGTTTATAGGCGGAGTTAGGGTTTTGGGCCAGTGGGCGTTGGATCCGAGGCAATACGAGATGACTTCGCGAAGTGCTTTGCGATATCCTGGAGATATTCCGAGCTCGAGCATGTACATAGTAGAAGCGCTGCTTGTTCGCGTGTGCGAATATGGTAGAGTGTGCGAGCATTCCTGCAGTTCATGCATGCAATTACACATCAGACTGCACATCGCTGCTGCACAACTTCATCCGGCGCATTGTATACTACAACAGCAAGAGCTCACGACCGAGCAAGGGAAATCGAGCTCTCGCTAGCGTAGTCCGACGGGATGATCGTCAAGCCATCTGGCAGCCACTTCGGAAAGGGACTTGCCCACGTGGTGATTCACCAGCTCGACTGCTGTTGCCTGCGCTAGGAGCTCATTCCGTCGTCTTCTTCTGCGCTACTTCTCGAAAACAACGACGACCAAGGTGAGAAGTGTCAAAAACGGCTGGATCGAATAGACTCTGGGCGGCATGGCGAATTACCTTCGCCGGGTCCTGCAGCGTGGGGCCGCACGTGAAACTGAGACGGCAAGTTCCATCACGACCGGGGTCAGCAATACCAACGATTCAAAGACGTTGGATACCACTTCTACCGAACAACAAACATCGACTCCGGTTGATGGCAGTGCTGATCATGGCGACGACAAGCGCATTGGGGCAGACGACAATGCCTCGGCCGACTCACCAGCTCATGGCACCTTGAACGAGAAGAAGGACGACACAACCATCGTAGTCGATTCCACCGATCGCCAAAACAGCACTGTCGCATCAACAGACGAGAAAAATGCCACTACTACCAGCGAAGACCCAGACGACGAATCCAAATACGTGACAGGCACACCTCTCATCCTCCTCGTCATTGGCCTCCTACTCGCAACCTTCGTCGTAGCCCTCGACAACACCATAATCGCAACCGCCATCCCCCGCATAACCACAATCTTCGACTCCCTCAACGACGTAGGCTGGTATGGCAGCTCCTACCTCCTCACTACAACCTCCTTGCAACCCTCTTTCGGCAAAATCTACACATACTTCAATGTGAAATGGACGTATTTGATTGCGTTGCTCATTTTTGAGCTCGGGAGTATTTTGTGTGCGGCGGCGACGAGCAGTACCATGTTGATTGTGGGAAGAGCTGTGGCGGGAGCTGGAGCTGCGGCGTTGTTTTCCGGGGCGATGACGATTATTGGCTATAGTGTGCCGTTGAGGAAGAGGGCGCTTTATATTGCGAGTTTGAGCAGTATGTTTGGGATCGCATCTGTGGTGGGGCCGATTTTGGGAGGAGCGTTTACCGATAAGTTGAGTTGGAGGTGGTGTTTTTGGAGTGAGTGGTTCTCTTCTTCTTCCTTGATCTCATTGAGGAGAGGATGGGCACGAGAGAAGATTGCAGTGCTGACGATATGATTTCTAGTCAACCTCCCATTCGGCGCCGTCAGTATCGCTGTTGTGTTCTTCTTCTTTACTGATCCGCCGAGAGACCATGCGGATATGACGTTCAAGGAGAAGCTCAAGCAGATCGATCTTCTGGGGGCTTTCTTCCTGATCTGCGCCATTGTCTGTCTACTTTTGGCATTGCAATGGGGCGGCACTGTCTACCCATGGTCAGACAGTCGAGTCTATGGTTGCTTCATCGGTTTCGGCCTGTTGCTTGCGATCTTCATCGGCTGGCAATTTAAGCTCCAGGACCGCGCCACGATGCCACCTCGCATCCTCGGAAAACAGCGAACAGTCGCGGCTGTTGCAGTCTTCTCTGCCTTTCTCGCTATGGCGTTGTACACGCACATCTACTTCCTGCCTTTCTACTTCCGTAAGTACAACTGTGAAACGAATTCCGAATTGCCATGCTAACCTCCCCTGCAGAAGCCGTCAAAGGCACCAGCGCCGAGGGCTCCGGAATCCGCTGCATCCCCTACCTCGTCAGCATCGTCTTCTCTTCCATCGTCGTCGGCGCAACTATCACCCTCATCGGACCGTACAACCCACCAATGCTCATCGGCTGCGCAACCTTCGTTGTTGGCTGCGGCATGCTCTACACTCTCAACCCTGGTTCCTCAGCTGGAGTCTGGATCGGCTACCAAATCCTGGCCGGAGTCGGTGCAGGCGCCTGTGTCCAGATCCCCTTCATCGCAGTTCAAGTCGTGCTCAACGAGAAAGACATGCCAATTGGCAACGCTATCGCGATCTTCTTCAACACTCTTGGCGGAGCAATAAGTGTTTCTATCGCGCAGAACATCTTCAGCAATACTTTGGCGCAACAACTTCCCGTTCTGGCACCGACCGTTGACCCGAGAATGGTTATCGCGGCTGGAGCGACGCATATCGAAGATGTGGTTCCGGAGGGGAGCGTAGGCGCCGTGAGATTGGCGTATAATCTTGCGGTTACAAGGGCGTTTATCATGCCGATTGCTGTGGCTGGGTTGGGGTTTCTTGCGGCTCTGGCTTTTGAGTGGAAGAGTGTTAAGGGGAAGAAATTGGCTATGGGTGGTGCCGCATAGTATCAGAAAGCTCTTTTGTCTGTGAGTAACAGACGATAGATGCGTCGGACTTGCAGAGGCTCACAGCACATACTGTACTTTGCAGAGCAAGTAGACCACTCCTCTCGAATGAGTTTGTTAGAAAACATCGTTCCATCCCATCACTGCGCAATGGAGCATATGAGTTCCAGTGATTTCATAGTAGATATGAGGAAGTAAAGAGAAGTTCGTGAAGTGATTCGGTTGAAAGGTAAAATGCAGTATGATAATTTACAGCTGCGACTATCACTACTGTTATACATGATCAATTCTGATTCTGGTTGATGCTCGCTCTTCAATGCGCGCTTTTGATGCTATTCATCATCGGTCGGTCGTTAAAATTCTCGAACTCGCTATGCCATGCATGTCAAATGCGCAATCAATGATCGGCCGTCTCTGTGTTTTGATGCTCTATTCGTCATGATTCCCAATGCGTTCTCCAGGAAGAGGCAAGCAAACTTCTCATCTCTCTTAGATCCTGTCAAAAGCGGAAGAGAAGTTTTACTTGGTGTATTGCCAAGCAGAGGTGGTGTTGTCGGCGAGCTGGACGAGGCGCCAGTTGAAGCCCAAGCAGTCCTCAGCACCGGTGAAGCGGGAAGCAGCGTAGACGGTCCAAGCACCCTCGATGCGCTCACTTGGGCATGCGACCCAGGAGCTGTTCTCGAACTTGAGGGTAGCGTCGTAGACGTTCTCGAAGCCAGTGGTGATGGCTGGGCCGTCGGTGCGGGCGGTGTGGGCCTGAGTGAACTTGAGTTGACCGGCGACTTGGCCGATGGAGTCGTCACCCTCGGTCACGTAGACTTGTTGACCGCCTGGGACGCTGGTGAGGAGGCCGATGGTGCCTTGGCCGTTCACGTAGGTGAAGACGGTCTGGTTGTTGAATTCACCCTCGACGACGTCTGGCTTGTAGGTTGCTGGCTCGGCGCCGATGAGGAACTCGGAGCCGTTGGCGTTGATTTGGCCGAAGTGGATTGGGCTGGCGCTGCGGAGGGCCATGCCGGCGAACTTCAGAGGCTCTTGTGGGCTGCTGCCGGCCTGAGGAGCTGGCATGGCAGCGGCCATGGAGGCGAGAGCAGCGATAGCGAGGTTGGCGTACATTTTGTCGGTGTTGGTTGGTGGGTTTGTTGGGGTGGTCGAGATGGTATTTGACTTGCTATCGCGATTGATGTTGCTGGATTTGATGCTTCGAAGTAACTTGGTCGGGCAGGATCAGGATCTTTGTATCTCACTCATTGCCTCACCTTCCATGCCGAACAGCCCGGGATGATCACCGGCAGAATTCTCACGATAGAGTAGCATGCACATCTGCTGTACGAAAAGATGTGACGTTAGTCGCATCCCACAATAGAAGAGAGAGTCGGAGCTTCGCAATGGCGATCGCACCGAGCGAGTGGTGCCAATACGAAGCGCATCATGTCACTAGTTAGGGACGTGTAGTTGACTTGTGTCAGGCAGACTTCACATAATCCCAGGGTATGATGTAACAAAGAGTGGCGTCGGTCAAGCTATCCGGCCAAGTGTAGAAGCACAACCCCAGCTAGGGGCGGAATTTTAGGCGGACGGAGGCTTTGCCGGATAGTGCTGTGCCAGAAGAGTACAGCAGATCGCTGTAACCTCGTATTCCGTTGCAAAATAGCATGAAAAGTAGGGAAGTAGTTGCACTACGAGGTGTTCTCCCAGTGGCACAAAGTTTTGAGATCGACGAAGGATTCCAAGAATAGCCACTTGGCACGGCGGTCCGGTGCTTTGTGGGCCGAGTTCTCCATCGAGCCCTCCTCGCATCTCGCTTCACTCCGGTGGAGCCTCCGGCATGTCGTCAACAAGGTATTGTTGAGCTTGCATATTGCGTCAAATAGTCCCTGCGAATGTGGACTCGCGATGCGCTGGTATCGAGCACGACTCGTGATTCAAGACCACCAGAAACCCATCGAAAGTCACTATGCCTATGAATAGCAAGACTTGAAGAATCGCGTTCGCCCACTCGGAAGATCGCCGGCTGGGGCTATCGTGCAAGCAACCACGCCCGAATAGGCCGATTGTTGCAGAATGCGTCGCTTGTGAGGTGGCTCGCTTGCAAAAATGGCATGAATGGGGCAATACCGCCAAATGTCCTAGCTCTCGAATGTATCATGAGACAGATGTTGACCGGATACTGTGGTAGCTAAAGTCTTTCTCGTATCAGCGCCTTCAACGCTGACGACAGAAAAGTTCCACCTGATCGTAAGCAGAACCGTGATGGTTTCACCGCTTTCCCACCGACTACCTCAAATCCCGGAGGTGGTTGGTTACGGATCGACCAGGCTCCAAGACGCGCTGTGAAAACATCGATACGCAAGCGGCCTCAACACCTCGATACCCGTCTGCGCTGCACTTAGCTCGTTGCAACATTGGACAAACAATTCTGTAGTTCTTCTAGGCAGAATCAGCCACAATGTGCAGTGAGCTTTGTAAACATCAGCACTACAGCTGAGTTGTCAGACGGCACGCTTGACCAGGTTCGGTACCCTGGAGAGCGCGACATGTTGTTTGGGTGTCTGGAGAATGCCGCACGACTTTTGAGTAGAATCTGCGCCTGTTGATGATCTGCAATTTCGTTCGGAGAAGGATATTCTTCGGACGTTTTGGAAATTGAGGAGTGTCTCCCGCAGCCCATTGCAGTAATCATGGAAGCGATGTTGGTTCAATTGCTGCTGCCGACCAAGGGCAATACGGCCATACAAGCTGTGCGTGTGTACGCCGCCTCGATTGACCAGCGGCAGCCGAATTTCATTGACTTCCAGCAGCACAGCGGCTCAACAAGTATCAAGTACAGCCCCGAGAACATCGAGCGCTTCCCCGAGACAAGCAGTCGGCTTTCAAAATGCTGTCGTATCCAATGCGATGGTCTGAGGACAAAATTCTCGGCACAGGAATAGTGAGTCGGTCTCGCACCTAAGACCCGTATTCCTCATAGTCGGCGGTGTCCCGAATACTGTAATTTTGTCTTGGTGGAGAAAAAAGACCGTCCGGAACATCTGTATCAAAGCACGGGCAAATGATTAGAGACAGAGCGTGGTAAGGGTGTTGAAGGCGTTATCATGGGGGCACCTCCTCTAACGTTCATGTCTCCTCGCCCTCGAGAAGTACTCTTGCCTAAGTCGCGAGGTCCTGTGTAGGGTAGAGGGCGAACTTCAATGCGTAGTTGAGGCCGATCGCCTTCGTGCGATAGCCAAAGCTCTCCAGTCTAGATACTTGAACCGCGCTTCTATGGTAATCTGCGACGATGAGATGTATCGGACTGTTTTCTGCGATGCTTGTGGAGGTGTGCGAATGAGTGGCCGGAAACTGTTAATGCAATTCTGCTCATCGATGTTCGGTGTTCTGCAGGACAGCGTCGCGCGCACGATTTGATCTCAGACTTGATGCTGTCGTCAGCATTGAGAAGACGTTATAAGCATAGTCGCAATTGAGCCCTAGCTTGGGCGTATTGCGAAGTAGCTGAAGGACGGACTTGACGTGTTGGTGTTGGTTGGGAAGGATGTGAATGGGTGGAAGGAGCGCATGGAGCTAGCGAGATCGGATGAGCGCGCCGATCCGCTGCTCCACTGAAAAAAGTCCAGCTTCATCCGAGCAGAAAGTTGAGCGAGGGAATCTGCAAATCCTCCAGAAAGACAATGTCCAACAAGATGGGTGGAATCAAGCGCAAGGAAGCGCCATCTGCTGCTGGGAAAAGTGAGAAGAAGCAAAAGACCGGCGGATACAAATACGAAAAGCCAGCGAAACCATCTCGTCTCGAGCAAGCTGCCAACGACGATGGCGAGGACGACGATGTCGATACGGGCGCGATGAACTCCGAGCGAGCGGACATGGTCAAGAAGCCTATGAGCAACACCAACGCTAAATTCAAGCTCGATACCTCTTCGGCCGAAGCACATGCGAAACAACGACAACTGGCGAAGGAGCGAAAAGCTGCGAAGCCCAATGCGGATGTGGTACACAGGTCGAAGCAGCTGTGGGAGAAGCTCAGGAGAAAATCGCATGTACCCAAAGAAGAGCGTGAGGAGCTGTTGACAGAGCTGTTCTCGATTATCGACGGCAGAGTGCGGGATTTCGTCTTCAAGCACGATTCTGTCAGAGTGGTGCAGTGCGCCATCAAGTATGCGAGGCCGGCACAGCTGAAGGGCATTGTGAAAGAGCTGCAGAACGATGTGCGCGACTTGGTGGAGTCGCGATACGGGAAGTTCCTCGTTGCAAAGATGGTTGTACAAGGTGATCGCGCGGACAAGGACATGATCATCCCACAATTCTACGGCAACATCAAAAGGTTGATCAACCACCCCGAAGCATCGTGGATCTTGGACGACATTTACCGGCAAGTGGCAACTCCGAAGCAAAAGGCGGTGATATTGCGGGAATGGTACGGAGCAGAGTATGCTATCGAGGGAAAGCAGTATACGAAGAAAGCACCCCCTGCCGATGTCACGGCGGACCTTGTGAAGATTTTGGAAGCAAATCCGGAGAAACGCAAGCCGATTCTTGGCTACTTGAAGCAGCTTATTAACAACCTCATTCAGAAGAAGATGACTGGCTTCACAATGCTGCACGATGCGATGTTACAGTACTTCTTGGCCCTTCAACCTGGCTCAGAGGAACAGTCTGAGTTCCTTGAAATCTTACGGAACGATATCGATGCGGAAGAGAATGATGGCGGCGGCGACCTTTACCGAAATCTGGCATTCACAAAATCAGGTTCTCGACTTGTGTGCCTTGCTCTCGCACATGGCTCCGCGAAAGCGAGGAAACAAATACTGAAATGCTTCAAAGACCACATTGAGACAATGGCCTTCGACGTTCACGCTCGCATGGTCCTGGTTGCTGGTCTGGATGTGACAGATGACACCAAATTGACCTCACAGACCGTGCTCACAGAACTACTGGGTCTGAAAAACGAAGACACAAAATCCAAACACGACAGGCTCGAAGCGATGCTCACAAATCTCCATTCCAGGCTACCGATCCTCTTCCCTCTAGCCGGCACCGCTAAATGGCTTTGTCAAGCGGGCGAGAAGGAGGCTATCAAAGAGATCCATGCCGTCCGCGCCACAACTTCCAAGAAAGCTCCATCGCAACGACGAGACGAGCTTCTCAAGACCGTCAGCGAGCCACTACTCGAACTTGTGGCTGATCGTGCATCAAACCTCATCACATCTTCTTTCGGCACCCAAGCCATCTCCGAAATTCTCCTCTCCTGCAATGCATCGAACCGAGCCACAGCAGCCGAGGCCGTGGCTGCTCTGGCAGAAGGAGACCCTCATTCGGAAGACCACATCGCAAAAGACCCAGCAGTCGGACGCATGCTGAAGACACTCGTCACAGGCGGAGCTTTCGATCCAGCGACGAAGACCGTCGTGCTATCAGAGCCAAGACTTGGCTTCGCAGCTACTTTATATCCCCAAATCAAAGAGCACATTGTCAGCTGGGCAACCAGCGACTCATCATTTGTCGTGGTCGCGCTACTGGAGTCAGAAGATGTAGATAAGGATATCAAGAAGAAAGTGAGAAAAGCGTTGGAGAAGGGAAAGGAGGAGATCAAGAAAGCTGCTGAGGCAAGCAGTGAAGGCAAAGTCGAAAAGACCAGTGACGAGGAAGAAGAGACTGGCAAAAACAAGAACAAGAAGCGAAAAGTAGAGCACAAAGGGAATGCTGGCGCAAGAATTCTGTTGGAAAAGTTGGGCTAACGTCGTCTACATGTTGTTCAGAGGTAGACTGATGATACCAGTATTAAAGCATCGTATGAACTTCTGGACTCAGGGCCTTTATGTCCCAGGCAAAACCTCCCTCGTTCCCTCCAGTCTCCAACCACTCTTGACCCACCCTAACAAATCCTCTCCTCCGGCGGCCTCCACTTCACCCCCAGAATCTCAAAAATCCTCTTCTCATCCCTCCCCTCCACAAGCGTCCCCTCCGCCAACTTCTCCCTCCCCTTCCCCCTCAAAACATCCTTATACAAACCCCTCTGATTCAATCTCATCCCCTTCGTACTAGCCAACAACCTCAAAGACCTATTGAAAATGTCATTTCCGGTAAAGTATATCAACGCGGCCCCAATTTCGTCCGAAGGTACAAGGAGTAAATCCATGCGACGCCAGATTTTACTACCTGGTAGACAGGATGCTCCATGCCATTTACTTCCATCGTCTTTGGATTTCATGGCAAGGTTCGCGACGAGGAAGTTTTGGGCTGTGAGGGACGGTACGAGTTGATTCATTATGATGTTGCGGAGGTGAGCGGCGCCGGTGTTGGGGCGGGTTATGATGCAGTCGATGTCGCCGCTGTCGGAGGCTCCGCGGCGATAGGAGCCGCCGATGATGACTTCGAATGTTGGATCGAGTTGTTTGAGAGCGTTGCGTACGATGGCGCCGTGTTGGGCGACTTCGGAACGGGGAATGCGGGAGTTGAAGTCGGTGTAGTGTTCGATGCCGATTCGTTGGTTGGTGGTGAGAGGAGCTTTGGCGAGGAGGTCGTCGAGGGTTTGGTAGCCTTGGTGGACCCATTCGGTTGCTTGCTTGATTCCTGCGCCGTATACACCCATGAAAGTTTGCAGGAGTTGGTCCGAAGGTTCTGCTTTGGCGTTTTCGAGTCTTCTGAGGCGGTTTGTGAAAGCAATCTCTTCGATCTTCTCGGCCAGACGTGGTCCGATGTTTGGAAGCGCTCCGGCCTCCTCCTTCGTGGTGACCTTGATCGGATGATTCTTCAAAGTCGCTATTGCTTTGCGATAGGCTCTGATCCGCCATTCATCGCCTGTCTGGCCGTAATAGTCTGCCATTTGCTGCAAAATTTCGATAGTACCGCTGTTTGGGTTGTCTGAATTGGCACCAGTATTCTTTTGCATGCACTGCCATCTGTCTCGCGCCTCTTTGAACTTGGTCTTGCGCGTGGCCACAAGTTGCAAGCCTGGCTTCTTCTCTTGCTCTCCAGACCCCAAGCCTTCAGAGCTGTTGGGTCGATCTTCATCCTCTTCTTCACCAATGTGTATGGCTTGAAGTGCTTTGGCTTTTGCGATCGCATCGTCTAGTTCGCTGTTGCTTGCAACGCTGGAGAATTGAAAGCTGTTGGCGACGCGTGCCGGATCGTCCAGTGAATCATCGACCGGATGTCCGGCGACAACCGCAGAAGCGACTGCGGCAAGCTCGTCCTCTCTTGGTGGAGTCTCAGCTCGTCTTTCCATTTGGGCTTTGCCTTTCGCAGGTTTCAGTTTCAGAGACTTGTCAGATTCGACTGAGTCTATCCCAGAAGTTTTGGGCGGCACAAAGCCTTTGACTGCAAATCGGGTAGGCGATGGATCAAGAAGCACGCCGTATGTAATGCATTCGGCGGGATATACGTCGTTGACCACGATCACGCTTTGCGGAATGCTGTCCACTTTCAGCCATTTCTTCAAGTCGTCAAAAGTCATAGATTTGTCAACGACAACGTGCGTGATATCTTTACCCCATGTCTGGTGCCATACTGCGCCATATTCGCGAGCTTTTGTGATGCGCATCCGGCGAGCAGGTGCTGAGTCATTGTTTGGGAAGAAGTAAAAGTGCAGATCACGAAAGACCTGTATCGCTTCTGGTACAAGCTTGATTGACGCCTCACGCTTCCGCTTGCCTGTCACTTGTGTTGTACCCGGCTTGCTTCGCTGGCCAGAACTGATGTCGCTGACAGTCTGTCTCAGTCCGCGAGGTAGTGGCGGCTTTGGCGGAACGTTGGCACTCTTCGGATCGGTTGACGATGGAACAACTGACCTTCGCTCGCGCGCAGCGCTGTTCTTTGGCGGAGACGAGTTGATAGTTGCATCTTGGTTCGCCTCCCTCCCCTGAAAGGCTCCGGTGTTATCAGAGATGGAGCGAGCGAGAGGACGCTTTTCTGCTTTCGATGCCAGCGCAGCGTGTTTCTGTTGTCCTCTCGCTGCAGCGCGTTTCAGCGCGTCTTCAGACGCTTGTCGCCCCAGGTCAGGCTCATCGTCGCTACTGTTATCCAACTTGTCCAAAGCGTCGAAAACCTGCTTCTTCTTGGCAAGATAATCGTTCATGTTGGAAGTCATGATGTCAAAAGAGTGTTGAACCAAGCGACGAGAAGGTAATGTTCTGAGCTCAGTTAGCAATCGAGTCAAAAGCACCTGGTGATGCTTGAAGCAAAGATGTGTTACACATGCTGCCTGTCACTGCGCGCTCCGACAATGTGGATGCATGTGAGAGCGAAGGGTTGGTGAGCTTCGCAGGCCGAGTCTCTGCCTTGCGTCTGAGAGGTCTTCTGTTGTCGGCCAAAAGTCGAGAGTGACAGCCATTAGTCTTGGGCCTGCCTTCACTTCACGCATCGCTCCTGACAACTGCATTGCACATGCACACAAGGAACTGAAGCGGCATCCCAGATTCAGCCACTCGATCCACAGCACATAAGTTCAGACACATTCAAGGACACGATATTTCGTTACGAATCTGACATTCTCTGATTCTACGTACAGCAGTCGATACCGCCAATACCAGACCAAAATTCCAAACCCCAGCCCCAAGTGCCCTTTAAAGAAAGTGTTCGAGCTCGATCGCTCGTCTATGCACGCATGCCGACCCATGTAAGAAAAGACTTTCGCATCCAGTGCGCAAAGCAAGCAAAAAGCCCCTGGCCTCAATTAAGTTCATCCAACAAATTCGTTCCTTCATGTTGCTGGCCAGCCTCTCAAGAACCGCGTACTCATCGACGCAGAATCACAATCAATCAGCAGAGCTTGGAAGTCCTGTGAATCACGCCCTCAAAAGCCACGCATGGCATTCTCTCGGGCTTTCGTTGAGCGCATGAACAAGTTCCTCACACTGGCCTGCGCAGTCTTGGCCCCTGTCTTAATCGCATCAGCAAGCTGCTTAGCTGTCAGCTTGCCATATGTCGCATCAGCCTGACTCTCCGCCTTTCGCACGCTATGCCTCAAACAGTCAATTGAGTCAGTAGTCAGATGTCCGATCTTCTGTGCCGGGTGATCATATCCCACAGGATACCCACCTAGAAGATGCACACAGCTCGTTGGCTTCAGCTCAAAGTCTGGGTCGTCTGAGAAGAGCACAACAGTAGTGTAGTCCGTCGTTGGATGCTTCTCGACCTTGGGCTGACCGGCTTGCTGCACGCAGCAGTACTCGAATTGACGGCTTCTGGTGACTTTGTTGGCCAGGCCAACTCCGTTCCAGGAGAACAAGGGCAGGACGACCATGGATTCGCCAGTCTTGCGGATGATGATGGCAGGGCGCCACTTGGTGAGCAGCGGCCCTAGCTGCGTGTAACTTAGTTGCTCGTCGTCGGGTTCGATTTTGGGATCGTTGTTGTGGGTGTGCCATGGCACCCACAACACATCTCCGATCTTCCAGTCTTCGGTCGTCTTGCCGGTACTTGAGGACGTCGGGGTCGTAGAGCTAGCAGCGGGTTGCAGCGACTGCTGCTTGGACAACCCAACTTGATTCGCCGGAGATGTGGTTCGCGCTGCAGCACAGGTGGACTGTGCAGCGCCCAAGGCATATGCATTGCTCACAGGTCGTGGCTGGAAGGCGCTCGATCCTGTGCCCCAGCCATACTCTTTCTGCAGGAATCCATGGCCTCGGGAGGTCTGGGCTGAATCGACTCGTGGCCGACCAATACCGTATGGAAGGGTCTCTGAGTATTCGGTAGCTGCTGCGAGCGGAGCAGCCTTGTATCCTCGAGCGCCAGGGACTTGGTAACGCGCTATGGCAGGTGGTGCGTCTGCTGGTCGACAGCCCGATGTGACTACGACAGACTCGACGGCATCTTTCGCGGACTTTTGGGCATCTACTGGAGACTGATCGTACGTGTCCGCTTTCTCGTCGTCTTCGCCGATCTCTGAACGCGGCATGTTGCTTGCTGCTGGTCTCTAGCCTTCTTCGATTTTGGTCTTTGCACTGGTGCTGATGTGGACTATGTGATGTGGGAATGATATATCTTGAAAGGAAGAGTGAGGCGCCAGCATCGCGACTGGTGAAGGATCACACATTTGCGCGAGTGATGAGTCGCTGCACACGCTTGGACTCGAGCTCTCGGTCCAATCGAGTGAATGGCATCACCTGACATCAACAATGCTACACAAAAGCCCCTCGATGCGAGTACGAGCCATCCCTCAATCTAGACGACTGTTAGCAACGTAAATTTTACAGTATACTGATCTTGACGCCAGAGTATTGGGTATTGAATATTGCCGCCGCCAAATCCAGGTGATTCTCGCTTTTTGATGCAGTGAATCGGAAGCAGGTAAGGGTGGAGGCGCGAAGAACAAAGCGGGTGTCCAGCAACCTTCCCGAGTGAACGAGAGCGGATGAAGCGCGTTGACTCTTACACTGAAGTATTTGTAAATCTCTTCCTTCTCGACACATAAGGCTTTCTTAGGACAGGATAGCAGAGACCGAAACCAGCAGCAGAGGCATCTCACTTCTTCTCGGACACAGCAGACCTAGAAATCCAGTGAGGGAATGACAGCACCACAGCTATAGCCATTCCGGTCGTCATGGCAGGTGGCACATCGTCGCGCGCAGTGGCTTTCCTGGCCACCACACTTTCCGTCGCCATCGCCAGCAAGAAACATATGAGGCTCAGAGGCTTCGCACAGAACTTCAGCCGTTGGCGAGGATGGGCTGGTAGGAAAAAGGAGCATGTCGGAACCCGCCAGGAGAACGTCGCGACATGCAATGTTCCACCGGATGAGGCTGTCGTATCCGACGTGACTCAAGAGCTCCACAGTAGCTCTGTTCAGGGGACCGTCCAGGACGAGACGCTTCAGCGACCGATAGCGGTAGTAGCGGACAGCCAAGATATGCACCAAGGCACCCAGCCGCCACCAGTCCCGGTCGCTCCAGCTGCTGAACCAGCACAAGAAGTGCCAGTAAATCCCGCAGAACAACGAAAAGCCCGAAGAAAGAGATGCATCAGGTTTCGTGGCGAAGATGAAGACGACTATACCAAAGGCCCGATCCGCATTGTCGACGCATTCGACGGCATTGAGAATGTGGCGTCGCTTCTGCTTAACTTGGACTTGTCGCGAAAGATCCAAGCCGCTTTATCAGCTCGAAGGGACCTGCAGACTGCCGAACGAGTAGCAATTGACGAGCGTTCACGTTGGCAACAGCTAGGAGGTCGAATCGGCGGCGAATTCGGTAATCTGGAGCTGATGATCAGGGTTGTCCGAGACCAGAGCGTCATGATCTTCTCCGACCAATATCTGGCTGAGGTAGAAGCTTCAAAGCAGAACGTGAAAAAGCTTGAAGGCTTTCTGTCGGCCGTTCACGAGCAATACCTGTTAGTCGACATGCGGCTCCAGTCCAAGATTGAGGCACTTCGCAGCTGCCGTGAAGACGTGGACCAGTATCTCGAGGAGGCCTTCGTGGTGGCAAGATTGATGCCGCCCGCTCCTGCAGAGGCCTCGCCAGTCTTCGAAGAGTTTGACTTCAAGTCCATGTATGAGCACTACTGCCAGCATGGCTATACACTGGATGAAGGCGAGTTGATCCTTGGACGCGATGGACTTGTTGTGAACGGACCGAACGCCCCTACTGACATAGTTGGTCAGATTGATCCCGGTGAGCAGAAGAAGAGGGACACGGAGGCTGCCTTTGACGAAGCTCGTCGCAAATTGGGGGAAGCCCAGGAGGCATTCGACATGCGCCGAGGCATAGACGCGCATGAACAGCTCAACCTAGGCGATGAAGAACCCGTACAGCTTGAATACTCACTTCGGTGGGTCCAGCGCGGCCGTGAGCTGACTCAAGCGCTGATCAAAGCAGAGGAAGAAGAGCATAAAGCTCGGCAGGCCGCGCTGGATGCCGGAGTAGTCATCGCGGATCAGTACCAGAGTTCAAACTTCCGCGACCATCCCGACGACGGCTACCGTGAGAGCTACGAGAACAACGCCATCGCTCAAGTGCCTCGGAAGAGGATTACAGAATGGATTGCCAAAATACCAGACTCCGCTGACCCAGAGGAACAGGAGTTGGCGATGAGGCCGGAAATCGATAATTGGAGTGCTGTTTACGTCGACATCGGTGACAGTCGCAGTCTGGTTGACGATTCATCGCAGCAGAATAAGATCAAAGGTTGGGCGGAGATATGTAATCGTATGGGCCGATGAAGTATAGTATTTGAATAGCTGGAACGACCTTTTTTGTGTTAGCAATGCCAACCAACCATTTCGGATCATGCAGATTAGTACACTCCGCGTTAATGAACGTTGCTCTCTTCTCACTGCCTGCTTGATGTGGCCATCTTACCAGATGTGAAGCAATTGCACGAGCGGTGTTCTCAGTATGCGCATGTATCGTGTATATTGTTGTGCCATATTCGTGATTTCGAGAATATGGGAGTTTGGCCCAGACGAAGCCCATCACGATCGGCAGAAGTCGACCTTGCAACCATGTGCAGACTGGTCTGGTACCCATGCATTGCCAGAACGAGAACAAAGAGTTTGTGCTGACGTTTGACAACCTGTTTAAGACGCCAGGTGCTGCTCTTTGACGTCTGCTGGCCAGACTCTCGACCAACAAGGATGCAGGCTGTTCATCTGGAGTGGCAACTGGCGACCACGTGTTGAAAGACAAAATGCAGTCGAACGTGCCGTTGCGTGGTCGATGGCCTTGATTGAAGTTTCAAGTGATGTCTGCTGCCAAGTAGTCGCGCTTGCCTTGTGCCGGGGAAGCCATGGTCAAGCAGATTGTGACATTCATTGCTCTCGCAAGAAGCTCGCGCTGTCGTAGCAGCAACCATGATGGACACCGCTGATGATGTGCATCCGAGCAAGCCGCGGAAGGCGCGATGGTGAAGCCGTTCGGGCGAGCTGGATGTAGTGACAACACATCGTCGTGATCGTACATGTATGTCAGCTCGTACACTTCAGGCCCCGGAAGGTGCAGTAGGCGGCAGGAGCAGGCCAAAAAGGACGAGTGACATGGCCATGCTGGCGCTGAGAATGGAGACGAGCTGCACCAATGCACCTGTAATGAGTTGGGACGTCATGCCGTCCAATGATGTTCTCGTGGACAGCGCTGCATTCGGCACGGGCAGCCGATGGGTGGAGCGGTGCTCATGCAGCCCTACGTGCGTACAGTAGATACACACTCCTGTCGCTGTGCCTCATCTTCGGCTGGGAGAACTGCTGAGGGAAAATCGGGTAATTGAAGGCCGTGTTCGCTGGTGTGCAATCAGTGGCCGATGGGAGATTTTCCTATCGAGAGTGAAGAGTCGGCAGAGAGGGCGGGCGGGTGCGCGGCGGGTCGCGTCGCTTGCTAAGGAGCTGTTGGTTTCAGGCCGATCAGCGACATCATTGCTCGGCGGCAATTGGGCCAACAGTCTGACAGAACGGCGGACGAATGAGACGTGCGTGGGAGAAGTGCTGATTTGGCCTGATTCTTGCTGCCTCCGTGTCCTCAGCGGATTTTCTTTCAACAAGTAGCACAGAACGGAACACTTGAGCCATCATTGTCGTTGTCGTTGTCGTTGATATCGAGTGCAACATTGCTAGAGAGCGCGGCTCAGCAAGGTCTTGGCAGATAGTCCGGTGCATGCTGAGGAGGGTCCTGTGGTGGCTAGCGCCTGGTGACTGCAGACGTGCCACATGAAACACGCTCGAGCGAAGGCCACACCACCGCAGACAACTCACCACATTTCCACGGCGCTGCTCCCACCGCCGACACTCCTCCCTCTCCACCGCTGCCCGAACGACGAATCTCCGCCCACCAAGCTAGAGTTGCGGCAATTTGACGGAGCACGGGAGCATTGACGACCGCGAGACCACCTTAGCAGCCGTGGCCGAAGAGTGCTGGTGCACCGCATAAACGAGACACGACACCGCACGCCGAAGCCCGCACCCACGTCAGCGGCGAGCAAGCAGCATACACTCCTTGGACTCCCTCACACCACCTCCGCTCCTCAGCTCAGCACCGCATCACATACCAGAGCCCCGCTATTAGGCTGTCAAGAGCGCCAACGAGCTCTCTTTGACGGCCGCCTTTGCCAAGACGCCCATCGTGGCCGACAATACCCATCTCACCTCCCCGCCGGTGGATCGCGCAGATATGGCGTCGCCGGCACCGCTTCTCCGCCCGCCCATTCCAGGCGCTGGTCGTCAACAGGGCGGGAATAAGCTCCCACGTCTCGGTCTAGCTATTCCGGCCTCACCGAGTCAGCGACCCGTGAACAGCGCGGCCGCGCCGCCCATGGCTGCCAACAATGTACCACCGCTTGGCCTACATATCCCATCGCGAGCACAGCCGCCCAAGCTGTCACTAGCAACTCCAATGGGTACTGCACATACACCGCAAGAGACTGCTCAAAGTAAACGAAGGCTACCGCCCCTACAAATAGCTCCGGGCTTGTCTGCGAGTGGAGGTAGCAGTGATGAGTCGGCACACAGCAGGACGAACAGCTTCGGCGCCAACACTACACAAAATGGATCCGTCTCGACGACGTCATCGTATTCGGCTCTAAATTTTGTAGAAATGCTAAGAAGTGATGGAGATCCAGTCTCAGCCTCTGGTTCATTATACAGCTCGAGTTCGGCACATTCAGGCGGTGTGGGCATGGAGCGAGAGGGGAGCACGCAAGGTCTACCCGATCTGGAGAAGTTGAGCTTAGAAAAGGGGCGACCATTGGATGTAGAAGATCTGGATGATGCAGGCTGGAAAGCTGCAAAGAAAGAAGGACGTATCGTGGAAATAGGCAGTCTCGGTGAAGGTGCTGGCGGCGCTGTGACGAGATGTATCCTCAAAGGTGGAAAGACAGTCTTTGCGCTGAAGGTGAGCATTGTAAACGCGATCAAAAATCGGAAATTACTGACAACGCGCAGATCATCACAACAGATCCCAACCCAGATGTGAAGAAACAGATCGTGCGAGAACTCAGCTTCAACAAATCCTGTGCTTCGGAACACATCTGTCAATACTACGGCGCCTTCATGGACGACACGAGCGGCACCATTGGCATTTCAATGGAGTTCTGTGAAGGTGGTTCTCTTGACAGCATCTACCGCGAAGTGAAGAAACTTGGCGGCCGCACAGGCGAGAAGGTCCTTGGAAAGGTCGCCGAAGGCGTCCTCAACGGCCTGACGTACCTCCATGGCCACCGCATCATCCATCGCGACATCAAACCCTCTAACATCCTACTCACCCGCCAAGGACAAGTCAAACTTTGCGACTTTGGTGTGTCGGGAGAATTCGGCACCAAAGGCGATGCCAATACTTTCATCGGCACCAGTTACTACATGGCACCCGAACGAATAACAGGCCAGAGCTACACCATCACATCCGATGTTTGGAGTCTGGGTGTGACATTACTGGAAGTTGCACAACATCGCTTCCCCTTCCCTGCCGACGGCACAGAAATGAACCCTCGAGCAGGACTGATCGATCTGCTAACATATATCGTCCGACAACCGATTCCCAAACTCAAGGACGAGCCAGAAAATAAGCTGCGGTGGAGTGAGAATTTTAAGTACTTCATTGAGTGCTGGTGAGTCTCTAACGACCTGAAGCCCTTTTGCCCGTTTTCGGCGATTGCTTTTAATGTTCGATGTGCTAATCGATCTTCAAATATAGTTTGGAAAAAGACCCCAATCGCCGCGCCACGCCTTGGCATATCACAAAACATCCTTGGCTAGTCGAGATGAAGTCCAAACGAGTCGATATGTCTCAATTCTTGCGAACGGTGTGGGACTGGCAAGATTAGAGAACGCAATTCAATCAAGGGAGCGAATCTTCCGTTGGCTCCGTAAGCCCTCTATTCTCTCACCTCTTGTCTCCACTGGATATTTGAAAACAGCGCCATTCGGACTCGATCAACTCTGGCGAGTTGTAGCCGGATTCTCCCAGAGTTGCTGTATTTTGGGGCTTCGATACGGTACCACAAGACGTCCTCAGGGGGCGCTTCGTTGGAAGATTGAGAGACAAAGCTCTGGAGAAGCAAAGGGAGGGAAAATTCCAGGACTGGCTTTTACAGCTTTCGTTCTATTTTGTGTTTTTGAGTAACCAGCATGCATGCATCAGCGAAGCGAGATCACGAAGGTTGAAAGAAAGAAGAGCCAAGAGTAGTGCAGCGGCATTCGACGATCATCATTTCTTGCATATGGCGAATGTTGTGTGGATAACCTTCGCAGTATCTCCTGCTTGTACTAGCGGAATTGAAATGGAAATGAGAAAGATGTATCCGGAATGCTCCCTAACCCCGTTGATCTCATTCTTAGCATGATGTGCGAAACGTGTGCACAGGAAGACTTGAAGAAGGAATGCAAAACGCTAATATGTGTGTATATATGCAAATGCAACAAAAGCCGCCACCAAAACTCCCTCCACCTCGCAGCAAATGCACGCACGTAGGCACCAATGCTCAAGCACCCGTAAATCCAATCCCCTCCCTCTCATCATCAATCACCCTCGCATACTCCAAAAGCAATCGAAAGAACCACACCTCAAAATCCTCATTCCTTAGTGCACTCTTCGCCCACGTCCTTCCCTCCTCCGCAACCCTCAACGCCATCTCCTTCCCTTCCTCCTCTGAGTCAAAGTACCTCACAACCTCCAACACTTCCTCTCCCTTCAAGCTCAACGGAATATAATGCACCCAAGGCATAATCCACTCCTCATGCCATTCGCGAAACACAGCCATTTTCAATGGTAGGGAATGACTTGTTAAAAAGGCGTAGAACCGGCCACTGAAAGCATTCCCGTCAATATCGAGCAAGTACTTATACTTCCACGCTTCTTGTTGATCAGCCGGAGGTACGATTTGGAAGAATTCGCGTTGCGCATCGCAATCTCCTGGGTCACATTGTCCGACATGGGAGAAATGGACATCCATGATAGAGCTGAATTCCGGTCTTGAGACTTCTTTCGTGAGCCATTTCCTCGCATTGGGATTCTCGTCCGTGGCGCCGGCATTGCTGCTGGACATGATTTTGGCTTTGTCGAGGGAATTGATTCGAGAGACCAGCTTCTGTCGATGTTGTCTCCTCCAGCCTCCTGATCGCGAGAAACCACCTGTCGTGCTGCCTCTCCACCAAAGACTATTCTTTTTGTGCGTCCAGTCCATGTCCTCGCTTTCATCGTAGGTGACTTTGCCGAACCAGTACCAGGGGCTGGGATACAGAATATCGTTGAAGCTGGACATTTTGCTCTGGCTGAAAATGGGAAAGAGGTCGTGTACCACGTTGAAAGCGTTCGGGCGATCGAAAAAGCCATGCGACTCACCGAAAGAGGGCGAATTGCATACGTCGGAGAAGGCTGTCTGATTGTACACAAATCCCAGTTCGGACAGGGCATATGCTGTCATGTTGTCCATGAGCTGAGATTCCTCCAGGCCACGAGCAGGACTATCAGGCGAACACGAGAGTCGCGATGGTATCCACGTCGGTTGATGAGCGTAAATGTTGAAGCGTGTGGTTTTCACTTCCGCGATACGCTTTCCAGACTTGACATCCTTGGGTCGCGGCGAGAATGAGTCTTTCGGCTTTTGTACCGCTTGAGCAGCAGGCATGTATTTTGTGCGAGCGAGTTCAATCAACCTCGATAACTCGTCGTGCGGCACGACCACACGAGGCTCATCGTGAAAGTTGAATGCCAGATCCATGTCAGGCAGGTACTGGATGAATTGCTCGAGCATACCCGTCACAGCCTGCTGTAACCACTCCTGGCCTGACTCCACAAGCGAGACCTTGCCATCACGTATTAGCAGACCCATCAGATTGTTCTCACTGAAACCTAGTGCTTCCCTTGCTCTTGCTCGAATTGTCGCAGGCGACAGGCCCCAGAATGGCAGCAGCGAATGGTAGATGGTGTCATATTCATCGATGAGCTGCACACCCCTCCTCTTCGCGAATTCGTACCATTTGTCAAAATGTGGGGGAGGAGGGATGCCATATCGTCGTTGGTATTCGGTTACAGCTTCCTGCAGAGTCTTCGACTGTCGCTGCAACTTTGCATTCCACGAGGTTGACGCATTGTCGATGAGATTCTTCACCGGGTGTGTTTGTGTGTCGGTATACTGCAGAGGCTCGAGAGTCTTTGCTGGCGGTAGCGCACTCAATGGCCGAACAGGAAGTGGAGCGGAGCTGGTTGGGAGATGGTGCTGGGTAGACCGCAAAGGCTGAAGGTAGTAGAAGGCGAGACAGATGCAAGAGGCCACAACAGCGAGACTGAGCAGCCTCCCATAGCGCATCCTCATCCTGGGTCCAATTGAAAGTGCGGCCTGTTCATCGAGAAGAGCGACTCCGGAAAGGGCACATAGCGCAGCGAAGCAGATTCGAGTGAGCGAGAAATCGGTCAGTACTCCCGAGGCGACTGCAGCGGAGAGGGGAACGAAGCTGGTGAGTAGAGTGCCCTGTCGAAGTATCTGGAGGAGAGAAGTTAGTGGTTGAGTGAAGTGCACGCAATTGTTGGCAGACGATTGAGAGTTGAAAGGGAAGCGACCCTGGCCCTGCTTGCTCGGCTGCGGAGGACGCGCCGCTCCAGCGCCATCGCGGCCGCAGATAAGGCGATAAGCGAGACATCGGGCTAGACCATCAAACTTACCATCAATATTGTAGACGTGTATAGTGTTACATGTGCAAGCACGGTCATGAGCGTGTACACGATGGAGAGCATTCGTTGTCCGGAAGTCCAATGATCGCCCAGCAGTTGCGAAGCGAACCCGTAGTACACGACTCCACCGAAGTTGGCATTTTCCAATGCGAGGCTGGCGATTGTGGTTGTGATCGCGCAGGCTGCCGATACGTCGCGAAGTACAGCGAGGCAAGGCTCGCCAGATGACCTGGAAGCAGCTAATGGTTTGTTCAAAAGTCCACACGCCGAGTATATCACGCTGCCTCCATGCAGTTGATGCTCAGAGGCATCGAGGGCGCGCTCAATCAGGTGAAAGGCGAGTACTCCGAGAATAGCATAAGACAGGCCCAGTGCAGTGACTGTAATCGATGTTGAATGAGTCCAGAGCACAGCCAGTGCTGACAAACTCAAGATGGTGATTGACCTCCTCGAACCGGTAGGACTCCTGCTAACTTCACGCTTAGAGGGGCTGCGAGCATCGTGGAGCTGAGCGGAAGCTGTCTCCAATATTCCATTCGCGGTCAGGCTGTAGACCAATGCCGGAAGGAGTGCCTAATCCACAGACTTCAGTCCGTGATCTTATCTTCAGAATTTGTGTATTGACCTTGGCCCACTGGATATCGTCACCATCCACAGCCCTATCGCACACATGTGCTAAAGCCAACAATGCTCCTGCGGTCCATGACAAGCGTTTTGAGAGTGTGTTCTCGAGCAGCGATCGAGCTCCCGTCCTCGCTGCAGTGTACATGCAGATTGACAGCCATGCCACAGCGCTTGTCACCAGTGAATGTATGGCTGAGATCGCAACATTGGCCAGGATGGACGATATCAGAAAGGCGAAGGCCAGCGCGGTGGGAAACGGGACGGCGACATGGTGCCCGGGTGATGCCAATGGCGACGGCATGAGGGAGATGAAGTTCACCAGGCGTTCGTCATGGACAGTTTTGTGCCGGGCCAGGCTTCAAACAAGAAAGGCAGCATCTCGTTTGAATTCTGGTTTCATGCTGCCGCATGCATCGTGTGCCGGCGACGCGCAAGGGACGCGCAATTCGTGCCTGCTGCAGCGGCAGACAATCTGGAGAACGCCATCGCGAGTTCCTTCTCGTGTAACGTGTGATGCCGACAGCCGGACTCATCTCGTTGTCTCCGTCTCTGCCGTGTGCATACAGTAGACAACAAGAACAGCAAGACGAGGCTGAATGTCAGATGGCGGCGCATCGGCACTTGCTGACTGACTGCCGACCGATCCTTCCTTGGCTGCTTGGCTGCCCAACTTTCACTCGCGTCTTCGCCTCCTGCCTCGCTCTCGCTTCTACATATCGCAACTACGAGGCCTCTCACGCCTCATACGTGCTGCTGCCTTGGACCTGAACCCTCTCCTAACAAGCTCAGCAAGCTCGCGATGCTTGGTCATAAAATCTCCGACAACGAGTAGTGCCAAAACTGTTCAGGTACCGTAAGAGCTGCGGGCTGAACACTTCGCACGAGACTGATTGAGCCATTTACTCGGAGAGGTCGCTTTTGTTACGCGTCGAACGGGCTCATTGTACGCTTAGCGATAGCGAATCAACTCAGAATTGCCATTCAACCCTCTTCGTATGCACATTAAGCGCACTGAATTTAGTCAGCAAAATGTCAATTTTTCCGGTATACGGTCTGACTCTTCGGTGCGGGCCAGCACCAGGCCTGCAACGTGCAAAGAATCAATGAGACCTACCGATGGAGGGAAGGGCCCGCCAAACTGACGACCTCGGAATCACCAAACGCGCAGCTTGCGCGGTCGTAACTTGGGACGTCGAGACGTCCAACATCTTCTGATCAGTCATTGAAATCTGACGGCCACGCCCTACGGACGTCCGAATGTCCGGATGGCGAGACACACCAAGCTCAAATAGGGTCGTAGCAGCTGGCACATATTCGGCCCCGGACGTAATATGGTGTCGACTTTATAAGGCAACACTAATCAACGAGTTGCTCTACGACGCCGACGCCAGGGTTGCTAAGCTGGTTGCCTCAGCAGTGACTACCACGTGGATGACAATTGGTCCGAGGAGAATGGAAAAGATACATAAGCTACTCTCTTTGCACGTATTGTAGTTAACATCGTCCCCGCCCAACACCACCGTTGACATCAAGACACCTGACTAATAGATCATGTGCTTTCAACTCAATCCAGATGTGGGCGCTGCCCTCGCCGCGATGGTATGAGCGAAATTCCTCGAGCAAAATGCCGATCTACTCTGATACATTGACATTTTCAGGCAGGACCAAACGCCCCGCCGCCAATTTCTGTAGGTCTATCATTGTCAGCTACTGCCCTTGCTACTATCTGACTTCGGTTAAGGTTGGCGATGTCGACACCCGACGTGTTGTCCTTGACGCAATCTTCAGGAAGGCAAGCGCCACACTAGAACCCATAAAAGGCGTGGATGTGAAAGATATTCACATTGAAGCACAAGTAAGTTTCGTAGCCTTTCCCGCAAGCATGCACACTGATCCACTGCTCCCATCAGGACGGCCACAAACTCCTCGCTCGCTGGTACACATCCACCACCCACCCAGCCCCAGGCAGCGCAGTGCTCTACAGCCATGGCGGAGGCTACATAGCCCTCTCCCTCGAAGTCTACGACCATATCATCAAAAACTACGTTGCCAACACCGGTGTCCCAATACTCGCTGTCGAATACCGCCTCGCTCCTGAAGTCCGCGCTCCCGTTCCTGTGCAAGATGTCTACACCGGCCTCCAATACCTCCACACCAACGCCACCTCCCTTGGCATCGACCCCAACCGCATTGCAGTCATGGGCGATTCCGCCGGCGGAGGTCTCAGCGCAGCCCTAGCTCACTACAACAAAGTCCAACCACAACCCCTTCCCATCAAAAAGCAGATTTTGATCTACCCTATGCTGGACGACACCAACACCGATCCTTCATCTCGAATACATACTTCCATCGCTCCCTTTCTTCTCTGGAAAATGGACGATAATATTACCGCTTGGGGCGCCCTTCTTGGGAGACAGACCTCAGCATCCGACTCCATCCCAACAACACACGCACCTGCTCGTTCAACGGTCGAAGAAGCGCAAGGTCTGCCTCCGGCGTACATCGACGTGGGAGAGCTAGATCTCTTCCGCGAGGAAGATCTGCAGTATGCGAGTTTACTCGGACGAGCGGGCGTCAGTTGCGAATTTCATTTGGTACCAGGCGTTCCGCATGCTTTTGAGACTGTTGCGCCGGGAAGCGAAGTTGCGAAGCGAGTCATGGCGAGGAGATTTGCGGTCTTGAAGGAGTTGTAGGGAATGAGCTCAGGACGAACAAAAGACGAAGAGAGACTAAATGAGAAGAAGTTGAGACTGGATGTACGTGTTCAGTCTCTGGCTGAATAGATGACTTGGTGCGATGGGCGAAATATTGTTCTAAGCACGATTCAACGCGCTTCTCGATCATGTCAGGTGAAGCTCATGCCGTATTCTGGAGTTTTCCTGAGATCAAGCACGATCCATATTGTAGAGCATGATCCATGACCGAACCTCAAACAGGCACACGCCCGCCAACTCTGAAATCGCATCAGCACGAATTACCCTAATGAGCACATCCCTCCTGCTGCGAAACGATACATGTGAGCGGGAACAATTGAGGAATGAAGTCCGAGTGATGTACAATGCAAGCTTTTGTGCCTGTGAGACGGGTTTTTCGGGAAGAAAGCAGACCGAACGAAATCTCCCTCGCGACTGGGATTAGAGCGTGGGTAAAACTGTGTTTACTGGAGGAATTGTACGTTACTTAGGGCTGGTTGTGACTGGGTACGAGACAAATTCATGCTTGAATGTGGTCGTTGTAGCGCAGCTAGCAATGTCTGGCCGCTCACTGCACCTCGCGATCGTGGTTCTTGCTTTTCCCCACAACTGGGGGCTCTAGTACGCCTCTGCGAGTACGAGGTTCTCGTGCTCTGCTGAGCTCTTGCGCTCCAGCTTCTGAGATCTTTTTGCTAGCCTTGAACGACCTTTGGTCTGCATTGGACGGAGGAGATAAAGGCTCTGGCGAAGGTCTGGGCTTCTCTGCAGATGGTTCTGTACTCGACGGGCGATGTTCCTTCTTCCATATGCTGTTGTTCTGCGGCAGTAAGACCTTCTGAGCGTCGCTGTTGCGCTTTGTTCCACGTCGGATATGTGACGGCCACACCGATGGTGGAAGATGTGGATAGATATATTGGCCAGGTCCAATATGGGGGTCGAAGTGAACCCCTTGGACATTGTTCAGTACCGTCGGGTGTCTACTCACCGAGGTACTGGAATGCCGTTTCGTTTCTGGGTGTTGAAGAAGCTGCAAAGCGGCGATTGCGATGCTCCTGAGACGTTCGACTGGCTCGGGTGTGATCGCAGCTTCCTCTATTCGCACAGAGAAGACCAAGAGCTCCTGGTTGGTGCTCGCCAATGATAGTCTGGATAAGAACCAAGCAGTCGCGCTCTAGTTGACCGGTCTGCCAGATGCTGCAGCAACCTTCTTCACGTCTTCTGCCATATCCGGAATGCCAGTAATAATGGTTTGCGCCAGAATGTCATGGAAATCGCCATACGCTTCATTCCGTCCTTTCTGTTCCTGATTGTGACGCATGACCACCTCGACAAACTCACGAGTGTAGACGTCTGGATTACGTGCCAACTCGACATAATCAATAATGTCTTTCGGCACATGCGTGGGGAGTAGCTGTGCCTTTTGCGAGAGATTCTTGAGGTTCTGCAGTAGATCTTTCCTACACGTTCGCAATGAGCTATCGTATAAGCAGATCGCGTGGGGGCGCCTTCTTACATCTCTCTCTGTAATGCCTGATTTGTATTTGGGCCTTGATACTCGTGCGCTTGGCAGAGGACCATGTAGAGGTTTGTGATGATGGCGCGCAGTTCCTCTGTTGATTGGTCAGTTTACGCGCTGTATAAGGACCGAAAGCAGATTCATCGCCATACTGTTCACCTCATCGAGAGTAGTCGTGGCGGCCATTTTCGCGAGTTTCCTGGCAGTCGGAATATCACTATGCGGATTGTCAAGGACGAATGTTGTTGGAGAGTTGACAGCTCGCAACGCCAGTTGGTTCAGAGCCGCGTGCTTGGCGCGAACTCAAACTCAAATGTGGGGAGACAACATCCCACGACCCACGTGCGACCTTTCCCGACATTCACTTCGCCTTCCGTTCACTCACAAGCTCAGCACGACATAAACTTTGTATCGCGTACGATGGTGGCGGCTATACCGCGGTCAGTGTGCCACATTTCTTGCGACCCAAATGGCACAAGGCGCGGCCGCCCGGCCGACGAGACCGCACCAGCACCGTAGAGGCCTCAGCTTTGCACGACAACCGGATCGCGATCACAAGCAGCGGGCTGAGGACGAGGCGACGGTGGCATACATCAAGCGAACACTATGCGCAAGGACTCCGGACCCATCCACATCTGCAGACTCGACTGCTCACAATCGAGTTTCCGAGCCTCTTGAACAGCTCTTGCCGCCACTAACGAGTTCCAACGATGTGGATATCCAATTATATGCTCTGATTGCCGTAGTCCTGAACCTATTCGTCCAGACATGGTACAACCGGATCACGCCAGATCAGGAATTCGTCGCTTCCATTGTGCAGATTATTGCCCACTGCACAAGGGAATTGGAGCAACGATTACGGCATGTCGACCTGGAAAGCTTGCTGTTGGACGAGCTGCCCGAACTGCTCGCCGAGCATGTCGACGGTAATTTGGACATAGCGAGGCTCTCCCGCCAGACGAAATGCTGATCCGTGGCAGCCGTTCGCATCGCTCAAACATCGCTACGCGCACGTCTTACGACTGCAGAAGTGCGTCAGAGATACCACGCCCTTCGTCCACATCCCGCTCTTTCACCAGTTCCGGCGACCGCTGAAACCACGCTTGAGCAGCAAGAAAACGAAGCCGCGTGGTGTCTACTTCTCGTGGACCGAGTATTGCCACTACTTCTGCCTCCAGAGGATCTGCAGAATCCATGCCTGGACGTTCTCGTATCGGAAATCCTCGCCGAGCTAATCTTTCATAATGGCATTTGTGGCAAAGCTTGTGAGCCGTGGCTGCTATGGGATGGTATTACAAAGCTTTTGCGAGCAGTGCGAGGTGATGCAGCGCAGACTCAACAGAAGAATGCCACCAGCCAACTGGACACCTTCGAACTACTAACCGCAGCACCCGCATCAAATGCGAGTCATGAACAGCTTCGTCCTCGACGGCGCTTCGACATGCTCACTCATACGTTCTGGATTGTGATCCAAGCCGTCATGACGATCTGGCTCCTGGTTCGTACCTTCACTATCGCAATCCTGCAGGCTTCGTCGATTCCAGCACGACCCATTCGATCCTCACACACGTCAGACGGACTGATTGGAGCGTCCGATGATTCTCACCCAACATCGAAAGGAGTCCAGAGCTCACGCTTAGGCGGCGGCGAAACACAGGCTATAATCGGCATGCATGTTTGGGTGTGCATATCCAAGCTGTTGATGCTGGAGCAACGCACCCCATGGCTGTCAGGTGTCCTCTCATTCCTGCAATGGACGGCCTTGCATGGACCAGGGCAAATCTGCAGCACGAACAGCAGATTGGACAGGTGAGTCGCGAATGTTTCTTTCTTCCTTCATCATCAATAAAAACACCCAGGTCCAGTGATGATGACGCTACCGAGGCGGACGAAATACACGGAGCTACGTGCAGCGTGTGTCCCAACGTGTGTCGCATACCCTGGTATTACTTCCCCTCATTCGCCCAAGCGAGAAAGCCACGACGGCAGCCTGCATGAGCTCGCGGTCATCTGATTCTGACGTCCGCCAATGTCATGCTACGGACCTTTCGTATTCTGGAGACTGTGTTTCAATGCCAGTGCTTGCAGTTGCATGGTCGCTTGGCACGCTTACAACAGCGCGTCGTCGCGAAGCGCTTCAACTCCGGCCGAAGAGCTCTCTGTGTCTCGCGAGATCGCTGTCAATACATGCAGCAGCCAGCAAGCAGCAGCCACCCACCACGCTGATGGAACCTGGCGAGCTTCTCTCGGTCCCGACACGTAATCATCGGGCTCCATCACAGGCGCTTGCGGTGAAGCGAGGCAACACAACATGTGGTGCCTCTATCGAAAGATACCTGTTCCAAAAGAGGAAGCTGCTCTGCTCTCGGCAACTGGATGTCCAATCCCGCTCGCGCTGCGGGTTCGGGCCCTTGCGGGCCAGGGTGTTCATCCAAACCCTGGACAGCGCACAAACATCAACACAAAACGTCCGTGCAGCACCACCCGGCCCATTGCGATTGCGGCCCAAACCTAAAAGAACCTATTTTGTCAGAAGGATCCCGGCCGGACCCAAAGCTTACGGATTGGCCCTTGCTGCCGAAGTTAACTGTGGGCACCAGTGAGAGCGCAAAAGAGCTTCTGAACACCTCTATTCGTCCGTCTAAACAGAAGCGATGCGACGGATGCGAGAAAGCAAGCAAGCAAGAAGCGGGACAAGTCTTGCGACTACTGTAACGCGATCCGATCCCGGTGCCCTTCTCTCGTTGTCAATTCCTCTGCTGGTCTGACGCAGTCCGTGCAGCAGTGCAGCCAGCACAGCACATGCATCTATTCGCCTCTACTACCACGAGGCCACCTCCAGACCGAAGAACCGCAAACGCCATTGCATATGCACGCAATCAGGCGCTTTTACCCTTCTCAGCACAAACACTCATCCAACCAACCTCCCGGAACACCATAACATCATACTGACACATCCATTCACCACCCATTCACTGACTCAATCCACCAAACAGACTCCTCTCCTCCCAATTCCACACCCACATCCTCTCATCAGCCTCAATCAACAAATCCCTCCCCTCCATGCTGCAAGCCACCCGAACCGCCCTCTTCCCCGAAAACAGCCCAGCACCCGCCCGAATCCCTCCAACCCCCGAAGAAGCTCTACAGCTGCGGAAAGAATGTGCCGCTGTCATCGTTTCTGCCGTACCAGAATCCATCCGCGCTAGATTATTCGCGACGGGTGATGTCGAGGTAATGCAGGAAGATGTGGAGTGCGAGTTGGAAAGTTTGCTCGGGGATGGGTACTTGAATAAGCATTTGGTGGTGAGAGTGGTGGAGTTGATTGTTGCGAGGTTGTTTCCCGAGTTGAGGGTTGAGGCTTCTGCTTGACGGTCAGTGGCGGTGAAGACTGGATTGTCGGTTAGCAAGATAGACTAGAAGGTCAGTTAGATCGTTAGCTGGTCGGTTGATCGAATGAAGATTCAGTTCCTCGACGATAACTGATGTAGAAATCGATCATCAAGTCGACAATACTCGTTAGCGATATCGCTCGGTGCATTCTTTCTTCTGTCTCCTGTCTTCCGTCTCCATCGACGGCTCGAGCTACTTTTTTCGCTCGCTCACTCTCCCTCTCGCTCCAAAGGCAGTCAATGCAAAAACATAACAATACAGTATAATCCGAAAGATTTCCTCCTCTCGTTTGATGATAGCCGCGCGAGCGGACTTAGATCCCCTGTGTCTCTGCGTAGTTGACGAAGAAATTTTTGTGGTGGTCTCTTAACCCCTTCTTCCCTAACGCGCAAAAGATATATCGTGCTGTGCTCATGTGTCCCATATTTACCAGTTCCCGTCAATGCATAAATAGTCAAATCGCGCGCTGTGAAAACCGAGATAAAAGCTGTGCAAGATATACAAGCTGGAGAAACGTAAACGTGGAACTGCTTCTGCTGAATCTGTTCAGCGGAGACGGGGTTGTCAGAAGTGAAAGAAAAGACTAGGTTGCAGCAGATCGGATCAACTGCCATTGGCGTTGCCTTGCGAAGGGTGTGATGACTGTATTTTTAGCTTCTCCATCAACTTGCCAATGGTAATGCTCTCATTCAAGTCGAGAAATCCTTGTGGCTGTTGTTCGAAAAAGGCGAGAACGATCTGAAGTGCCTGGCGAGCTTCTTCGGGAGAAGTCGCGACTCCAGACTTCGTTGAACCGCGTCGACTGGACGAGTCGATGTGCGGCGGGAGAGGAGGTGGTCCCATACTGTTGTGATCGTTCGACATCGAGGCCGGATGTATCGTTGTGTTCGAGCCATTGTGTAGAGCCATGGCCTCATCAAGGCTGATCAGCGGATCAGGGGGCTCTTCCATCGGTGAATCGAGTGTCGATCCATTGGTAGTATACTTAGGCGTCGCTGCATCTCCCGGCGAGCTCGAATACTGGTCTATGCGCGGAAAAGTCTGGCTTCGCGGTCGGTGGGAGCTGGAGTTCGACGGCACGGCTACGATCGGTCGCGAATGGGGTGTGGGTATAAAAGGTGAAGGTGCCGTTCCGGAATCGGGCGTGAAAAATGGTGATGTACCGGGACTGAGCGGTCCCGGTGAAAACGAAGACGGCGCTGTGTCGGTGAAGGCGCTGTTCAGTGAGGTCGTGCTCTGACTGTGGAATACACCATGCCTGTGGTTGCCAAAGTCGATGTAATCGTCTGGACTTTCGTTCTTAAGACTTTCCTGGCTCTGCACCCGTTGCAGGTCGATTGGTGACGGTGAACCCAGCCCAGAAGGCGATATTGGGGAGGTGTCGCCCGGAGTGTGTGAGGAAGAGGATACTGCAGCTCCAAAGTCGGCGTCATCGGGCGCGAGTGACGCCTTACGCGACCGCGCGCCCATCAAGTTGTTCTTGAGCTTGAACTTTTCTATCCAGCTCGAACTTAGCGTGACATGGTTATCTGGACTCGTCGTTGTCGCAGCAAATGCGCGCGCCTGAGCCCGTATCATGTCATCGGAAAGAGGATTCCCCTTCTTCTCCTGCTGAGCGATCAATGACCGTCATCATCTGTTACTTTGCACAGCGCACACGAACCTGATTCTTCGCCCACACAGCAAGAGCACGCTCAATGTCAGGAGACCGTCCTTTCGCCCGCTTCACGGGCGATCGACTGCCATCGTCCTGAAAGAGGTACTTCTCCTTTTGTCGCAAGACTTTGGAGACGGTGCTGGGAGCTGGTCAGCGACGATCAAGGCACCTTGACTGCACTCCGGTCGTACCTTCTCTCAACGCCGAAGATTGCTGGTTGCGATTAGCGCTTCGTTCATCGATCAGCAACACAATTCACGTACCTCCAATCTCGGTCTGTTTGCTGTTCGGGTGCTCCTCTGCATATTGACACATGCGCTTTCGGTCCAGGTCAGTCAGAGTTTTGCGCGGTGTCGAAGTCGATCGAGTCGATGTTGCCGACACAGGTGTCAGTAAGGGTCCGGCGGACATCGGTTGAAGAGGCTGGACGGGCTGTTGATAGATGGGTGGGTAGGAAGCCGGGCCTTGACGGTTCAGCATCGAAGGCCATTGCGGCATGCCGGTCACCAACGGTTGCAGCTGGTGGTGCATTGGCCGTTGGTGCATCCCGCTGGCGAAGGCACTGGGTTCCATGGGCAGCTGAGGCGAGGCGAAGTTGAAGCCCTGATACTCCTGGGCGGGCGTGCCGTGATGGGAGTGAGGATGTGTCGGAAAGTGCGTCCAGTGGGTCGGCGGCGAGGATCGATAAGCGGTGTTGCGGTCGTCGTCGGCCATGGCATCGACGACCGTGTAGCAGCGCCGCGGTGAGGCAGCGCTTACGTCGTGGCAGCAGGTGCGGTGCAGTGCAGCAGGCAACGGTGCGGCTATAGCAGCAACGGCGTTGGAGACAGCAGGAGCGAACAGCAGCTTTACACGCCTGTGGCTTGCTTGGGCTTAGGGCGGCAGAAACGGCGGCTGCACGCTATGCTGCAGCAGTTCGCTCGGGGATGCGATGTGCAACATGCGAGCCAGGACTCGACAGCTGGGGAAGGCGGCGGGATGAGGGCATAATCAGCGGCGGCAACAACGACAGCAGCAGCAGCAGCAGCAGCGAGCGAGACTCATATGCGGGCTGCGGTCTGCGCGTGCAGGTTACAGGAGACGAGTCGAGGCTGCGAGGGCCGGGTTGAGTAGATCAAGTGCTGAGAGTTTGCGGAGGCGGTCGTGCCAGGGTGTCTAACTTAGTGTAGGTTTGCCAGTACGCACGGTTCGGCGCGGTGGGAAGTTGGCCCTCGCGCTGGTGCTGGTGCTGGCGCTGTGCTGCTGCGACGAGT